GCTTCACACATTGTACCCATGTCGGGAATCGAACCCGGGTCTTCGGCGTGACGAGCGAACGCTTTAACCACTAGGCTACCCGACCGCCCCTAGATCAATTCTTACCCGGATCTTCACTAGTTTATATTTTGTGAGGGACTAAGAAACAACAAGGAGTGAGTGAGTGAGTGAGTGAGTGAGTGAGTTGGGTTTTACGCCGCTTTTAACAGTATTCCAGTTATATCACGGCGTGTCAGCTTAATGTGGGAGGAAAGCCCGAAGTGATGCAGGTCTCGGACGTTTACCACTTCGGTGAAACCAACGAGCACGGGTATGGTGCTGACAAACCTAGAAACATAATCGAGGCGGACCGGGATTCGAACCCGCAATCATAGCTTTCTGGCGTGCCTAAGGGACGCAACTCTGCACAGCGAATCGCGGCGCCTTGGACGACTGGGCCACCTGTGCCAGAATTCCAGTTATATCGCTCCGTGTCAGTTTAATGTGGGAGGAAACCCCGAAGTAATGCAGATCTCGGGCGATCACCATGTTAGTGAGTGGTATGGTGGTATGGTGCTAACAAGCCGAGAAACATAATTAAGGCGTATCGGCATTCGAACCCAAGATTATAGGTTCCTGGCATGCCCAAGGGACGCAACTCTACACAGCGAATTGCGGCGCCTTCGCGACTGGAACACACACGCACGCACACACACACACACACACACACACACACACACACACACACACACACACACACACAGACACACACACACACACACAGACACACACACACACAACCCTTCCATAGTTGTCCCTCATTACACAAAGCGTCATTAGCTACGGTCGTAAGTCTGTGAAGTAGGCGACTTACGACAGTCGACATGCTTAAGTCGCTTCGTGAAACCGGGCCATAACATATTGGCAGTCATTTCGGACGCTCATTCGATAGGACCTGTAAATCTCGCGATGATAAATGGAAATATGCAAAGTCAGCGTACACAATCCCAAAACATCCCGTCTCAACACACCAGTGACTGTTTACACAAGGAAAATGTATCAATCAATGAAAATAACGCAGCATGTCAAGTCATGAACCGCGGCACCAGCTATTATACATGCTGTAGGCGATCTCAACCTCCAGACTGCGCCTTGTAAAGTTGGACATAAAACTCCAAGCCCGAGAATTGATCCTCAAGTGTTTATCGTTTTCGTTCTTCGGGGAACAATTCCAGAACCATCAGCGTCCATATTTCGGAGAAAAGAGTGCCGACTTGATTGATTAATTTGGTTGTATTTTGTCCGGGACCTGGGCCCATCCTACGAAGCCATCTTAGTTCTATGACTGTCGGAGGTCCCATAGTTAAACCAGTAATGATACATACTGTAAGAGAGCCGTAAAGATCCCGAGTAAAACAGGTCTTCAGCAACCCATGCTTGCCGTAAGATGCGACTATGCTTGCCGTAAGAGGCGACTAACGGGATCGGGTGGTCAGGCTCGCTGACTTGGTTGATGTATGTCATCGTATCCCAATTGCGTAGATCGATGGTAATGATATCAATCACTGGGTTGTCTGGTCCAGACTCGATTATTTACAGACCGTCGTCATATAGCTGGAATATTGCTGGGTGCGGCGTTAAACAACAAACAAACAAATAAACAACAACATACTGTAAGCGTCAACGACACTAGACCGAGAATGCTTGATGATTTGGCTGACCTGCTCGTCTTTCCTGGCCCATACTCCATTGTTTACAGGCCGACGTCATCTTGGTGGGAAATTGAAAATTCGGCATCAAACATGTAATCACTCCGAAACTAATATCACTGAGACTGACATATTGTTGTATTTGAACGCTAAGGTATGTGTCATGGTCGTTTAATTTCTAGTTTACGGTATCAAGGACGCGTCTATCGGACAGTTCCTGTGGCCTATGGGCAATGCACTATATACCGTCGTGTTTGTCGAACTGCCTGAAGCTGTTGACTGTAGGTTCGAATCCCAGATTCAACCTGAGTTTGATCTTTGCTCTATATCTGTATTAGTTTTCTCTAAAATATGTTGCACAGCGTCTGTGACGTCAAACAACGTAGTGTCATATGACAGTGTATCATATTGTCAAACAATTATTGTAACTGTATTACATTGTTTCTGTTGAGGGGCGGACGGGTAGCCTCGTGGTTAAAGCGTTCGCTCGTCACGCCGAAGATCCGGGTTCGATTCCCAACATGGGTACAATGTGTGAAGCCCATTTCTGGTGTCCCCTGCCATGATATTGCTGGAATATTGCTAAAAGCGGTGTAAAACCATACTCACTCACTCACTGTTTCTGTTGAGTTCGGTAGAAGCTCATTGCATTGTGTATGGACAGTGATAAGTTGTCAGGAATGTCGTACTATTTAATGTAAGCAGTTTTATGGAAGTTACTATCTTTAGATGTTAGTTATATGTGTAAACGTCCGGAAAACCGTGGACTGTGATAGTATGTTATAGAAACATGTGGAATATTCTATGCTGTGAGGGCACTGAGTAGAAATTTCCAGTAGCTAGTTAGACTGTACATATAGAGGTCGTTGTTTATCGTACAATAAAACACTGCAGGGAGAATATAAACCCTCATGGTTTATGCACCCTGCAGTGTTGTATTGTACAATAAACAACGACCACAAATTGTTTACTTCTTTTTGAGATATCAACAATTTGTACAGCCCTTTTGAGCATGTCAATAAATTGAACAAGCTTTAAAAACATTTACCCGTAATTAAATAATGATGACTCCCCGAATACAATCCGACCTCGGCAATGTCGGTCAACTCTTAGTAAATTGTTGATTGTATGCCACTTGTTAGCTTCCCACTAAGTTCTTTTACGTACATATTTATGGGTTAACATATTGTTTCAATTTCAGAATCGACACGTAACAGTTGTCAGTTGTGTTTGAACGCTGCATGACAGTGCGTGACGGGCACCTGTGTCAGAAGTGTTGACAAAGAGACAAAGGTTCAAATTTCCAGAGAACCACCCCTGTTTGGAGTCGTTAACCTCAGGTCGTGGCCTCTATAATACACTGTATTAATAACACGAGCTCCACACATTGCCTGCGGGAGGCCTCTCTGCACGATATTGACTCATTTAGACTTGGTCCTAATGGCTGTGTTAGGGCTCAGCTCGGATTTCCTATACCGCGATTGTAATTAGTTCATCCAGAAGTTCATAGGGTGGCCAACAAAAACCCATAATTGGGGTACAGTTTTAATATTCGTTGCCGTGCAACGACGTTGAGATATTAGTTTGTCTTCTTGCGTGACGGGATTCATATCCAGCTTGAAGCTACCACAGCCGACAACCGCTGATATCTGAACCTATTAACAGTGCGTGAGGTGGGGGTTTAACGTTGCTTCTAATAGTATTTTAGTTTTGTTCCCGCTTCCCAAAAGGCAATTGTAACTCTTTAGCAAGTAGGGGACACTGGTGGCTCAGTCGTTTAAGGCGGCGCGATTCGCTGTGCAGAGTTGCGTCCCTTGGGCACGCCAGAAACCTATGATTGTGGGTTCGAATCCCGCTTCGCCCCTATTATGTTTCTAGGTTTATTAACACAACACCTCTGCTCGTTGGTTTCACCAAAGTGGTAAACGTCGGAGACCTGCATCACTTCGGGCTTTCCTCTCACATTAAGCTGACACGCCGCGATATAACTGTAATACAGTTAAAAGCGGCGTTAAACCCAACTCACTCACTTTAGTAAGTGGACTAACGGATGTCGTAACGTTACGTGACGCCTTGCCAGTGAGTGAGTTGGGTTAACACCGCTTTGAACAGAATTACAGTTACGTCACGGCGTGTCAGATTAATGTGGGAGGAAAGCCCGAAGTGATGCAGTGGCGTTTACCACTTTGATGAAACCAACGAGCACATGTATGGTGCTGATAAAACATAGATACATAATCGGTGCGAAGACGCCTTGTGGTTTAGGGTCACATTCCAAAAGCGATCTTATTGCTGTGATGATCATAACTTTATGCATAAACAGGCTTACGGTTGTCGTTGCGCTAAAACCGCTTTGCGGAACGGGGCCCTGCACAACAGAGGGCCACAAAGCGACCTTCGTGTTACGAAAATCGTTAATTCACTAAAACATAGTCAATAAATATAGACACGTTTGTTTGTTTGTTGTTTAAGGCCGTACTCTGCAATATTCCAGCTACACAACGGCGGTCTGTAAATAATTGAGTCTGGACCAGACAATACAGGGTTGACATCATGAGCATCGATCCACGCAATTGGGATACGATGACATGCATCAACCAAGTCAGCGAGTTTGACCACCCGATCCCGTTAGTCGCCTTTAACTGCAAGCATGGGTTGCTGGAGACCTGTTCTACCCCGGATTTTCCAGGGTCACCAGGCAAACCTGTAACTGAAATCGTGCATTCAAAATGCTCGCAGATCCGATCCCGCCTTTAGTAGGCACTTACAGCAAAGCCATTCTTGTAAACCAGACACTGAGCAGACCATGGATCATACTGGACTCGAACAAATCAGTTCCGTCTAGCTGTTACCAATATTAACAGTGTGCTTGTTTTCTTAGTTACACATTGGTCACAGCTCTGCCGACTTCTCGGGGTAGAGGTGAGGTGAAATTTGGTTAAACGTCCCGTCCAAGATTATTGCACTTACATAGCGACGTGTCTGTGTGGCTGCTTGTGTTGGTCCGGGCCGATGCCGATTTTATAGTACTAGCCATGAGATACCATGCCGTTATTTAACATGAATACCACACACAGACACAATACACTGACTCCAGCCGACTGTCCTTGTTTCAGCACCTTAATGCTGAGCGCCAGGCAGGGTAACAACAAGGACCATTTTTATCGTCCTTTGGTATGAGGCAGTCAGGGATCGAAACCCGGACCTTCGGCTCTCCGGGTTGAAGCTCTAGCACTAAACGGAGACGTCTTTCTGGGGTAGAACACCACTGTTATAACATTCAAATATCAGAACAAAATAACAAGAATAGTGTAACTGAACTGGGATTTTTATTGGAGAACCAAGCAGGTATAGCAGTTGTATTAATTGCCACGGTAACACAGTAACAGGCTTCCATACTCTGTATGGGGTGGTGGCAACAGCAGTAGTAGTAATGCTGTCAAAACTGCTAAAAAGATAGGTAGTTTGTTTTTATAAATGGCTCCCTCCCCCCTCTTGATAATCAGTTCAAAAATATTTTGCTCGGTGGAAACAAGGTGACAACCACCAAAGGCAACATCCAGATGTCCTCAATAAAATGTTTATTAATTATTTTCATGTACAACCAAGCGATCAGATATCATCTCTGCTACAGTATCTATGATGGTGTGTTGATCATTGTTACAGTGCACAGTTCAGCATACTAGATCTGTGCTGATCTTTGTAACAGTGCAAAGTTCAGTACTCAATATGTCGAACATACTAACAATGAACAGTTCAACATACTAAATACTGTGTTCATCATTGCAACAATGAGCAGTTCAGTACACTAGATACTGTTGAACATTGTAACAGTGCACAGTTCAGCATAATTGACAGTTTTGATCAATTCAGCATCTGAGATACTTTGATACAATCGTCAGTTCAGCAATAAAGTTAGAGAATAACAGAGTATTTCTTTTTCAAATATTTCATATTCGAGACTTCTGTACAAAATTAAATTCCTCATAAAATAATTTAACAATTAACCTTAAAATGCTCCTCATTTTTAAGTAATTTTGCGAAGCTGTACATATGATACAAGAAACTACAACACAAATACTGCAAGCTAGCTGATGCTTCCTTACTTCATATTCAGCCACTGGTGAAACTGCTATAGAATAAAATGATTCACTCAAGTTGAACATCCAACTACCAATGCATCAGTGAAATGCAGACAAAGGGGAATAACTCTTCCAAAATCCAAACAGAATCTATACATACGTTTATACAGACATCCATACAAATATGTAATAATTTACACTTCAGAAAATGTTTAAAATAAAATAGTATCCACACTCCCATATATTACAGAAAAAAAGATTCAAACAAGCAATAATCAGTTGCTAATTTTTGAAGGCCTCTGAGAAAAATGAAAGTGGAAAGAAATATAATAGTAAAAGAATCACATATTCTAACAGCAGCCTTAGAAATTTGTCTTCCTATTTCATAAGTCCTATATTGACATGACATGTATATATAAATGCTGTACCTGCTGAGATGAATAAAGAAGTGAAAATAAAAATAATAATAAAAAATAATATAAAATTTCACAAGTCCTAAGAGTTCTACCAAGTCCTGCTTGAACATGAGTAAAATGTTTACTGTTTACATTTTCTGCCTTTTATTCAGTTCAAACTTGTATCAAAAGTGATGCTTTGAGAATTATAGCCCTCAAATGCTTCTCTTCAATGAAGACTACAATCACTGGATATTTACATGACCTCAGCACAATTTGGTAGTCTCGGGCTATCAGACAAGATTGAGTGAGTGAGTGAATTGGTTTTTAATGCCATTTTGAACAATATTCCAGTCCCGGAATATCACGGCTTGTCAGTCTAATGTGGGAGGAAAGAGGGAAGAGATGTGTACCACTTTGGTGAAACCCATGAGCAGGGGTATGGTGCTGACAAACGAAGAAACAATCCGGGTGAATGAAGATTCCAACCTACAATCATAGGTTTCCGACATTCCTGGGAACGCAACCCTCTACACTGAAATGCTGTGCCTTAGACAACAGGGTCTACCCTGGCCTCCGGACAAGATTGAATTTTGAAGTGTGCACAAATATAAATCATATTGTAAGAATACATACCAGTCTTAACAATGCACAAGCATGAAAGATAATAATGTTGAATTGAGCGAATTTTATTGATTGTAGCCCCAAACTTATGCAATTTGTTTGGAAATACAAGTTTCCAGATGCCAAGACTAATCAGTTTGCCCAAAACCATTCCAGGAAACACTTCCGATTCCTTAATAGAGGATGTACAGAAAACTAGATAATTGCTTGCAAAAACGGGGAGTAGCCTCTGTTTCCTAAAAGACACACAATTAGAAAAACACCAGTTAGATGTTAGAACTTATCACCATGCATTTCCAGTGGGATATATTTACCTTCAAAAACAACCTCATACAAAACTTACTGCAACACTGCTCTAGTTAGCCTATTAAATGAAAAGGAGGGTCAGTTTAATGACATAACTTGCTGTTACCATGCAATTCCCCATCTCATTAGCACAGACATCACTTACGATTTGGGAAAAAGGTTCTTTATGCGGAACAACTTGAAGAATGGAAGTTCTATGCCTTAAGCTACTATAACAAGAATGACACAGGACTTCAGATCTAAAGACCTTGACCCTCAACTTATCAAGGGTGATAACTCACACCCGGATACTGGGGACTGATTCACAAGAGAATAATAACTAGTCAATCCTTAATTGTGCAGTATTTGTCATATCACTGGTTGGTTGTGCAGTTGTGGAAGGAAACCCCACTTGATGATGGCCACTGATGTTAATCACTTCAGCGACACCCACAAGCAGGGACGTGGTGCTGGCAACCCAAGGATCATGATCAGGGTGAGTGAGTGAGTGAGTATGGTTTAACACGCTTTTAGCAATATACCAGCAATATCATGGCAGGGGACACCAGAAATGGGCTTCACACATTGTACCCATATCGGGAATTGAACCCAGGTCTTCGGCGTGACGAGCGAACGCTACAACCACTAGTCTACCCAACCGCCCCTGATCAGGGTAAAGACTTGATGAGCTGATTCTGCCACAAGAGTCAACTACCTTGTCTTACCATCCATACCCTTCAGGAAATAGTCGGCCTATAGCAATTTTTAAATATTATATTTTCTCCTGGAATCGTATTTCAGAAACCTGGTCCATCATTATCACAATCAGAGTTATGTAGTCATGTGATGATCGTTTTAATAATTTAATATAGGCTGTAAGCCACCGACAAAATAAAATGGACAAAAAATGCACCAAGCAGGGATGATTCTGCCGATCTTGAAAACAAAAAATAGATTGCATAAAGACAGGTTTGTATTTAAAGAACAAGGTGATATTGAAAAGGATGTGTGTGTTAGTGTAGACCAGGAGCAACCATGACCTTGTGTATGAAATCCCATATTTTGTTCGTTTGAAGACTTTTGCCAAATAAGATTCACGTGATTTCACTGTCGGCTATGAACCGATCAATAACTTCTAAATATTAATCAATTAGTTAGTGAGTGAGTGAGTATGGTTTTACGTCGCTTTTAGCAATATTCCAGCAATATCACGGCGGGGGACACCAGAAATGAGCTTCACACATTGTACCCATGTCGGGAATCGAACCCGGGTCTTCGGCGTGATGAGCGAACACTTTAACCACTAGGCTACCCGACCGCCCCTTATTAATCAATTAAGTCGTGCCCCTGAAGATAACCTCTTTGGCCTACCCTGCCACAACGGAATTGAGCACTCTATACGAGAGGTTCGGCCATGGACTGGAGATCTGAGCAGGTCTTCTTTAAAGTTAGTTCCATGAACACAAGTAAGCATTATGCACAGCTATTACATCAAAAACTCTGTACAACAAGATGCTGTTCTGAAATCTCACTTCATGTCCCAACGACATGCGTCACAAATGCAGAATATTCAAAACATTTACAATGTTCAAGGATCTGTACAATAAATTTAATATAGCTTCAAGAAAATATACATTAAATATTTCACACTGAAACAAATAACGTGTCAACATATTAGAAATCTGAATAAACAATTCAGTTTCTTTCTCAATTTTTACATAGAATGGAAAATTCAAAATTAGATCCAATGTAATCTCCTCAAGAAAGTGCAATGTTTCGAGAATTCTTAATAAGGATGTTATAGAAACACGCTTTATCCTACAACTGTTGTCTACCAAGCCTACGGCAGCTGTCTCACACAACTAGGAACAATCCCATGGCGCGGATGTAAGCAGAAATTGTTCTCCTCTTAAGCAAATAGCTAGTCTTCAGATTGGTACACAAGCCATAACACATCTTCCGTCAGTTTAGCAGAAAATCTACCCAAGGACTGTTGCTCTACATCCACAAGTGTGAAATGCTGAAGAAAGCAACAAGTTGATACACAACTTCATCACAATGAGTCTGTCTGATGCTGTAAGACGCCTTCAAATAGTCTTGGGAAACAAGCACTGCACTGATTGGCTATTCAAAGAAAGTCAAACTGGCCAATCACAGCCCACAAGAATCATTCCAAAATGCCCTCAAAGGTATGCAATTCACACAAGTGCTTTTCTGATTGGTCAAGGAAAAGTTGGAACTAGCCAATCAGCATTTAGATAGTGCAACAGATAAAGCTTCCTGCTGTTCTTGTGACAAAGCTCCCACGCAAGCCTGGAACACCTCCTCATTGGCCTGGAACAAACAGAGAGGAGTCAACTCAGCACTCGTACAAAACTTCAAGCACAAAATTTAAGGTCTTTAAAGATGTTTTGAAAGGATGTCGACCGTTCTGGGCATCCCTTGCAAACAATAGCCAATAACCCTGAGATTCCCTCAGCCCTGCACCACTTATTCTGCGAGAGAAGCTTCTACACCTCTTATTCTGCGAGAGAACCTTCTGCACCCCTTATTCTGCGAGAGTAGTTTCTGCACCCTTATTCTGCGAGAGTAGTTTCTGCAACCCTTATTCTGAGAGTAGTTTCTGCACCCCTTATTTTGCAAGAGAACCTTCTGCACCCCTTATTCTGCGAGAGAAGCTTCTACATCTCTTATTCTGCAAGAGTAGTTTCTGCACCCCTTATTCTGCGAGAGTAGTTTCTGCACCCCTTTTTCTGCGAGACATCCTTCTGCACCCCTTATTCTGCGAGAGAACCTTCTGCACCCCTTATTCTGCGAGAGAACCTTCTGCACCCCTTATTCTGCGAGAGAAGCTTCTACATCTCTTATTCTGCAAGAGTAGTTTCTGCACCCCTTATTCTGCGAGAGTAGTTTCTGCACCCCTTGTTCTGCGAGAGTAGTTTCTGCACCCCTTTTTCTGCGAGACACCCTTCTGCACCCCTTATTCTGTGAGAGAACCTTCTGCACCCCTTATTCTGCGAGAGTAGTTTCTGCACCCCTTATTCTGCAAGAGAAGCTTCTGCACCCTTATTCTGTGAGAGAAGCTTCTGCACCCCTTATTCTGCGAGAGAAGCTTCTGCACCCCTTACTCTGCAAGAGTAGTTTCTACACCTCTTATTCTGCAAGAGTAGTTTCTGCACCCCTTATTCTGCGAGAATAGTTTCTGCACCCCTTATTCTGCGAGAGTAGTTTCTGCACCCCTTTTTCTGCGAGACACCCTTCTGCACCCCTTATTCTGCGAGAGAAGCTTCTGCACCCCTTATTCTGCGAGAGTAGTTTCTGCACCCCTTATTCTGCAAGAGTAGTTTCTACACCTCTTATTCTGCAAGAGTAGTTTCTGCACCCCTTATTCTGCGAGAGTAGTTTCTGCACCCCTTATTCTGCGAGAGTAGTTTCTGCACCCCTTTTTCTGCGAGACACCCTTCTGCACCCCTTATTCTGCGAGAGAAGCTTCTGCACCCCTTATTCTGCGAGAGTAGTTTCTGCACCCCTTATTCTGCGAGAGAAGCTTCTGCACCCCTTATTCTGCGAGAGAAGCTTCTGCACCCCTTATTCTGCGAGAGAAGCTTCTGCACCCCTTATTCTGCAAGAGTAGTTTCTACACCTCTTATTCTGCGAGAGAAGCTTCTGCACCCCTTATTCTGTGAGAGAAGCTTCTGCACCCCTTATTCTGCGAGAGAAGCTTCTGCACCCCTTATTCTGTGAGACAACCTTCTGCAACCCTTATTCTGTGAGAGAAGCTTCTGCACCCCTTATTCTGCGAGAGAAGCTTCTGCACCCCTTATTCTGCAAGAGTAGTTTCTACACCTCTTATTCTGCAAGAGTAGTTTCTGCACCCCTTATTCTGCGAGAGTAGTTTCTGCACCCCTCATTCTGCGAGAGTAGTTTCTGCACCCCTTTTTCTGCGAGACACCCTTCTGCACCCCTTATTCTGCGAGAGAACCTTCTGCACCCCTTATTCTGCGAGCGTAGTTTCTGCACCCCTTATTCTGCGAGAGAAGCTTCTGCACCCCTTATTCTGCGAGAGTAGCTTCTGCACCCCTTATTCTGCAAGAGCTTCTGCACCCCTTATTCTGTGAGAGTAGCTTCTGCACCCCTTATTCTGCAATGCTTCACATGTTTCATGTTTTTAGGGAGTGTCCTAACGTGTTATCACTAGGCTTGTAATTGTTTCAAGCTAAGTTGCCTCCCTTGTTAATTACAGGAGATCCTGGTAATAGGGATTTTTGGCCACGGTCATCAATTCTTCACCAACCTAACGACGCATGAAGCAGGATGCAAAATCCCGCATCCTACATGCATTAAAATTGAAAACAGACAGACAAAAACACAAAGTACATCCCCTGGGATGCAGACAGTTGGTGTGCATGTTCAGGAATGATACTGCTATTTCAAAATTTGGTACCACTCAAAATTAAGTTTCAAATGAAATCCATTAAAAAGTACCAAACAGAGTTGACTGCTTCACTATTTTCCAGCAATGGCACTTGTTGAATTGTTCAGTTGGGGAGCACCAAATCTAATTTAATTAACAGCCTTGGATCAAGTGTCATCTTACGTCACTGAGTGCTGAATGTAAATTTTGACATTTCTCTGGGAGCCCAGCTTTTAACAAAGACCCCCATTGTTTTCACCTGGAACCCCAACAAGAAAAGCTTTGTGTCCTCTGGATCGATAAATAAATATTCCAGGTAAATGCCTGGGAATCAAGTGTCCAAATGTTTTCCACAATAGACACTGACATTTGCTATATCTTCATGATTTACTAGGTAGTATTTGTAACCAATATTTCGAATTTGTAAGTGAAAGAGGGATCCACAAAGAACAGAACAACTTAAGTTTGACATCGTTGTTAAATATCTCTTCTGCTTTCATGTCTCAGTCCTATCATTAAGCATCAATAAATTCAGACAATAAAGGCTCTATGATATATCATCACGGACAATGAAAGCATGTCTACCCTGATAAGGGCTGTATAGCCCAGGATACAGGACTCCCAACAGAAGTTTCCTGACTTCGCGCTCAGGACAACCTTCTCCATACGTAAATACCAGAATTATAATTTTACCTTCACTTGATTCACAATCTGCAGCATCCTTCCAAAGACGGCTTGTGACGGTTCAATGACCTCTTTATATATTGACTCTGCGATGATTGCCACTATCCGCGGCAAGTTCTGACTGTTCTCTCCCAGCATGCCTGGGTGGTTCCTGCACACACAGCAAATACTTCAGTGTGTTTATCTCACATCACACTAGCGGGGCAATGAATTTGTTTGTTTGTTGTTTAACGCCGCACTCAGCAATATTCCAGCTATATGACGGCGGTCTGTAAATAATCGAGTCTGTACCAGACAATCCAGTGATCATCAGCATCAATCCACACAACTGGGATACGATGACATGCATCAACTAAGTCCGCAAGCCTGACCACTCAAACTCGTTAGTCGCCTCTTATGACAAGCATAGTTGCCTTTTACGGCAAGCCTGGGCTGCTGAAGACTTATTCTACTGCGGATCTTCACAGGTCAAGTAATGGTTGCTGAATACGTTCTCTACCCCGGATCTTACTTACAATGTGAGCAGGTCGCACATGTAGCCATATATGTGAACGGCTTCATCCTCATCCTCCGTCACAGGGAGCCAGAAGATGAATCGAGGGATCAGCTCCTCCACATTTACTTTGGAAGCATTATATTTGCATATTTTAGTCACTGCCGATATGGCATTTTCTGTCGCGTTCACATTTGATGAGCATTTGGATTCTGGATTTTCGATCATCTGGACTAGCCTCGGAACTGCCTCTGAAAAAAGCCACAGAAAAATGTGAAATATTGACCTGTTCTGTCTGAATAGTTTCATAATGCACCTTACATTCATACCACTGTTCTAAATTCTGGGGGAACCTTGAGGTTTTCTCCTTTCTTCTCAGGACCCACTAAATCTTTATCTTTGGCATTACTTCATACATGGACTGATCCTGCTAGACCAGAAACCATTTCACTAGACACAGGCTGTTTGAAGTCACAGACTGTCTTACCTAATAGGTGAGGTGAAATGGGGTTTAACGTCGCGTCCAAGATTATTGCACTTATATAGCGACGTGCATGTACGTGTGTGTGTTTGTGTGGCTGCTTGTACTAGTCCGGACTGATGCCGATTTATAGTGCTAGCTCACAGAGATACCATGCCGCAGTTTAACATGAATACCCCACACTGACACAGTATACTGACTCCGAGCCGATCAGTCCTTGTTTTAGCCTCTTAATGCCAAGCGCCAGACAGGGTAACAATAAGTACCATCTTTTAACGTCTTCTGGTATGACGCGGTCGGGGATCGAAGCCCGGACCTTCTGCTCTACCACTGGACCACAGAGGCGGTCCGTCTTACCTAATAAATTGTATGATTCAGATTCCTTAATACTATGATTATGCTTTCATGTCTCAGTCCTATCATTAAGCATCAATAAATTCAGACAATAAAGGCTCTATGATATATCATCACTGACAATGAAAGCATTTAAATATTCATCAATTTAGAGTGATTTCAGATCTAGGATATTTTAACCATCTAACAACGACCCAAAACTAAAACTGAAACTTGACCAGAAGTAAGTGAGTTGTGTTTAATGCCGCCTTTAACAGTATTCCTGTTATATCACGGCGTGTCAGTTCAAAGTGGTAGGAAAGCCCGAAGTGATGCAGGTCTCAGACGTTAGAAAAAAAATCAGGGCGAACTGTGATCCAAACCCACAATCATAGGTTCCTGGCGTGTCCAAGGGATGCAACTCTGCACAGTGAATTGAAGCGCCTTAGACTTCTGGGCCAGCAGTGCCCCCACTTGACCAGGAAAACCATGAAACTAGTGACACAATATGAGCAGGAGTCTGAGCACAATCTCCATTTCAGCTGGCAAGTACCAGAATCCTGATGTACTGGGATCTACTTTTCGACAATCCCATTTTACTAGACACGGGCTTCAGACCAGTGTTTGAAGTCTCAGACTGTGTCTTACCTAACAAATTGTATGATTCAGATTCCTTAATACTCTGATTATGCTTTCATGTCTCAGTCCTATCATTAAGCATCAATACATTCAGACAATAAAGGCTCTATGATATATCATCACTGACAATGAAAGCTTTTCAATATTCGTCCATTTAGAGTGATCTCCGATCTATGATATTCTAACTATATCACAGTGAGTTAGTGAATGAGTGAGTTCTGCTTAACGCCTCTTTTTAGTATTCCAGTTATATCACATCAGTTTAACGTGGGAGGAAAGCCCAAAGTTATGCAGATCTTAGCATTTACCACTTTGGTGAAACCCACGAGCACAGGTATTGTGCTGACAAACCTAGAAACATAATCGGGGCAAACTGGGATTCAAACCACAATCACAGAGTTAGATATTGGCACTAGTCCTATAGTCCTTGCCAAAGTGGCCTAAGAGTTAAGCTATCATAAGGACTAGCAGAAATTTGCCCTTTTTAAGGGTTTAGTTTATGTTATCATTATAAGGACTAGTGGACTAATGTTAGATTCTATCACTGCAATCATAGGTTACTGGCGTGTCCAAGGGATGCAAATCTGCACAGCGAATTTTGGCACCTTAGACCTCTGAGCCAGCAGTGCCCCAACTTGACCAGGAAAACCATGAAACTAGTGACACAATATGAGCAGGAGTCTGAGCACAATCTCCATTTCAGCTGGCAAGTACCAGAATCCTGATGTACTAGGATCTACTTTTCAACAATCCCATGACAGAACATGAACCTGTACTTATTGAATGTAAATAATTCTCAAAGTAAAACGCCGATAACATATATAGCAGTAGTTAGTAGGCTTTCATGTCTCAGTCCTATCATTAAGCATCAATAAATTCAGACAATATAGGCTCTATGATATATCATCACTGACAATGAAAGCTTTTCAATATTCATCAATTTAGAGTGATCTCATATCTATGACACTTTATTGAAACTTGACCAGGAAAGACATGAACCACTGCAACACCAGTGAGTGAGTGAGTTGGGTTTAACGCCGCTTTTAACATTATTCCAGTTATATCACGGCGCGTCGACTTAATGTGGGAGGAAAGCCCGAAGTGACGCAGGTATCAGACGTTTACCACTTCGGTGAAACCCACGAGCACAGGTATGGTGCTGACAAACCTAGAAACATAATCGGGCGAACCGGGATTCGAACCCACATCATAGGTTTCTGGTGTGCCCAAGGGACGCAACTCTGCACAGCGAGTCGCTGCGCCTTAGACGACTGGGCCACCCATGCCCCCCACTGCGACACCATGAGTCTGAGCACAATCTCCATTCACTAGGATCCTACTTTTGGACAATCCCACGACAGAACATGAACCTGTACTAAATAATTCTCAAAGTAAAACGCTGATAGCAGATAGAGCAGTAACAATTACAGACAGCCTTACTGGAAGCACTCATTTTTTGACAACCCAATGCCAGAAACTGAACCTGTGTTTACTGAATCAGTGAATGTATTCTCAAGGTATTATACTGATACTTTATACAGCACATATAGTGTGTATGCTTTCATGTCTCAGTCCTATCATTAAGCATCAATAAATTCAGACAATAAAGGCTCTATGATATATCATCCCCGACAATGAAAGCATTTCACTATTTGTCAATTTTGGTTCATCAGAGCTGTATTCTGCGGTCACTGAGTATTTTGCAGAAATGCCCTCTCATTGCAGATATGAACCTATTTAGCAGAAAATCACATTTTGTGCAGAACACGTGCAGAATTTTGCATTTATCTGCTGCAGAATTTTAACACGTGAGTTGAAAGCTGGTTTTAAACGTTTATACCAATAGTTTAGGTACCTACAGACTAGTAAATATTTTCCCTTTTAAAGGGTTTTGCTATATGTTATCATTATAAGGACTAGTGAACTAAAACTGTTAGTTTCTGCCACTGTAAATCCCACATGAAGGACAAGGGAAAGAACTCCGGATTTTATTACCCATAAAAGAAACGTGTGTTGAATCAAGCATCACCCTTGTGTTATTGGGGACTCTTCCCAAACACTGATCTTAATAGACCACAATATATATGCATCTTTATTATTGAAGAGAATATATGGATGTCAACTTCTTTATTATAAGGAACGTAACATTTTGGAGTATATGCTTACTCCTTCATCAGGTGAAGGAGTAAGTATATACTCCGAAACGTCTTCTCACTTCCTAATGCATTTCAAAGACCTGATCTTTATTATTGTTTTCATATATTAAATGAAATTAGGGTCAGTGGATCTGTGATGCAACAGGTAACAAAGTAATGGCCTCAGTGTGCTTTCATGTCTCAGTCCTATCATTAAGCATCAATACATTCAGACAATAAAGGCTCTATGATATATCATCACTGACACTGAAAGCTTTGATACCCTGAGTGAGTGAGTGAGTGAGTGAGTGAGTGAGTGAGTGAGTGAGTGAGTGAGTGAGTATGCTTTCATGCCACTTTTAGCAATATTCCAGCAATATCAGTGCGGTGGACACCAGAAATGGGCTTGACACATTGTACCCATGTCGGGAATCGAACCCGGGTCTTCAGCGTGACGAGCGAACGCTTTAACCATTAGGCTACCCAACCGCCCCTCTTTGATACCCTGAGCACAGCTGGATATCGAACCAATGATCTTGATCAGGATGTAGCTCGGATTCCAACCATGACGACGAGTGGAGCAGAGTGGAGCGGAGAGGAGCGGAGTGGAGCGGATAGCGGGTGAAGTGGAAGTGAAGCGTTGATACATGAGGGCTGGAGCGGAGTGGAGTGGAGTGGAGTGGAGTGGAGTGGAGTGGAGTGGAGTGGAGCAGAGCGGAGCGGAGAGGAGCGGAGTGGAGCGGATAGCGGGTGAAGTGGAAGTGAAGCGTTGATACATGAGGGCTGGAGCGGAGTGGAGTGGAGTGGAGTGGAGTGGAGTGGAGTGGAGTGGAGCGGAGAGGAGCGGAGTGGAGTGGAGCGGATAGCGGGTGAAGTGGAAGTGGAGCGTTGATACATGAGGGCTGGATTGGAGTGGAGTGGAGTGGAGTGGAGTGGAGCAGAGCGGAGTGGAGCGGATAGCGGGTGAAGTGGAAGTGAAGCGTTGATACATGAGGGCTGGAGCGGAGTGGAGTGGAGCGGAGTGGAGTGGAGCGGATAGCGGGTGAAGTGGAAGTGGAGCGTTGATACATGAGGGCTGGATCGGAGTGGAGTGGAGTGGAGTGGAGTGGAGTGGAGTGGAGTGGAGCAGAGCGGAGCGGAGCGGAGAGGAGCGGAGTGGAGCGGATAGCGGGTGAAGTGGAAGTGAAGCGTTGATACATGAGGGCTGGAGCGGAGTGGAGTGGAGTGGAGTGGAGTGGAGTGGAGCGGAGAGGAGCGGAGTGGAGTGGAGCGGATAGCGGGTGAAGTGGAAGTGGAGCGTTGATACATGAGGGCTGGATCGGAGTGGAGTGGAGTGGAGTGCAGTGCAGTGGAGTGGAGCGGAGCGGAGTGGAGTGGAGTGGAGTGGAGTGGAGTGGAGTGGAGTGGAGCGGAGCGGAGAGGAGTGGAGTGGAGCGGATAGCGGGTGAAGTGGAGCGTTGATACATGAGGGCTGGATCGGAGTGGAGTGGAGTGGAGTGGAGTGGAGTGGAGTGGAGTGGAGCAGAGCGGAGCGGAGAGGAGCGGAGTGGAGCGGATAGCGGGTGAAGTGGAAGTGAAGCGTTGATACATGAGGGCTGGAGCGGAGTGGAGTGGAGTGGAGTGGAGCGGAGTGGAGCGGAGTGGAGTGGAGTGGAGCGGATAGCGGGTGAAGTGGAAGTGGAGCGTTGATACATGAGGGCTGGATCGGAGTGGAGTGGAGTGGAGTGGAGTGGAGTGGAGTGGAGTGGAGCGGAGTGGAGTGGAGTGGAGATGAGACATATATTATCGCGTTATGTTTACTTTTAGGTAGCCCAGCGGCGAGCAGTAGATAAATTAGGGTCACCAATCCTAGATTTAAGTCGCATTTGGCAGAGGGCTGCATTTCACAATAGCCCGTACACCAACAAGACTTGACCAGGAAAAGTATGAAACCATTGCGACAACTCAAGTCGGAGCACAATCTCCATTTCAGTTGGCAATTACCAGAATCATGATGTAATGGTAACCTATTTTTGGACTACACAATGTCAGAACATTTACTCCATGTATTCGTACGGTAAAACGCTGATAACATATATAGCAGTAGTTTTAGGCTTTCATGTCTCAGTCCTATCATTAAGCATCAATACATTCAGACAATATAGGCTCTATGATATATCATCACTGACACTGAAAGCATTTCAGTTACAATACCAGGACAGCTGTTGATGTTCATTAATCGGTTTCTGTAATGAACTGAAGAATCTATAATGAAATTCAGGATTGATTTTTTTCAACAATATTAAATCTAAATAAATTTGTAGGGGCAATAAAAAAATACATAAAATCTGCAAACAGAAACCCCCCAAATACAACTAAGGTTTGAAGGCCTGTTGCTGTTGCCATGACGTTTCTTCGTAGATGTGTTTTGAGTTGGAGAGAAGAAAATGTAAGAATCTTGCTATTATATTTTTTGTCACTTACATGAAAGACACTGATTTCTGATTAATCATCAATTACCGTATTTGGTGTATTAAGCGCCCCTTGCGTTCTCAAAATTAGAAATAGCTGGCGCTTATTGGAATATGATTTTGGTGGGGAAAAAAACAGAATTGAAAGATCGTAAAGTTTGTGGTTTGGCAAACACAGACAACCACCGCTCTCAGTATTTTACCCCTTCAGATATATATGTCTTTTACAAATAATGCTACCTGCATGTTTGCACATGCTGACTTACATATCTATGTATTTGTGATACTCAACATTAACAATGAGTAAAAATCAGCGTTGATGCCCATTGTTCCATATGGAAAGTACCGGTAATCAGAAGGTTAAGTTGAAAATATCAGCAAATATCGTCGTTGGTGCTTAATAGAGCAGGGCGCTTATTACATTAAATACGGTACATTCCCGAACCAGTGTCCAGTTTCTACGTGTATTTGTTCCACTGGAGTCCAGGGGGGTCCAGGGGGGTCCAGGAGGGTCCAGGGGTCTCCAATATTTCATTTCAATATCTGATTAGATCTTGATTCAATTTTATTTCACATCTGATTTGATGTGTTGGGTCCAGCCATACTTCACAATCAATGACAGAGTTCAAATTCTTAGATACGACATTTTTTAACTTTACAAGAAATAATTCATTGTGTTTGTTAAGAAATCGGAACTTTTCAAACGACTGAAAAAAAATGAAATAAATATATTTCATGAAGAATGCATCATTTTCTTGTGCCCTTCAGTATTAAGCAGATCAATTTCTGCATATTTAACATATGTTTTCCTATACTGGATGCACATTCACACATCGCAAATATCTGAATGGTCAATCCAGACATCATAAACAAATCCCTACACGAATAGAAGATGTCCTTTTCAGGTTTTCTGGAGTCACCCCTAACATTATCTGTGACTACGTCTATCTTACCAGCACAAGCATCAGCATACACGTCCTGCCCGAACTGAGCCATGACTCCAATGCCATAGGCTGCAGCTTGCCGCACCTCCGTGCTCTTGTCCACCAGGGAATCCAGCATGTTTCTCAGGAAGAACTCCTGGTACTTGATGGAGATCTGTAGAAAAGAAGTCAAGTCTGTGAGCTTAACACAGCATTGCAGTTTTTTTCTCTATCCTTTTAACGTTGACCAAATAATGGAGTCAGGACCATACAACCAGTGATTGACGTCATGATTTGGTTGGTTGGTTGGTTTGTTGTTTTACGCCGCACTCAGCAATATTCCAGCTATATGACGGCGGTCTGTAAATAATCGAGTCTGGACCAGACAATCCAGTGATTAATATCGAGCAATTGGGATCGATGACATGCATCAACCAAGTCAGCGAGCATGACCACCTGATCCTGTTAGTTGCCTTTTACGACAAGCATAGTCACCTTTTACAGCAAGCATGGGTTGCTGAAGACCTATTCTACCCCAGAATCTTCACGGCTGATTGCCGTCATGAGCTTTGGACTATGCAATTGAGGTACGATGATAGTATCACTCAAGTGAGTGAGCCTTGCCTCCTGATTCCATTTGTCATCTCTTACGACGAGCATTGGTTGCTGAAGACCTTTTCTACTCCGGATCTTCATGGGTCAAGCATGGGTTGCTGACTACGTATTCTACCCCGGATCTTACTTACAATGTGAGCAGGTCGCACATGTAGCCATATATGTGAACGGATCTACCCCGGATCTTCACGGGTGTAAAGTTAATTAGCACTAACACAGGATGCTGGGAACCAAATCTAACTGGTTTCCAGTGTCAAACAAGGGAGTAGGCATGGCTGGTCTCATCCCATAGCAATGTTCCTTTGGGTTTGGGAGGGGGCCAAATGACCAGAGTTCTATCAATAGGTCACGCCACTCTGCCAGAATCGAAGCTGGAGTCTGGTCAAATTGGCACCGACTGTCACAACTGAGATTTGGTCTTCTACAGGGTCACAGCTTCACTGAGGATCCTACTCCGCAGCCCCTGCAGCCATCAACTACCCATTTCATGGTTGGCTGGTTTTGTGGTCTCGGAACATTTACCTGCTTTCATGTCTCAGTCCTATCATTAAGCATCAATATATTCAGACAATAAAGGCTCTATGATATATCATCACCGACTTTGAAAGCGTTTTTAATTCACGAGAGAGACCATCACAACAGACTGAACATCTACGCTTGACTTTTGGTTTGTACAACAATCAGGGACATCTCTAGCTCAAAAACTGATATTTGGTTCCAAGTCTGCAGCAGTCAGTAAATATGGAATTACAAATGTAGCAACTCAGGTTAAATAGTAATACTATTTCCATTGTTTGGTTTACCAGGCTTAGAAATAAACATTAGCCTGCTAGCCCAGGGCTAGAACAAATTCCTGTGGGCTTGTACAAAATTTAAAATGTCCCCATTGTTTTCACATTGCAAGGGCATTTTATCTTTACCCGGGCTAGTAAAGCTTTTGACTTTAGTTCTAACCCAGATAAAATATCTGATTCTAGATTGTGTGTAGGTGGTTGAAAATAAATAGACAAATGAAAATCATCAACGACCCATTTTCCTAATATGTACAAGGCAGTTCAACACCATCCAGAGTCAAATTATAACTCAATACCATCGGCAGTCGTCTATGATGCCAAAATGTATTTTGTCCTCACAATATTCTGATACAATATGCCCCCAGGGTCCACCTCAGTACTGACTTTGTGCAAAAACATTTTGTCCATCGTTCAACAGATGTGGAAAATTCTATTTATTTTTATTGCCACATTTTTAATGTTGCTGGAACCAATCCATCTATATAAAAAGCTTTAATGCCACATATTTGACTTCTAGTTGTTGTTTAACACCACACTCAGCAATAAAGAGAGGCCAGCAAATACTTTACTCAGGACCAGACAATCCAGTGATCGATATTGTGAGCAACAATCAATGCCATCAGGGTACAAAGACATGCATAGTTTGCTGGGGACCTATTCTAACCCGGGTTCCCTCCAGGCGTCCCATGTTCGACAGTACAACTTACAGGTCCAGTGTGCTCCAGCACGTCATCCCACACACACAGCGCCCACTGTCTGTCCGGCCACGACCGAGCTGGGTTCTGAAACAAACAGATCTCTGTAAGGCTCTCATCATAAAGGTCATAATTCTCATATGTGTCTGAGTGTGTTTGTTTGTTTGCTTCACTCGGTAATATTCAAGCTATATGATGGCAGTTTGTAAATAATCAAGTCTGGTCCAGACAATCCAGTGAAGAGATCAAGGCAGGGTTTTACCTTGACTTTGTGGGGGTGCAGGGGATCCCCAATGATTAATTTTAAGCATCCTTGCAGACAACATGAGGGTCTTGTAAAGTAATGGTGAAATCCGTGAGCACAGAATTATAAGGGCAAAGTTCTGAACGGTTTCTGAACGGATACTCATATAGGTGATTTTTCTATATTTGTTTATTTGTTCCTCAACCCTGCACTCAGCAATAATACAGCTATATCAAGGCAGTCTAAATTAACCTGAATCTGAACCAGAAAATCCAGTGATGGACATCATGAGCATCGATCTACCCAAATGGGATGTGACATGCATCAGCCAAGTCAGTCAGTCTGACCACCCGATCCCGTTAGTCGCCTCTTGTAAGCATGGGTTGGTGAAGACGAATTCTAACCCCAGTCTTCATGGGGGTATTTTATAAGCATGCAAGATGAAATATGAAATATACAATTACCCCTACTATCAGTTTATCATACTATGGACAGGGTGAGCATTGATGATGACTATAGATATCTTTACTTGCCATTGATGCTCTGTCATCTGCTATGGACAATGCCATGACTGATAATTATTACACATCACTTAATGAAATGAAATGAAATAAAATAATAATAATAATAATAAAAAAATAATATTAAAAAATGAATAAAATATTTTAAAAAAAATATATATATATAAATAAATAAAAAATAAAATATATATATATATATTTTTTAATATAATTTAATAAATAAAATAAAATAAAATAAAATAAAATAAAATAAAATAAAATAAAATAAAATTAAATTAAATAAAATTAAATAAAATTCCTTACCAACAGTTTGACAAAATGTGGCATGATCTGTTCAAATATCGGCAAGAAGGCTTCTTTGTGTGTCCCGAAGAAGGAATGGATGATGTCGGATACCTTGCTGAGTATATATACATCTTCGTCATCCTGCAATCAAGGGAAACAGTGACTAGTAACAGAACTGTCTTTAAAATAAACTCAGAATAGTTGCAATAACACAACAATTTGAACATTCAATGCCATTTAGAAAGTGGTCAAATGTAACAAATGTTATATTTGGGATAACACTTTCTTAGTAAGAAGTACGTGATCTAGACTACCAGTTGTCAGACTTTCATTTTTGTGGAAGCCTCGCTGGCTGAGTGGGTTAGATCGCTGACTTTGTGTGCTGGCGATTTGGTGCCTCACTCTGGCATTGTGGGTTCAAATCCTCGATAGGACTCAACCCCAAAACATACGAGAATCTGTACTTTACTACGAAAGTGTTATCCCAAATATAACATTTGTTAACACAACAATTTGATATCAAACTGCTGGACAAGACAATCCGATGATCGATATTATGACCCAGACTCCCAGGAGCTACTGTTTGACATATTGACTCACCTCATCCAACAGAGATTCTTCCACTTGTTCATCATAGTCTTCATCCTTTCGCTTCTCTGCAACACACAGTTAACATGTCACCACAGTTATATTGGAAACACTTGTTGCAACCACCATCATCCAAGTCAACACTTCGTTTGTTTGTTTGTTGTTTAATGCCACACTTTTTTAAAACTATATTTTCAACATATATATTGTGCTTTCATGTCTCAGTCCTATCATTAAGCATCAATAAATTCAGAGAAAATAGGCTCTATGATATATCATCACCGACAATGAAAGCATCTATACATCTCCAGCATTATTAAATTGTCCTCTTTCTATCAATAGTGATACATTGGCATTGACATTAGATGATTAGTTTTTAGTACACATTGCAAAGGTAAAGCTTGTACGTGAAGAAAACCAATTCCAGTACAAGTTTGTTCATTTGTTTGTTTGCTGTTTAACGCTGCACTCAGCAGTATTCCAGCTATATGACAGCAGTCTGTAAATAATCTAGTCTTGACCTGACAATCCAGTGATTGACATCATGAGCATCGATCCACGCAATTGGGATACGATGACATGCATCAACAAAGTCAGTAAGCCTGACCATCCGATCCTGTAAGGTGCCTCTTACGACAAGCATGGTCGCCTCTATTTTGATTGGAACCTCCACAGCGTGGCTGACTCAAAGAGTGTGAAAGTGAGTAGGGTGTATGCCGCTTCCAGCAATATTCCAGGCACATCCCGATGGAGGACATAAAGAACTGGATTCACACATTTTACCCGTGGGGAATCGAACTTGGGGTCTTCGGTGTTGCCGCGTGAAAAGGCAAAGCTGTCAAGGCTAGGCCACCACACGACTCCAAGATGTGATCTGACATAAGTTGTTTGAGTTACGTTTGTTTGTTGTTTAACGCCACACAAAGCAATATTCCAGCTATATGATAGCGACATGAAAAGACTGAACAGCATCACAGCCTCAAACGTGTAAAGACAACTACCACAAAGCTTCCAACGTGTAAAGACTCCCCCTCCCCCACCCACCCCTGACTGGAAGAAGTGGCCTCACCTTGTCGCTCCTCCTGCCTTGACGAGTGATCCTTCAGCAGTTTGTCTATAGACTGCACCAGCTGTTTCATGTACTCGTCCGTCAGGCAACCCTTGCCCAGCTTCTCCACACACTGGAACAGACAGGATCATCTCAAAATAAATATCTATAGTCGGACTAGATGTCAATTCGGTGGATTATCATTAAGTAGCTTCACTCAACATATCTGAATAAATTCTTTTAGTTGGACACAAGGTTAAGAACAGCCCAATGAGAAAACTTACTTTAAAAAAATACACATTTAATCTCAGAACCTAACTCACTACAACTTCCTGAGGCAAGGGATTTAACTGACAATAAAAGTCTAGTTTCAACCTTTTCCGAACTAGGCTGGAATTTCTGGGCTCGATCCAGCGCCACCAGTGGTTATGTCCTTTCTATGTCCCTCCAACTGACCAATCTCTGAATCTCTCATATCATTTGTATTTACTTCAAACAAAATGGTGGCGCCTAGTGAAGACGATCTGATCGATAATCAATATCTATATTATGATAAAACAGGTCTTACTGCACAAAGTGCATCAAATCACGTAAGCACATTGATTAAAACCATGAAAAGCTTTTGAAAATATCTGTTGACACTAAGTTGACGAACCGGATGTCGATTGTGTTACGCAATTTTGATTGGAATATGCATAGTCCAGCCAAAACATAATTCCAAAATTCCAGCCTAGTTCGGCAAGGGTGGAAACTGGACTTTCATAGTCAGTTAACTCTCTGCCTGTGGAAGATGAACTCACTACCACTAAGGCCAAATACAACAACTGTCAATGTCAACATAGGACAACTCAGTAAACATGGCAAACTGTCATTTACTATTTACAAGAAAATAGAATTGTTAAGAGATTATTTGCCGAGTGTTTCCATATCGACAACAACATCTGTCAGTTGTAAAACTTGTATTTAGTGAGCCTTTGGGGAGCATAACACATATTTGTTATTCCTAACATATACCGAAATACACGAGGACAATAATCTCTATCATATCAAGTCACTCTTATAATTACCTGATGCTCAAGATGTATTTTCATTCAATGAAATTCCTTAAGAAACTGCATATGGATACAATGTTTGAGAGATTGCCTACAGGAACACCCTAACACCGGGAAACCACTACCGGTTTTGTTTGTTTGATGTTTAATGCCGCACCAGCTTGTCGCCTCTTACAACAAGCATAGACACCTTTTACAGCAAGAATGGGTTGCTGAAGACCTATACTACCTCAGATCTTCACAGGTCTCTAAACTTACTGAAAACCTTTGTCAAGAATGAATTGATCAAGATTGGATTGTTATACTAAGTCATACAGGATTGGTGTATTGCATCAATAACACTGTCCATTGTATGACAAGCATACATGCAATAGTAATACAATGGCAACAGAATTTGTTTTTAACTATATTTTTTAACTGATATAATCTGCTTTCATGTCTCAGTCCTATCATTAAGCATCAATAAATTCAGAGAAAATAGGCTCTATGATATATCATCACCGACAATGAAAGCATCTATACATCTCCAGCATTATTAAATTGTCCTCTTTCTATCAATAGTGATAAGTTGGCATTGACATCAGATGATAAGTTTTTAGTACACGTTGCAAATAAAGGTAAAGCTTGCACGCAGAGAAAACCAATTCCAGTACAAGTTTATTCATTTGTTTGTTTGCTGTTTAACGCTGCACTCAGCAGTATTCCAGCTATATGATGGCAGTCTGTAAATAATAGAGTCTGGACCAGACAATCCAGTGATTGACATCATGAGCATTGATCCACACAATTGGGATACGATGACATGCATCAACCAAGTCAGCAAGCCTGATCAACCAATCCTGTAAGGTGCCTCTTACGACAAGCATGGTCGCCTCTATTCCGACTCAGAACCTCCACAGCGCGGCTGAATCAAGAGTGTGAAAGTGAGTAGGGTGTACGCTGCTTACAGCAATATTCCAGGCACATCACCTCACCACCTCTTACAGCAAGCATAGTCGCTTGTTACGACAAGCATAGTTTGCCGAACAACTATTCTACCCCGATCTTCACAGGTCCAGTAGAGTGCTTAACGTCAGTTTGAACAGTATTTCAGCATATCATGGAAAGTCAAGCTTGTGTGAGAAAGCTGGAAGTGATGCAGATCTGAGATGTGTGTAACTTTGGTGGATCTCATGACTGTGGTGCTGACAAACCAAGGCTTGAACCCTACATCAGGCACACCCAAGACTCCACATGCTCTTCTCAGCCATTGAGGACTTACTTGTTGTCATTAATATTGGGTATTGATAGTTTTCTTTGGGTATTCAATATATTTTAACTCCCTTGGGTTGAATCTGTTGAGAAATAATAAACTAATAACAACCTAATTTTTTATAAAATGCTTTTTCAGGTTTAAATTCAAGCATTATTTACTGCCCCAGAATCCACATAGATATGGAGCCTGCCTGTACAGAAACATAGGCACACAAACTGAACAGCCTACTTAGGTACATACACACAAGGTTATACTATTGGTTGTTTTAGTTCATTTCTTATTCATATTTGTACACAAGAAATTGGCACTATTCCTATCGTCCTTGCCAACTACCAAACAGTTAAGGTATCATAACTAGTAGAAATTTGCCATTATTTCGGGTTTTGCTATATGGTATCATTATAAGGACCAGTGGACGAAAACAGTTAGTTTCTAATGCTGGAACTGTGTCATGGCAATTTGATGCAAATACCTAGCTCAGCCAAAGGACACTGCTCCATGGCTTGACTTTTTTTATTGAATATATCTGTGACTAAATGCAAACACATACTGAACACAATCTTGTCACCATAAAAAAACAACTAAATTATTCAGTAATCAAATCTTTTTATGCAATTGCAAATGAATTAATTTTGGGAATCAGCCAATCAATAACATAGTTTAAGTTCTGATATCTGCTTTCATGTCTCAGTCCTATCATTAAGCATCAATACATTCAGACAATATAGGCTCTATGATATATCATCACTGACACTGAAAACATTTATATTTCTTAAGCATTTCAAATTCATATGAACAAGACATATTTTCGTCTCCAGAAATGAGATAGTTTTACAAAGTTATAAAGGGAGGAATGATAGTGTGAAATAACTTTCCATTATTTGCACATACACATTTTAGCCATTCTCAATGCCCATTGGTCAAATGAAGCCACATAACGCCACAGTGCTCTTGTTGAGAAAAATACAATATGACGTCACCCATTGTTCATACTAGGTCGCCTTCAGTGAAGTTTTCATCATGTTTTTCTCTAAAATGTTAATGTGTAATACATAGAATGAACTACTCAAATTATGAATTAGCTGTCCCCAATGAATAAGAGCTGTAACATTCGGGAGAGATAATTCGAAATTACTCAAGACTCGTAGGTTTTTATCTAAACTCCTCACAGCTTGTTATTCCGCGACTACTCACCTTCGCTAAGGAGTTGAGGTGTTCTGGCAGGACTGTTTGCTCCGGCTCGATCTCGATGGCTTTGAGCAAGTTCGGACAAATGAAGTCCCACATCTGGGCAAGGTATTCTGGTCCACGTATACTGGCACATCCGATCAGGAACGGCAGGCTCTCCGACGCAGCAATCCGAACATCTTACACGCTAAGGATCCATTTTGAACATGTTGTCCCATGATGAACAATTAAAATTAGAGCCATGTTTCTTAATGTTATCTCCAGTGACCTTGACCTTAGATAGGTGACAAAATAGACCCACCTTTAAGATCATGCATTATATAATTTGTAAGTTATACATACACACACCTTATTATGCCTAGATCACATCGAGTGACCTTGACATTCAATGTCATCCAATCGTATGGCAGAATGTCCCTACGGGTCAATAGGAGGTGTATTAAGGGATATTTTCCTTTTCAGCTGAAACTTCTTTGCAATGGAGCGTCGGCCGTAACTTGGGGGTTCAGGGGGAAGCCATGAGATTTCAACAAATTTGTGGTCACTAAACTTCGAGGATCCATGGAAGATTCTTACCCATGTCTATTAGGCATCATTTTCTAACATTTTTCTTAAGTGTTTTGTTAAAAAAACCTAGTTGGGGCAGAAGAGCTCACATTTGAGCACAAGTACATAAAATGGACGGTATCAACTGCTGATCCAAGATTTAGAATGACCAACAGGAATGGAAATACCCTGAAATGTTTATGAGGCCCATAGTCATAACATAAAAGAACACCCCTAAAAATCGTGACATCCCTGAATTCTGAGGGCATGTGACGTAGACAAGGTCGTCGTGACACCTATTCGTGTTTGAAGTTGACATTTAATATCATGCTTTCAATTGTCTCAGTCCTATCATTAAGCATCAATAAATTCAGACAATAAAGGCTCTATGATATATCATCATGGACATTGAAAGCAATGACATCTGATAAAATTTAAATGTGGTTTAAAAAAGATCTGTAGATCTGTAGATCCCTAAGATTGTTTTTTTGTTTTGTTTGTTGTTTAAAGCTGTACTTAGCAATATTCCAGCTATATGACGGTGGTCTGTAAATAATCGAGTCTGGACCAGACAATCCAGTGATTGATATCATGAGCATCGATCCATGCAATTGGGATACGATGACATACATCAACCAAGTCAACAAGCCTGACCACCCGATCCTGTCGCCTCCTACGACAAGCATAGTCGCCTTTTACGGCAAGCATGGGTTGCTAAAGACCTATTCTACCCCGGACCTTCACGGGGCAGGATCCTTAAGAAGGCTGGAACAGCAAATACAGACACTTGGATCTTTATGACATCTAATGGTCTCTGTTCCACAAAGCGATCATAACTCCCATACTTTAACATAGACTAACGTCAGTCATGACAAAACCAGTGCCATGTGGCCCTGAACCCTAAATATTATTCATATGAGTACCACCATTAAATATTAATTGTAACTCCCTATTTTCCCCTATTTTAACACAGACTAAGGCCAGTTCCGGCACAGCAATTGCTTTGTGGAACAAGGCCCTGACTTTTACATATAATCCCTACAAGAACTGCCATTAAATATTAATCCTGACAATCTGATCAATGACACTTTAAATTTCTTTTCATGCAGAGATTGGTCTGTGTTCTCTGGTGTCCCAAATTTGCATGTAATCCTGTTGCTGTAGACAAAAGCAGCAGTATGTTCCCAGCTCGGTGAGGAAGGATACCATCGTGAAAGTAGAACTTGAGGAGCGGTACTAGCGTCTTGACAACCTCCTCTGTGTATGGAGCAAATGCCTCATCCAGCTCCCTGGCATAGCACACCAGCATCTGACAGGCCGTCGCCTTCTCTTCCAGACCCGCCGTCCGAATACCAAAACTTTGCTGCAAGAGAGTGCATGTGTAACTTGAATTCAATACACAACTGTTGACATAGTAAGCGAGTGTTTGTTGTTTAACATGACACTCATGATCCAGTCTGTACCAGACAATCGAGTGATCGATATTGAGAGCAATGATCCACGTCATCAGGGTATGACATGTCATCTACCAAGTTACCTGAACCTGACCACCATTTGGTCGGCCCCTGAAGACCAGCACAGGTTGATGGAGACCAGTTCTAACCCAGACTGACTGTCACATAGCTGGAATACTGACTGAGTGAGTGAGTGAGTGAGTGAGAGTGGTTTGAGTGAGTGAGTGGTTGTGTGAGTGAGTGAGTGAGTGAGTGATAGACATTATGAGCATCCATCAACAAAATTGGGATACAATGACATGCAATGAACCTAGTCAGCACGCCTCTTGTGTCAAACCCAGGAAGAAGGTGAGAGAGTGAATGTGTGAGTGGGTGGGTGGGTGAATGTGTGTGTGGGTGGGTGGGTGGGTGGGTGGGTGGGTGGGTGAGTGAGTGAGTGAGTGAGTGAGTGAGTGAGTGAGTGAGTGAGTGAGTGAGTGAGTGAGTGAGTGAGTGAGTGAGTGAGTGAGTGAGTGAGTGAGTGAGTGAGTGAGTGAGTGAGTGTTGTTCGATACTGGAGTCAGCAATATCCAAGCTGTATGAGTGAGTAAGTTTGGATTAACGTCATTTTGAACAGTATTCCAGTCATATAACAGTCTCTCAGCTTGAAGCTGGTGGAAAGCCCGAAGTCATGTAGGTCTTAATACATTTACCACTTTGGGGAAACCCACGAGAAAGGGTATGATGTTGAGAAACCTAACCACATAAACAGGGCGAATGGGGATTCAAACCCACGATCATAGTTTTCTGGTTTCCAAGGGACGCAAATCTGCTGAGCCTTGGATGACTGGGCACAAATCAGTGACTGAGAGCAGCAGCATGTATCAGGACATCCAATTCACCAAGTCACTGAGTCTGACCAATCAATTTCTTACAAGCACAAGTTACATGGGACCAATTCTACCCTGGAATATCTGAGACTGAGTTGGTAGAGTGTGTGTTTGTTGCTTAATATTCCAACCATATGACAGCAGCCTGTAAATTAAAAGGTCTGGACCAGACAATCCAGTGATTGATATCATGAGCAACTATCAATGACATCAGGGTATGATGACAATCAACAAAGTCTCCAACTCTAACCACCCAATCCATTAAGTTGCTTGAGGGACTAGGATAGATTGCTGGGGACGAAACAAACATGGAATCACTACGGGTTTCTGGTCCGGATGGAGACAGAATCCAAGTTCATCTCACCTGATCCCCGAGAGTGACAAATTGCCAGTCCGAGTCATTCTCCATAGCCTTCATGTCTTCACCTGAAACACGGCACACCATTACTTCTCCAGCAATGCTCATTTGAACTCTACTTTCCATCTCAAAATGTTAATATCTTATTTTGAATTTCTTGGATTAGATATTTTTCTCTCAAAACCATGGGTCAGTGGTAGAAATTAAGTTGAAAACATTAGACCCTTCAATTATGTTATATCATAAATAATAAATTCTTGTGCTTTTATCTGTAACGACAAATACCTGAGACTAAGACTGACTAACTGACCAGAAAGTTACGTACTATCGACAACCGCGACCTCAGGTTTTAGCGAGGCTGCCTTGAGCACTGGCCCCATCACAAGGGGCAGGTACTGCTGGAAATCCTTCCCTAATATCTTGCACATTCTTGCCCATGCCGAGATCATATAAGATATCTGGAAATAAATAAATAACCCATATGGACTGCCTTTTTTCATATTTAAGATTTGTCTGATTCGCAAACATCTGATTAACAATCACAGTATACCGCAAATGCATAAGTGAGTGAGTGGGTGAGTTGGGTTTAACGCCGCTTTTAACATTATTCCAGTTATATCGCGGCATGTCGGCTGAATGTGGGAGGAAAGCCCGAAGTGATGCAGGTCTCAGACGTAACCACTTCGGTGAAGCCAACGAGCACGGGTATGGTGCTGACAAACCTAGAAACACAATCTGGGCTAACCAGGATTTGAACCCACAATATTAGGTTTCTGGCGCCCCTAAGGGACGGAACTCTGCACAGCGAATCGCGGCGCCTTAGACGACTGGGCCACCCATGCATTGATCCCCAAAGTTGTTTTTGTTTTTTTGTTGTTTAACGCCGCACTCAGCAATATTCCAGCTATATGACAATAGTCTCTACATGATCCAGTCTGGCCAAGACAATCTAGTGATCGACAGCATGAGCATCAATCTACACATTTGGGATACAATGACAAGCACCAACCAAGTCAGTGAGCCTGATCACCTGATACAGTCAGCTCTTACAAGCATGGACTGCTGAAGACCAATTCTAACCCTTCATGGGATCCTGAAACATGTCCCCTGATAAGACAGAGACATGCATAAAACCCCACTGGCCATCCTATCCAGATACTTACAATGTTGTCATTCCTGACAATTTTCAGAAACATTCCATCCAAGTCTTTTAATTATAAAATGCTGACAGCGATCTAATTATCGAAAGGTGGCTCTTGTTTGTCAACCTCATCTGAGGTCCTATCATTCCAAATAGTGGGTGAGTGAGTTGGGTTTAATGCCGCTTTTAACAGTATTCCAGTTACCGTATTCGACGTAATAAGCGCCCAGAGCGCTCTCAAAATTAGAAATAGGGGGCTCTTATTAGAATATTATTTTAGTGAAAAAAAAAGAGAGTTAAAAGGTAAATTTCGTGGTTTATGCTGACAGCCTGAATGTTTATGTACGACAGATATATTTTTCCAGAATTTAATTGCCCATAATTAAGTGTGCATATAACAGATGAGTGTGTATTTTAAGCGAATATATAAGTCTTGTGTACATTGATCAATTGGAAGGGGTGCTAATTAGGATTGTTCACGGGCCAATTTATTAGCGAATATCGCCGTGGGTGCTTATTAGAGCGGGGCGCTTATTACGTCGAATACGGTATATTGTGGCATGTCAGCTTAATGTGGGAGGAAAGCCCGAAGTGATGAAGGTCTCAAGACGTTTACCACTTTGGTAAAACCCACGAGCACAGGTATGGTGCAGACAAACCTAGAAACATAATCGGGGCGAACCGGGATTCAAACCCACAATCATACGTTTCTGGCATGCCCAAGGGACGCAACTCTGCACAGCGAATCGGGGAACCTTAGACCCGTGCCCCCTCATTCAAAATAACAGATGTCAGATGATACGGTTCTGTAGTGGGGTCAAGTGGAAGAAAACATGGGATAGTGCAAGGGAGACAAATGCTGACCTGTGGGTCGTCATCCGCCATTTCCTCCTGGTCCATCTGCGTCTTCAGCAGCAGCTGCATCACGTCGTTACAGTCCTGCATGAACTGGAGACCACAAACGCACATGTAGCATCACAGGTTACTATTCATTATTACATTATTAAATCTCCCCCGGTTACTTATTAAACAGTGTGTTGATTGGTTGGTTTGTTGTTTAACGCCGCACTCAGCAATATTCCAGCTATATGACGGCGGTCTGTAAATAATCAAGTCTGGACCAGACAATCCAGGGATTAATACCATGAGCATCGATCCATGCAATTGGGATCGATGACATGCATCAACCAAGTCAGCGAGCCTGACCACCCGATCCCTTTAGTCGCCTTTTACGACAAGCATAGTCGCCTTTTACGGCAAGTATGGGTTGCTGAAGACCTATTCCACCCCGGATCTTCACTGGTCTCCCTAATCTATGTCAGTCCCGACTTTCAACAAATAAAAAAACGCCTGAAAATTACCTGGTTATGATTCTATCAACATCATAACTTCTTTGATAGGCATTTAGAAGTTGGAGTACAAAGTGGGGGTAAGAATTTATGGATGAACAACTTAGTAAAATCTAAATATTTTTTACATTTGTATACTTATCCTGCATTACTCCTTAATGCATTCACTGCTTACTTACGACAACTAGAAGGACAGCGCTGCGAAGGTCCTGGGTGAAGAAATAAAGTTGTTGTTCTCAAGTCCCAATCAGTGGCCTTCCGTCGCTGTCCTGTGACCTTGATGACACCTAAGGTCATCTTCACATCACTGCCTGTCGCCCAAGCTCTTAGAAAAACATACTTTTGAGGTTTCTGAAGCCAAAGTGGGGAGGCAAGTCTAACGACGGGTGGGCCTTAAGCGTAGTAATGCAGGATAAGTATACAAATGTAAAAAATATTTAGATTTTACTAAATTTTTTACTTATCCTGCATTACTCCTTAATGCATCTGTATCGGACGGTTTGGAGGTGGGTCAACCTTCAGAATACAGAAACCTCAATAATTCACACCCTGCAATACGACCCCATTTGGTCGATAAACCGTGAAGCGGAAAAGTTCAGACAAAAACGCCATTACGGTAGGGTTGTTCAAAAATCAAAAACATTGAACATAGGAATTAAAGAGAAATTCCCTATACACGCTTAGTAATAAAGAAAATAATAGCTATTCAGCTAATTCTTTACTTACTGCGTCATAGAGCCGTCGCTGACAAACAAGATTGTCTAATATTCTTCCACTGGTGGCGACTGAGTGACTGCACATGGAAGTTGACTGGCTCTGTATAGGGCGAGTTCATTATTTGCGTCAGTGGTTGGCAATCTGCAGGATAACAACCAGAGGGCCAAACTTCGAACGTCTTTGACATCCTCGAGAGTCACAACGCGAAGGTTATGACTAACGAAAATATGTGTCGAATCTCCAGAAATATCCTTCCGTGATTGTTCCAAAACCACAATTGCCGTGTTGAGCCCTGGTAAGGCTGACACCTTGAGATCTTGAGGGTAATTCGCTCTCGGCGAGTTCCGTTTGATGATCTCGTAGGCCTGAAGGATTACTGCGCGTAACCATATAGATATGGTGTTTGCGATTATGCGACTAACTTCTGTCGTGGACGAACCACGCCTTGTCTTGGAGCGTCGAATGAAAACTCGAACTGCTCGCACCGAGCCCAGGAGAACTTCACCATGTACGATTCCCACAATAGTCGATATCGGTGGGATGGTGAAGAACGGTCGGGTTGGCCTGGTAGTAGATTTTAGCAATAAAATCCCAGCATAACCCTAGATGTCCTGTTCCGTGCGTCCCATGCTCAAAACGGATCCGGGTTGAGTCGACCACATGTAGTTCGCTCACCCGTACCGCCATTGCTAATGCCAAGAGAAAACCATTGTTTCCTTGGTGAGGTCCAAGCTCCTCACAGCGATAGCCCGTTCGCGGAGCTCTCTATACTATACCGAGAGTGTAACGAAGGTGTCACGCGCTGGGAAGGAGCTTGAAAATGAGGATGCAATGAGGGGCTCGAAGGGGGCCCTCGCAAACCTCGAAGTACCACGTTCAAGTCCCAATCAGGTGGCTGGAACTTGGCCTTCTGATCCTCAAACCTGAATGAGCATAATATGGCCTGTAGTTCCGTGACCTTAATCACACTGTGATTTTCCGGAAACGGCCAACACTAAGATAATTGCAGCCAATTACGTAGTAATGGTGCTACCTTCCAAGTGTTTTTGGGTACGCAATGTAGGAGGTATTCCTCTAGGAATTGTGACGCAATCGTAGGGTCTTGATTCTTTTCTTCCCTGTAAAAAGTCTCAAGTGATCCCCACTTGTCATCGTCGTCTCTGGGAGAGTAACGATGAACTAAAGCTATAGCTTTGCTGCCCGTGTCGAAATAACCCTTCGCACTTAAACGCCTTTTAAAGACGAACCATGCGTGCAGACGTTGGGTGAGGCAATTTTCTGTTGAGGGTGGATGAGTAGGTTGGACCACTGTGAGAGGGGAAGTGAATCGTTTTAGATTTTTCCGAGCTTGACGAACTACCCTCTCGCCGGTTACCATGGTGCGACCAAAGGAGAGATCGAGATACCTTGTCTCCTTGATCCCCTGTAGCACCTTGGAAGTAAAAGTGGTGGCAGAAGAGTTTTAGTTCTTTGCCCTTCCCAAGTGATACTGAACTCGTCCACCGCCCAAGTCTGCGGATCCGGCAACGGGGAGATATACGTCATGGGTTGGTGGCCTAGGCAAGTAATAAACAAGTCAATGTTTGGTTGCCTGAATTCCTGAAGCAGTAACTGGAATGCTTCTGTGAGAAATTTCCACTCAGTGGGAGCCACCCTGTCTGGACGTGATAAAGTATCGGCCAGTATGTTTCTACATCCGGGGATGTGCTGAACTATGAACCTTAGTCACAGCCGATCCACTAGATGGAAGAAATCTGAATGTCCTTAGAAGTGGAGAGTGGGAGTGTGTTGTTCCCCGATTGCACAGGCACCACACCGCAGTGCTGTTGTCTGTGGATATAGCGAGTCGGGCTAACTGTAGTTGATTCTGCCAATGTGATATAGCCAGAATTAAAGCTTCCAACTCCAAGTTGTTTATGTGCCACTTCCATTGTGCGCCGGGCCATAGCCCTGAGCTTATCTGGTCTTGTAAGTGAAGACTCCACCCCTGAAAAGGGACGTCCACAAACAGGTGTGTATTCGGGGAAAATCCGAATAAACAGACTCCGCAGACATTCAGCGCCACAAATTGATGCTCTAGCTTAGTTGGTAGAGTGATGGCCTTGAGTGGATCCTGACTCCTGATGTAAGGGTTCAGGAAAAAAATTGAATTGGTCGCTGTTGTAAGCGGCCCATGCTAGTTAACTCCTGTGCCGAGGTGATTAACCCTAGCAACACTTGCCACTGGCGAAGTGTGTGTGGTTGGTGTAGAGTAGATGACAAAAGAAGTAGAAACTTGTGCCATCTGTCCCTCGGTACAGATAGGATATCCTGGTCTGTCTTAAACAGGTCTCCTATGAACTGAAGTCAATAGGAAGGAGAATACTCCCGACTTCGCCTCGTTGATTGTCTATCCCAGTTATTGACATGTGTTGATGATACAGTAGATCGCCCTCCATCTACGACTCGAACCAAGTGTTCGTCACGTGTAGATAGTTATTGGCTTCATTACTCCTGTAAATAGCCATAAGTGTCACTGACATGTCAAATGGGAAATACTACCATTGGTAGTGAACCCCAATGAACTGGACCTGAAAAGTCTACGGTTGGGATGGATAGTCGAGACTGATGAAGAATCAAACGTTCGTTGAACACAGAGATTGTGGATCATTCTCATCTTGTCTGGGTCCTTCATGAGTACCAGGTAGGTGTGAGGATAAAACCCCGGAGTAAAGACTGGGTTGTGAACCCACTCTACAGCTCTTCTTACCAACAGTATGTCTATGTTGGATTTTCCCAATCAAACTGTGGTCAACGGTGGGGTTAACTCTACCCTTATACGGACACCATGATATAGTGCGATAAGTACGAAATCGTCCTTGAGACTTGTCTCTGCCACTCCCTTTCTCAGTAAGGGAATGCTGGTCTTCCCTGAGAAACGCGCGTCTAGGCTTATAATTCCCTGACTTGGACTTTCCAAGCTTTTTGGGAACTTGACGTGCGTGTCTGCGATCTGTTCGTTGAACAGGGGAGTAGATGATCAAGGTTGACGTAATAGACTGCCCTTGAAACCAGCATCTCAGTTGGAAACGCTATAAAGTCTTGGGTGTAACGGTAATCACCGTCAGAACGGTCTCAAGATGAATTTTCCTGTGGTCAAACTGACGCTGTAGGAAAAACACCATAGTTTGGAAGTGATCTAATCAGATAGGGTTATCCTCTAATAGATTCTGATCCACTACAAACATTGACGATATTGGTCGCTTAAATCACGGAGCAAATGTGAGTTTTGGAGAAGGCTTCCTCCAATGACCTCGTGGTGTCCCTCTTATTTACCCTGTTATCAGGGGAAGGCGTTACTGACACGAGATGGTCTGCTTCCCAATCGGGTACATGTGCTAAGCTGATCATGTGCCGGTTACGTAACCGGTACACTGTAAGCCTTGGGCTAACGTCATTGTAGAGACCTTGATTGATACGCAGACGCTGCGCTCAGCGCAGGTCTGGAATGTTGGAACAGCGCTAAGCTGATCGTGCGTCACTGGCGTGATAGGAGCGCTTGGGTATCAGTCAGACGCTGCGCTCGGCGCAGGTCTATGCTGGATATGTTGGAACAGCGCTAAGCTGATCGTGCGTCACTGGCGTGATAGGAGCGCTTGGGTATCAGTCAGACGCTGCGCTCGGCGCAGGTCTATGCTGGATATGTTGGAACAGCGCTAAGCTGATCGTGCGCCGATTGCGTAATAGAAGTGCTTTGGTTGTAGTCAAGTGCTGCGCTCGGCGCAGATAAATCAGACACAAAGCTCAAAAGTATTGACTGGATCAAGGCTTGTGTCTAATCTACCCCCATCATAGCATCTCGATACGCTGGTGCTGTCGCCGACGTCACAGATTATCATACATGTATCTGGAAGTGTCCGGCGGCTGAAAAAATAGGAGCAGTTACGATACTCACAAAATCCTCCGGTATTGTTGATTTCGGTGGATGGTGTACTTCTGCAATCACAGTCGTCATAATACCTGCCGATAATAACGGTTGGGTGGTAATGACAGAACCATATGTCATTCGCTATTCTGCGATAGTGACATTCCTCTCGTCTCACGACGGAATAACTGCAAAATATGATTGTGAGTAATCTGCTTTTATATAGTAAACTCGTTGGATTAGAGATTTACATAAAAATTACATTTTGAATTTTGGCGAGCACATCTACGTGCATGCCTATGACCGTGGATAAAGAGCTTTGGGCGATTATTCCACGACAATATGTACACCGAGCAAACATAATTATGTTACGCAATTAAACCATTGAAGAAATGGTACTGGAAGAATGCCGTAGAATTGAACAGTAATCTATCGGCAAAAATACGAATTGCAAGGGTATACAATATTTTTATATACGCAATTCAATGTAAACCAAGGCTATTTACATTTAGAGATTGGAGAGCACATCCGCGCGCAAACCAACCAATCGTGGATGATAATCTTGTAAGGTTTTTTCCACGACAATTAGTAAAATGCTCAAAGGTATGTTACGCAATGAAACCCTTGTTGATGAGATAATACTGGAAGAGTGCCGAAGAATTTGAACACTAATCTATCGGCAAATTTATGAGTTGCAAGGATATACAATATTTTTGTATGCGCAACCCAATGTAAACCAAGGGTATTTATATTTTCATTTAGGGTTTGGAGAGCCCATCTGCGCGCAAACCAAACAACGTGGATGATAATCTTTGTAAGATTTTTCCCACGACAATTAATACCACGCTCAATCATAAGTTACACAATTACATATATATATGTATATTCAATGTCTGTACATATAGAGTAGGGAAAGGGCCACCTAAGTTGGATAACTTTTGCCCAATCCCGTTGACCATATATGTCAATAAAATATGTTTAAATTAAACACAATTACGCCATTGTTGATGAGGCGGTACTGGAAGAATGCCATAGAATTGAACAATAATCTATCGGCAAAAACTACGAGTTGCAAGAGTATACAATAGTTCATATACGCAACTCAATGTAAAACCAAAAATACCAACAAAAAACTATTTAATCGCATAAACATAGGTACGCAATAAAAGAATTGTTGATGAAGCGGGACTGGAAGAAAGCCGTAGATTTGATATTAATCTATCGGCAACCATATTTTTAACGAGTTGAAAAAGTATACAATAATTTTAGTATACGCAACTCACTGTTACGCCAAAGCTAGTAATATTTAAGAACATAAGAATATGTTATACATACGTAGCTGAGAATTGTAAACAATATGACTACCTTGGCAGGCAAACGATTGTAACACAATTCAAAATGGCGGCGAACAACAATATTTTGGCGGGAAAAAAGACAAGCGTCTTTTCACGCCTAATTAATTCACATAAAACTACACAACATGGTGAAAGTAATATGAAAAGAATACATCACCCATCGCAGATCAATTTTTAAGATTGTAGACAAACTGAAGGTCTAAAATTAATCCAAAAGGAGAGCTCCGCTTGGACACGTCCTAGCTGTGCTGCGACAAGCAGTGATGTGAAGATGACCTTAGGTGTCATCAAGGTCACAGGACAGCGACGGAAGGCCACTGATTGGGACTTGAGAACAACAACTTTATTTCTTCACCCAGGACCTTCGCAGCGCTGTCCTTCTAGTTGTCGTAAGTAAGCAGTGAATGCATTAAGGAGTAATGCAGGATAAGTAAAAAATTTCTTTATTACAATTAAGAGTTACGTTTCGATGTAGGTTCTAACACTGTTATCAAGCAAGTGCTCAACATCATGTTCAATGTAATGACGTCATCTCTGAAATAACTTAGTTAGATCTATACATCATTCACATTATGTTCAGTAACAATTTTCTCTCTTTTTAAAAAAATATTTCCAGTCCGAAGTCGCTACAAATATATATTTAACATCAAAGCAAAGCAAAATCTCATTTCACTGCACTAAAACTCTACAAGGTGAGGTGAGGTGAAATTGGGTTTAACGTCGCGTCCAAGATTATTGCACTTATATAGCGACGTGCATGCACGTGTGTCTGTGTGTGTGGCTGCTTGTACTAGTCCGGACTGATGCCGATTTATAGTGCTAGCTCACTGAGATACCATGCCGCAGTTTAACATGAATACCCCACTCAGACACAGTATACTGACTCCGAGCCGACCAGTCCTTGTTTTAGCCCCTTAATGCCGAGCGCCAGACAGGGTAACAACAAGTACAATCTTTTAACGTCTTTTTGTATGACGCGGCCCGGGATCGAACCCTGGACCTTCCGCTCTCCGGGCGGACGCTCTACCACAAGACCACGGAGGCGGTCAAAACTCTACAAGGGGAAACCCTGATGTAACAGACAAGCTGACTTTGTTCGAAAAATATACTTATATGAATATCACAGATTTATAAGGTATTTTATTTGCTGGTCCACAGGGACTGGCAGTCACATGAATTACCTGTCCAAGCCTAATTTTACTGGTGAAAAACTGGTAATTACCAGTAAACGGGAACACTGGGACTAGCTACAAGCTCTGGGGACCAGTGAAATTCGGTCTTCTAGTCCTCTGGACTACTCTTATAAGAAACAAATGTGTAAGGCTACTCACCCTCTCCCTTCCAACAGCCAACCCTATAAGACTGATGCACTCAATGGTCTTCCCTCGCAGCAGGCGTAACTCTGTCGTCGTGGCGTTCTGAACGATGTACTTCAAACACGGCATAAACCTGTAGAAGATCACATACATTATAATAAATTCTCCCCATAGAATGAACATTTTCTTTGAAATCAAGTCTCGGATGTTTACCACTTCGGTGAAACCCACGAGCACGGGTATGGTGCTGACAAACCTAGAAACATAATCGGGGCGAACCGGGATTCGAACCCACGGTCATAGGTTTCTGGCGTGACCAAGGGACGCAACTCTTCACAGCGAATTGCGGCGCCTTAGACGACTGGGCCACCCGTGTCCCCTCGCGATCAAAGTAAGACAAAGCAATAATCAATCTCGCTGCCGCTAAACAAAGATATGACCTTTCGCGAACTTTGACCGATCAATGAAATGACTGAAAAGAAATAGACATTAGCCAATCAGAAGGCAGCTTTCTCAAGTTTTACGACACTAGTTTCAAACTGGCGACTACGCTTCGAAACATATTTTGACGTATTCTCGATGAAAAATTATAAAACTGATAAAAACAACACTCTGGAATGGCATATAGATGGCCTAGATTGTATGGATATAATAATTAAACCTGTAACTGTCGTTCGGAATACCCTCTGTGAAATATTTCGAGGTTGCATGATCAGAAAACACATTCAGTCTGTCACTTTCATGATCTGGTAAGCAACGCTCTGATTAGTTGGATGAAGGGTTGTTCTGAGGTGACCAATAATGGGATGTTCTCAGATCTTTGTTTAGCAATAGAGAGAACCAAGATCTGATTTTAATGAGATTGCAATAATATGCTGAATATTAACAGCTTTCAATGGTAGTGTTTTCCCTGTCAATGCATACCTTGACATTGACATTTCGAACAGAAACCACCCCTCAATCAGAAAGTTCAGATAATAAGACAAGGGAAAGTGAAGCACATCTTATTTCTTATTCAAAAACTTTTGAGGATACCATTTTTGTTGTATCAATCAAGTAAACTATTTGTTGTTTAACGCTGCACTCTGCAAGATTCCAGCAATATGACGGCGGTCCATAAATATATCAGGTCTGGAGCAAATAATCTAGTGATTGACATCATGAGAATCGATCTACGCAATTGACCCACGATGACATGCATCAACCAAGTCAGCGTGTCTGATAACCCGATCCAATTCATCACCTCTGATGACAAGCATGGGTTACTGAAGACCTATCCTAGCCCGGATCTTCACAGGTCTCATATATGTGCATACACACAATTCAAAACAAGTTAACTAAGACCAATTCTAACCCCAGTCTTCACAGGGCTCCAGTGAACTAAGGGAGGGAATGTTATTTTTGCTCTAGTCAGCAGTATTTCAGCAATCTTACAGAGACATATAATTCTGAGTCTAGCAAACAAGCAATTATTGTTCGTCTGACTAGCCAATATTGTATGTCGATGAGCTAAAATTGTATGTCTGACGAGTCAATATGTTATGTCTGACGAACCAATATCTTATGTCTGATTAGCAAATATTGTATGCCCAATAAGCCAATACAACAACACACTACTATTCAGGTCATATGATTGTCTGACCAGCCAGGAGGCATCGACTGAGCTACTATCGACGCACTGATCTTCTCACCTATCATAATACTGTAGGAACTTCTCCTCCGCTGTGTCCGCCACAGACGCTAGTGTTGTGACAACTTGTTCTAATACAAGCTTAGTACCCTTCTCCAACAGCTGAAACAAATGCACATCCATGTTGGTTCCATCCATGAACAAACACAACAGTATCAAGTTAGAACTTACCATTAGCCTGGGGTTAGTATAAATTCCTGCCGTCTAGGACAAACTTCCCAATTTTTCTTTTCGCAGCCATTTTGCCATAGGGGCTGATACTCTGGCTGATAATACAGTCACATTTTTAGCAAAAGTCAAACCAAATAGTGGTTCAAGTTATTTACATCTACATACATTCCTTAACAATTTAAATATAATTTAAACAAGCATAAAATACCCATATCCCCTGCCAATAAATATTGGTGAAGATATATTGCACGTTTTTCAAGATCTGCTCCGGAAAAGAGCACTACAGCCATTTTCCATCAAAGTCAAATGTTGTTGCCATGGAAACTCGAAAAATAATTTTTTTTAAAATCCCAAACTATCAAAAGGCACCAGTTCACCACTAGACCTATCTATGCGCCAAGTTTGGTAAAAATTCTTTTTAGTTCTGCTCTGAAAATGAAACATGACAGACGGCACCCATTCCTATCTCCCCCTTCACCTTAATGATAACAACATGCATAGAAACAAAACCTTACAACATCATCCTTCAATAGTTGTTAATACATGTTGACAAACATCAAGATCCTCAATTTAGGGCTAAGAAATATTTTCAATCTCCCTGACATGTCCAAGCAGAACATTCCTAGGTGAAGTGACTCAAATCCAATCCAAAAGCTACTCACTTCTTTCAGTTTGCTTGTGAGGACCTGTTCCAGCTTGTTAACAATGACATCGAGGTATGTTACTAGTATATGCTTTGGACAGTCTTCGCTGAAGTTGACGAGGGCCGCAGCACCGTGCGCCTGCACACGAGGGTTAGCCTCATCGTCCATGATCAGCAGCAGCTCAGATACAATCTGCAACACACCATCATCTGTCAATTATATTCTCATTATCTATGACCATAAGACTACATTTTAGTTGTTGTTGGTGGTTTCTTGTTTAATGCCGCACTCAGCAATATTCCAGCTATTTGACGGCGGTCTGTAAATAATCAAGTCTGGACCAGACAATCCAGTGATTAATATCATGAGCATCGATCCACGCAATTGGGATCGATGACATGCATCAACCAAGTCAGCGAGCCTGGCCACCCGATCCCGTGAGTCGCCTTTTACGACAAACAAAGTCACCTTTTACGGCAAGCATGGGTTGCTGAAGACCTATTCTAACCCGGAATCTTCACGGGTACTACATTTTAGTGAGTGAGTGTTGTTGTATGCTGCAGTATGTTATGCGTGACCATTGCGGCCTGTATAACCTAACAAAAAGGTTTATCATGAATATTTGAGGGGATATTTTATGGAATGGTATGCTCAGTTATCTACAAATAGAATATCCCCCCAAATATTCATGATCCCTAACTTTTTTGGTTCAGTATATATCCTTTCTGGACAAGAGAAACCAGTGGTTGATATTATGAGCAACATCTCCATGGTTGGTTGGTTTGTTGTTTAAACGCCGCACTCAGCAATATTCCAGCTATGAGGGCGGCCTGTAAATAATTGAGTCTGGACCAGACAATCCAGTGACTGATATCATGAGCATCGATCCACACAGATGGGTAAATGACACTCAACCAACCCAATCAGTTTCAGTGGCTTCTATCAACAAGCACTGGCTACTTGGGACTGTTCTACCCTGGAATCCCACAGCCATGATACACCGTTACATGCAACCGAACTTACTCAGGTAGATACGACTGGTTTTCAAGGAATCTCCCTTGATCAAATTATTATATGTCCATCTATGCTGCCGTGGCTTACTTAACGGATGATAAGAAACATTGAAGTTGACATAAGCTTTTAAGGTTTGAGTCAAACAGTAAATTTCTGCATTAAGTGGGTGGTTTTAAGCCAGTGACAAAATACCAGGTATATCACACATGAGAACTTGGGCAAGATGAGAGATAGCTCTTACTTCATTGTTGCTGCTCCAGCTATATATCCTTAAATACTTGTTAAAAGTATTTGAAAAAATAAATAGGTTTGAAATAGGTACATATTCTTACCCGCTGGTGGAACTTTTTCTGAAACGTTGGACCAAAGTCTGTACACAACTGCCCAATAGCATTACATGCAGCGTACCTCACCCTCGGATGCTGAAACAAAGGGATGAGGTTTGTGGTCTTACTAGACAATATTCCAGCTACAACGACTGCCTGTATATATATATATATATATATATAATCAAAATGGCCAGAAAAAACAGTGGCCAGAAAAAAACAACTATCGAGTTAGTGGTTGTTAGTTTGTTGTTTAACGCCACGCTCAGCAATATTCCAGCTATATGACGGCGGTCTGTAAATAATCGAGTCTGGACCAGACAATCCAGTGATTGACATCATGAGCATCGATCCATGCAATTGGGATACGATGACATGCATCAACCAAGTCAGCGAGCCTGACCACCCTATCCCGTTAGTTGCCTTTTACGACAAGCATAGTCGCCTTTTTTACGGCAAGCATGGGTTGCTAAAGATCTATTCTACCCCGGATCTTCACATCGAGTTAGTGAGTGGATACTGTTTAACAACAAGTCTGCAAATACCAGATATATCAAAGAGACCTGTGAAAACAAGGATGGGCCCAAAGTGCAGACAGTGAGCCATTGTCAGGACAATGACTCTCTCAGTGACGCCACACATTGTAAGCCACTCTTTTGCCCTGGAATCGCCAGGGATTATTTTTGAAACAATGGTAATGACATCATATGATTACATACAGGGTCCTTTGTTTGTGGCATGACAGCATCCATGATGTTTCCTAGCATTGTCTCCATCTGTAGATGACAGCCCTCGGCACATGCGGATATAGCCATGAGCGCCGCGTGCCGGTACCGCCAGTCGTCTGCAAGGCAACATAGGTAATTATTGCAAAGTAAAAAGGGTAGATGTACAACTCGTATGACCTTACTCTTTTTACAGTGACAAATTATTCTTCCTTTGAAACACGTAAATTCAGAAAGGCATGTTTTAAATCTTTTGAGGGCCCTATGACATGCTTGATAAAAAAGTACATTTCTGTGATGATAGGTGATGAGTTTCTACCAGCTGCTGCTGCAAATACACTCACCGTGAGCCATCATCTGAGAGATGTTCGTGACGATGTGTGGCAGCATCGTCTTACCCCCCAGGGCACATGCCAGCCTGTCGAGAGCACTCTCACCCGCGATGGCATTGCTGAAATACACAATCACCAATTATAGCCGACAGATTTGTAAGCTTGTTTGTTTGTTTGTTGTTTAACGCCGCACTAAGCAATATTCAAGCTATATGACGGCGGTCTGTAAATAATCAAGTCTGGAGCAGACAATCCAGTGATTGACATCATGAGCATCGATCTTCACAATTGGGATACGATGACATGTATCAACCAAGTCAGCGAGCCTGAACACCCGATCCCGTTAGTCGCCTCTTACGACAAGCATAGTCGCCTTTTAGGGCAAGCATGGGTTGCTGAAGACCTATTCTACCGTGATCTTCACGTGTCAGTGTTTATTCATTTCACCTAAAAACAGAGTACTTTGTATGTCAAATATTCTTCTTCTAATTACTTTATCATCCGAAACTGGCTCCCACAGGAGATATCACTTGGGTGAGATCAAGAGATATCTATATTGTAGATATCACTGCAATGAAATTGCACCACAATGCTTTGCAGACCATTGTGACGTCATTGGTTACCATGACGTCACAATCAAATGACAAAACTAATGGCTCTGCTACTGAAGCTGTTAAGTACCCTTAGGACACTGCTTATTACTGTCGACCAACTGGAAAAGTCCTTATCAAAGCGACCTTGAACTAATCATGGGGGTGCCATTAACTAGATGACAGACAATGGTGTTTGATGACGGCATTTGATATCATGCTTTCAATTGTCTCAGTCCTATCATTAAGCATCAATACATTCAGACAAAAAAGGCTCTATGATATATCATCATAGACATTGAAAGCAATGACACCTGAAAAAGTTTAAATGTGGTTGAAAATATTTGTAGAGGTTGGAATCCCTAAGAAGGCAAGATCAGCAAATACAGACACTTAAATCTTTACGACATCTACTGAACTGTAGGAGACCATAATCCTTTTCTCAGGGCTCAAGCATATGTTTTTTCACATAATTCACCACAAAATGAGGAAAATAGAAGCCAAGATTTAATCACGAATGCAGGAAAAGGCATTTCAAAGGGTGAGGAGTTCTAAGAGTTTCAGAGTCCCGCTAGATGGCTACGCGGCCTCCATTTACTTGTAGGCCAGTTAGTTTGGAGACGGGCAGAAACTTAAAAGGAGCAAGCCCTGTTGGCTTCAATCAACCTCTGTATCAGGTCTGACCTGTCAGCCTCGTCCTCATCTTCATCTTTGTCTTGCACTGACCAATCAGGATCATTCTCCAGGTCAACCATCAGCGCAAGAACCTGGGGCACTACAAATAGAATAGGTAAAACCAATCAAGGAAACTTAAAGATCTTTGGTCACATCAGATTCTTCCATGAAGGGAATATGTCAACCAACACTGGTATCTGAGGACTAAAGAAATAAGCATCTAAAATGTCTGATGTTTGCAAACATTTTACTGATGAGGATCACTTCCAGATGATAGTAGTATTCAAAATTAGAAACTGTGAGTGAAGATATAATTCCAATAATCAGATGCGTAAAAAATACCCCCCAAAACTATTCAAAACCCAATTACTTTCAATTAACTGGTGTACAGAAACGTATGTATTAAATAAAAAACTCAATTGTTTGAAAACAGCACGCGAAAATACCCAATGAAGCTTTTTCAGCTTGTGTACAACAGAGCTAATTTACTTTCCGAGTCAAGCCTATATTTAGAATGGTTATATACATCTAAAACATTATTTCATCTCTTTTGAAATCTCAAAATGTGTACTCATATTGGGAAAAACCAAAAAAGAGTGATGAAAAGATGTGTGAAAAAAGATTAGTTACCCAATAAAAAATGTAACAACCCCATTAAAATTGAAACCTTCGAGTAAAAACTCAATTGCTCAAAATGTTACCTGGAGCTCTGAATAATAAAATATGCAGAACTTACCTAGTAGAGGAATAAATTTGCTGAACTTCCTGACCATGGCTGGTGCCGTTTCTGAAAGAGTTGTGATGACCTCCAGACCAAGCTGGCGCCAAGAGTCAGGTAAATTGGCATCTGATACAACCTGCAAAAAAACCCAATCACCACGTGTTTAGTACTTCTCACAGACTCAATATTGTATCTTGTCACTATTAGTACCACAAAACAACGGAGCAGCAGTCTCACTGTGACAGTGACAAAGAATGGTATGCTGAAGTGTGATAAAGGATGAAGGTTGACTCGCGACCAGGGCTCGATTTAGCTATATAAAACATGCACATAAGGCAAACACATTATTGAAAAGTGCAACCCAAATAAAGTTACTCGAAACTGATGTTGAATCTAACACAAATTTGCTATCAAAGAGAACATCATTAACATGAAAAATAATAATTTTGAAAACACAATGTCAAACTACAATACTTTTTAAGGTATTTACTTGTAATTTCAGTCCTTTTCAAGATAAGCTGGTATTTAAAGTCTTTTCCAGTCAAACATTAAAATTCCAGTAAACCAGTACGCATTGAGTAAGTTGATAAGTGGCGTGCTCGGACTGACTGACCTTGAGACACAAGGGGATGATGCTCTCCAGTTGGGGCCGCAGGTACTTGGGAACGTTCTCCGCCAGCTCGATCATACACTTGAGTAGCGCATCATCTTCCTGTTGGTTCACACTCTCCACAACGCCCTGGACACAGAACACAGGTAAATAGCACAACGTCCACAAACATTATGTGCTTTTAGATTTGCTGGCGTTATTGAGTATTTGATGCCCAAGTATTTCAACATTTGAAACCTTCGGCAAACTGTGTGCATTCTAAGTGACATTTCTGAAAACACATACCGTATTCGACAAAATAAGCGCCCAGGGCTCTCTCAAAATTAGAAACAGGGGGCTCTTATTAGAATATTATTTTGGTGAAAAACAACAGCCTGAAATGTTTATATATACGACAAATATATTTTTTCAGAATTTAATTTCCCATAATTAAGGATGCATATAACACACGTACTATACATGAATAAATAAGTCTTGTGTACATTGATCAATCGGAAGGGTGCTAATTGGTATTGTTCGCTAGCCAATATATTAGCAAATATTGCCGTGGGCGCTTATTAGAGCGGGGCGCTTATTATGTCGAATACAGTAACTTTATTTCCCTAAATATCAAACAGTGTCAGAAACAAAGCAGGGTCCTAGGGTTTGCTGCTCGGTACCCCAAATCTTTCCCATACACTCGGGACACCTAAATCTTTCCCATACACTTGGGACCCCTTAATCTTTCCCATACACTTGGGACCCCTAAATCTTTCCCACACACTCGGGACCCTAAACCTTTGTCATACACTCAGGACACCTAAATCTTTCCCACACACTCGGGACCCCTAAATCTTTCCCACACACTCAGGACCCCTAAATCTTTGTCATACACTCAGGACTCCTAAATCTTTCCCATACACTCGGGACCCTAAATCTTTCCCACACACTCAGGACCCCTAAATCTTTGTCATACACTCAGGACTCCTAAATCTTTCCCATACACTCGGGACCCTAAATCTTTGTCATACACTCAGGACCCCTAAATCTTTCCCATACACTCGGGACCCCTAAATCTTTCCCATACACTCGGGACATCTAAATCTTTCCCATACACTCGGGACCCCTAAATCTTTCCCATACACTCGGGACCCCTAAATCTTTCCCATACACTCGGGACCCCTAAATCTTTCCCATACACTCGAGGGCCCCTAAATCTTTCCCATACACTCGGGACATCTAAATCTTTCCCATACGCTCGGGACCCTAAATCTTTCCCACACACTCGGGACCCCTAAATCTTTCCCATACAACTGAAGGGCTCTGACTAGGACGCCTTACTTCCCCTGTACAAGTTGATAACGCTGTACGTACCTGCACGACCCCGGGCAACAGGTCTGGGCCCTGTTCCCCAAAGCGATCTTAGTGCTAAGGTGATCGTAAGTCTCATTCTTTAACATAGGCTTACGATCATCGTAGCGCTAAGATCGCTTTGTGGAACGGGGCCCAGGACACCTGAATCTTTCCCATACAACTGAAGGGCTCTGACAAGGACGTCTTACTATCCCTGTACACGTTGTTACCGCTGTACGTACCTGCACGACCCCGGGCAACAGGTCCCGGAAGTGGTTCAACAGGCCCTGCTCCTTGTCATTGGCATTGAGGAATGCTGTAGTTGCCTTGACTGCTTCAAACCGCACCTGTCAAGACCCACACGATGTTAGGCTTAACACAAACTTATCGGCTTACTTGAAGGTATGTTAACTCTGACAAGTACAGTAGTCAAGTGGTAGACAACCGATGAGGGATAGACACCTTCGGTCTTAGTTAACTAGTCCACAGCTCATTTTGACTATTGATTTATGGTTGCTGTTGTTTAACGCCTCACTCCGCCATATTACAGCTATATGACGGTGGTCTTTAAATAATCGAGTCTGGACCAGACAATCCATTCATTGACATCATGAGCATCGATCAACGCAACTGAGATAAGATGACATACATCAACCAAGTCAGCGAGCCTGACCACCCTATATCGTTAGTCGCCTCTTACGACCAGCATAGTCGCCTTTTACAACAAGCAATTGGGATCGGTGACATGCACCAAACCAAGTCAGCGAGCCTGACCACCCGATCCCGTTAGTCACCTCTAACGACAAGCACAGTTGCCTTTTACGGTAAGCATGGGTTGCTGAAGAACTATTCTACCCTGGATCTTCATGGGTCGACTATTACTTTAAGTAAAACACCGTCGCTCTAGATTTTCACAAGTCAGGCAAAAAGACTAGTGCCTGTGTCTAACCCATAACATAAGCTCACATTGCTGAAATCATAGCTGTTTTACAGCCAGGAGACAGCTAATCCCCATATATACCTTCAAATCGGGAAAGACAATGCACATAAATGCCACTGAACACTATAGGCCACTGCCTGTCCACTTAGCCAATCAAACTGTTCAGCTTAGCTGAAGCACGAGCACTCTATACTAGGGCTGTTACGATTCACTCGCGTATTCGGTGAATCGAGACGTATCCATTCATGAATTGAATTCGTTATTCGTGGCCACTAGAATCGAATATTTTTGAATATGCAAGCATATGCATTTACATGTAAATACCCATAAGAACATATTATATGCATAGATTTCTTCATAATACAACACTCTTATACTGTTTAATTTGACAGTATTGTGGTCACTGGTCATTGTTGCATTTGAGCAGATACTAGTACCTGGATAAATGCAGTATATAAATGAATAATATATTTAATAATATATTAAAAATTAACAAACCATGTCAAATAATTTATGTTGTTGTTGCCTCACTGAACATGCTGAATATGACAAATGATACATCAACTGCTGACTTGTTAATGTATTTGTGAATTATTCTTCGAATCCGTTACCCTATATTCATGATACAAATCGTATTCGCCTCATAGTGTATTCGTTGCAGCCCTACTCTATACAACTACATTTATAAGATTCGAAATGCAGTCAAGTGTGTACTAGTGTCAATTCTAGCACAATGGATAAAAATATTTCGCTGGTAATTAGTTTTGTTTGGTGTAAGAGTTACTAAAGCAAACATTTAAGGTAGGAAGTAATATTTTTCACCTTGATGAACATCCCACCACAGTTTGAGACTGCACAATATTATGACATGGATAGATATACCCGTGAAAATCCAGGTCAGAAAAGGTCTTCAGCAACCCATGCTTGCCGTAAAAGGCGACTATGCTTAGTGACTAATGGGTTCAGGTGGTCAGGCATGCTGTCTTTGTATCTCAATTGCGTCGATCGATGCTGATGTCAATCAGTGGATTGTCTGGTCCAGACTCTATTATTTACAGACACCCACCATATACATGATATAGCTGGAATATTGCCGAGTCTGGTGTTAAACAACAAACAAAACACCTACAACTTATACCTGAGGGTGTTCCCTGTCCAGAAGACTCTGCCCGAGCATCTGTTTGATGACCTCAATGTAGTGAGCCTGTTGGTTCCCAAATACTCCCGGGACCACACTGCAGTAGAAACAAACAGGACTGTAACTATGCACTTTGTTGCCATGAAATGTGTCACATCCTACATGAAAAGTAGAACCTACCATGCACAGAGCCGTACAGTAGTCATGGTAGCACTCCATCGTCAAAGAGTATTCGTGAAAGTTAGTGCAGAGGTGTATACATGGTATAAGGATGATAAGGTAATATGTTCAGCAGCGTTAGAAATTGGCACTAGTCCTATAGTCCTTGCCAAACTGCCCAATAGTTAAGGTATCATAAGGACTAGTAGAAATTGGCCCTTAATAAGGGTTTTGCTATGTGTCAGCATCATAACATCTTCCCGAGGCAAGAGAGTTAACTCTTTAAAACAAGAGTTAATTCTTTCGGCAAGGGTGGAAACTGGACTTTTAAAGTCAGCTAACTCTCTTGCCTCTGGAAGATGGCATCATAAGGACTAGTGGACCAAAACTGTTAGTTTCAGCAGTTGTAAATAAAAGAGTTCTTATCATCAGTGCTAAAGGACAGATGGATGGACATAAAAGAAGTCAAGATAAACTAAAATCTTAAATATTTCTTTAGACCACCAATTTGCTGAGGATCATATAAAATATGGAACCACATGGGGATAGAAAAAATACTTTGCTATTACTAGGTAATGTAAGTAACGGAGATAATGTGGCCATCAGGGCCTCTTATTTTGATTCAAGACCTTTAATTAAACGATTACAAGTACTTATTATTCTAATTTTTGGTAGACTTAATTATGGTAGAGTATCTGAACTGACAAATTGTATCACTGAATGATGTGAAGATCTGGCCTAGAATTGGTCACCAGCAACCAATGCTTGTCATCAGAGGTGACTAAAAGGATCGGGTACTCAGGTTCGCTGACTTGGTTCATGCATGTGATTGTATCCATATTGCATCGATTGATGCTAATGATGTCAATCACTGGATTGTCTGGTCCAGCCTCGGTTATTTACAGAAGGCCGTCACCTAGCTCGAATATTGCGGAGTGCGGATTTAAAGAACAAGGAAATCACAGTTTCTCTACTATATGATGGAGGTACATGCCACGACCTACGTGAATATGTGTAGAGCGCTCTCTCTCAAGCCAGGGTCCTGTGAGTTGGCGCACTCAAACAGAAACTTGAGGAAGTCCGGCCACAGCATGTTGTTTTCCTCATCTAAAACAGAACATGGGGGATTTACTGGAATAGTGAGTGAGTGAGTGAGTTTGGTTTTACGCCGCTTTTAGCAATATTCCAGCAATATCACGGCGGGGGACACCAGAAATGGGCTTCACACATTGTACCCATGTCGGGATTCTAACCCGGGTCTTTGGCGTGACGAGCGAACGCTTTAACCACTAGGCTACCCAACCGCCCCAATTTACTGGAATAATAGACATAGGTCAACAGTGTGTAAAACAGTCTCAAAATATTGTGGGCAAGCTGGCCTTAAAAGTTACCAGTCAGTTTAAAATTTCTTTACCTTAAATATGTGATTTTATTTTCCCAGAAATATGATTCCGCAAAGTTGATCTGCAAATTGGGTCTATTTTATTCATGAGAAAATAACAAGTGTATCATAAAATAGATCCAAAATGCAAATCATGAGTCAAATATAAAGAGGGGGGAGTAACTCTGATCTCGATTCACTGGGGATATTAATTTTGATTTTTCAGTTTTGACGGTTGTATTGAGCTACAGAAACGGTTGAGGTGTGCATACCAAAAAAGAGTGAATGTCTCGATAGCAAGTCGGGCTACGGACATTTCTGAATCTTTTGCCCTGCCAAAATTTTGCAGTGGGCAGGCAGCTTTTTCACACACTGGGTCAAGCATCTCATTGTGAGTGAGTGAGTGAGTTAGATTTTACGTCGCTTTTAGAAATATTTCAGCAATATCACGACGGGGAACACCAGAAATGGGCTTCACACATTGTACCTATGTCGGGAATCGAGCCCGGGTCTTCGGCGTGACGAGCGAACGCTTTAACCACTAGGCTACCCGACCGCCCTGCATCTCATTGTGAAAATGATGGCTCAAGTCCAAGAAACACAGAGCAAACAATAGCTACCCAGGGACCCACATCGCACAAAACTGGCCCCTTCCTAGAGGAATGTCATGTCATTATATTGGTAAATACACAGAGAAATTGGTGACTCATGAAGATCTGGGGTAGAACAGGTCTTCAGCAACCCAAGCTTGTCGTAAAAAGGCAACTAACAGGATCAGGTGGTCAAGCTTGCTGAGTTGGTTGATGCATGTCATCGTATCCCAATTGCTTGGATCGATGTTCATGATGTCAATCACTGGATTGTATGGTCCAGACTCAATTATTTTCAGACTGCTGCCATATAGCTGGATTATTTGCTGAGTGTGGGGTTAAACAACAAACAAAGATAAATTGGTCAAATTCCCTGAACATTGTCTTTAAACTGCCATAACGTCAAACTGCTCACCGATCATATTCCTGGCCAGCTCAGCCAGAGCATCACAGACTTTTTTCCTGACAGGGGGAGTTAACTCTTCTTGGACAGCGAGCAGCATTTCCTTCTTGATGGCATTTTTAAGGTCTTCCGTCACTTGGGGCCAAAACTCTTCAAAATTGGATGTGAACAAACGTCGCAGGAGTACATTTGCCAAGCTTCTTGTCTACAAAGGGGTACAGACATGATTCAGCATTATCTCTCAGGGTAACCATAGTAATAAGGTTAACATAGGTTAGACATACATACTTGTTGCCTGGCAACTCACCAACTCTTTTCTCAAACTAGCTTCCCAACAATTTAATATGATCAATACTACAAGGATCAATGTCCATGTCTTTCTTCACTAACATCAACACTGAACCATATATACTCACCAGAACTACAGATAAGCTGCGTATTTGCCTAAAATCCCCCCCCCCCCCCCCCGCAAAAATATTCAAAACCCAATTACTTTCAATTCACTTGCGTACAGAAATGCATGCATTAAATGAAAAACTCAAATGTATAAAAACAGCTCGCATAAATTCCCAATGAAGCTTTTTCGGCATGTGTACAACGGAGCTAATTTCCGAAAACACAATAACCAGTTAAATTACTTTCTGAGTCAAGCCTATTTATTTAGAACAGTTATATATATCTTAAACATTATTTCATATTTTTTTTAATCTTAAAATGTTCACTACTTTTGGGAAAAAAACCAATAGAGTGTAGAATAGATGAGTGAAAAAATATTGGTCATCCAATGAAAAATGTAATAATCCAATTAAAATAGAAACCCTAGAGTGAAAACTCAATTGCTCAAAAAGTTATCTAGAGCTCTGACTCACCGACAAAATGAAACGCGAATACTATACATGTTGGTTAATATGTGAAGAATTGCATCATATTCATGAGATATTAGATTGGTTTGATGCACAAATGAACATACTGTTATGTTGTGTGAACCGATGCTCATGAACGCACAACATGTGGTCACAGATCAGCGACTCGAGATGCAACATTTGTCTTGGGCAGTATTAGTGCGTAAAGTTTGCAAATCATGTGCGGCATATCGTGATAAGAATAAAGACACTGTGGAAACACTTGACCGAGTGTTAGTTTTGGTAATAAATTGGTTCATAAATCATAAAATATATATATTTACAGATTATTGAAACGCACACTGTGTCACTGTGTTTATGTAACAGGGTGCTGTTTTAAACATATTTCATGATTGTGTCATAAACTCACCTCAATGGAGGTGTCTGCGTTTCGTACAGTTCGGATGAGAAACTCCAGTCGACTTGGGATTGGGATACCCTCATAGGCTTGCTGAAATAGAATTTATTTGTAAGTAATTAGAGTTAGACAAGTGAGGTGAGGTGAGGTGAGGTGAGGTGAGGTGAGGTGAGGTGAGGTGAGGTGAGGTGAGGTGAAATGGGGTTTAACGTCGTCTCCAAGATTATTGCACCTATATAGCAATGTGCATACACATGTGTGATTGGCTGTTTGTACTAGTCCGGACTAATGCCAATTTTATAGTGCTCGCCCAGTGGGATTCTGTGGGATACCATCTCACAGTTTAACATGAACACCCAACTCAGACACAGTATACTGACTGTGCCGACCATTCCTTGTTTTAGCCGCTTTATGCCGAGCGCCAGACAGGGTAACAAGAACCCCAGCCCTTCCGCTCCCTGGACAGACGCTCTACTGCTAGACCATGGAGGCGCCATCGCACTATTATCTACGCTTTGAAAGAAGGCTCGCTTCGTTTGAGGCGTGGCCAACGCAAATGTATCAGACTGCTGAAGAGATGGCCCATGCGGGGTTTGTCTACACTCAGATGGCCGATGGTGTGTGCCAAGCTATAGGCATACACGTGTGTATAGTTGGCAATCTCATTAAAATCAGACCTTAGTTCTCGCTGCTGCTAAACAAAGATCTGAGGACATCCCATTAGGGGTCGCGTCAGAACAACCTTTCATCCGACCAATCAGAGCGTCGCTTACCAGATCATGAAAGTGAGAGTCAGAATGTGATTTCTAATTCTGAACGATAGTAACAACTTAACAACTGAATCCATATAATCTAGACCATCTATTAGCCATTCCAGAATGTTCTTTTGTTCAGGTTCCAAGTTTTAATCGAGAATTTGTCAAAATATGTTTGTCAGCGTAGTCGCCAATTTAAAACTATTGCTGTAAAGCACGAGAAAGGTGCCTTCTGATTGGCTAATGTCTACTTCTTATCAGTTATTCCATTGGTCGGTCAAAGTTCGTGCAAGGTCGGTCTGACAGGACCTGTAATGTTATTTCCTTGGATCTTTGTTCAGCGGTAGCGAGAACTAAGATCTGATTTTAATGAGATTGGTACAGTTAGTGGTGTAACAACATGGTGATACAGTATTGTATCCCGATACATGACCCATGATACAATATAGGGCTGGGGCTGGCAACTAGGGTCGAATGGGTACTGAGAAGGCCTTGGCAACCTATAGGACTACCCAGACCCATGGTTAGTTACATGATATATTGTTATGAAAGATGAAATTCTTCTTTACCAGAATGCGGACACATCAGTACTAAACATATGCCCAGTCAGCATGCCCAGGTTGTAGAATGACTCACTATTCAGGCCGCAAAGTTGCAACAAAAATGGTCGCCAATGTGACCTAAATTTCAGTTTGTCTACTGTCTAAAATTCAGAGGTAACCAAATGTCGACCTTGAAAAATATCTTGTGGCGACTAAATTCTATTGCTACACATCTGTAGACACAAAAATAAATAACAGCTGATGGTTGAAAACATGTCTGCTAATACATGTAATTGTACTCGCAAATAATTCCTTCTAAAGTCGACAATGAACCAAAATACATAAATATTAATGTAATTAGTATTTTATTTTAGTTGACAATGCTCACTGGATAAGCAAGGTTATACCTATATAATCTAGTAACATAAATTGCATCATTGTTCAAGTCACAAATAACAAAAATCAAGTACAGTTTCCATTAAGATACAATTTCAAGACTATCGCTGTAAAATACATATTATAATAGTTATTTGATAAAGATTATTTCAAATGCTTTTGGCAACCTACATTATTGGCTTGACTTCTTGATTTTACCACTGGCTACCTGGAAAAAAATACTTGTAGCCATATGACTACTTGGTAAAAATGTAAACTTTGAGGCCTGCTATTCTTTCCAAAGCTTTCAATCCAACACTTTTCAAGTTTGAACAGTAAACTTTTCGTCATTTTAAGTTCATTATTTCGAACATGTTGTAGTGATCAGATAGTTATTGGACAGTAAATCAGTGATGGGCTTTGGTGATGTCCTCTCAACATGTTAATGATAAAAATAAATGTTGAAGAAGTTTGGAAGTGTTTGTCATAACTCTTGATTGAGAGGGATATGTAGCCTGTAGCGACCCCCACCATATCATTGGTGAGGTGAGGTGAAATGGGGTTTAACGTCGCGTCCAAGATTATTGCACTTATATAGCGACGTGTGTGTGTGTGTTTGTGTGGTTGCTTGTACCAGTCCGGACATGCCAATTTATAGTGCTAGCTCACTGAGATACCATGCCGCAGTTTAACACCCCACTCAGACACAGTATAGACTCGGAGCCGTCCAGTCCTTGTTTTAGCCCCTTAATGCCGAGCGCCAGACTGGGTAACAACAAGTTCCATCTTTTAACGTCTTTTGGTATGACGCGGCCGGGGATCAAACCCCGGACCTTCCTCTCTCCGGGCGGACGCTCTACCACTAATTCAAACCCCTTGCGAGAGCATGCTACAGTTAAGGTGAGGTGAGGTGAAATTGGGTTTAACGTCGCGTCCAAGATTATTGCACTTATATAGCGACGTGCATGCACGTGTATGTGTGTGTGTGGCTGCTTGTACTAGTCCGGACTGATGCCGATTTATAGTGCTAGCTCACTGAGATACCATGCCGCAGTTTAACATGAATACCCCACTCAGACACAGTATACTGACTCCGAGCCGACCAGTCCTTGTTTTAGCCCCTTAATGCCGAGCGCCAGACAGGGTAACAACAAGTACCATCTTTTAACGTCTTTTGGTATGACGCGGCCGGGGATCGAACCCCGGACCTTCCTCTCTCCGGGTGGACGCTCTACCACTAATTCAAACCCCTTGCGAGAGCATGCTACAGTTAAATATTATAATTGCCAACAAGTCCTTGTTTCATTCCCTTACTTCCAGGCCATGCAGGGTATCAAGTACCATCTTTAATGTCTATTTGGTTTGATGTGGACAGGGGATAGAACCGACCAACATTCCGCTCTCCAGACTGACACTCTATCAATTAACCCACAGCCACATTAACCAGAAAACTAGGACTAGTCAGTAACAAATGCTTAGGCGCTAAATGGGCTTTCAGTTTCAGCTCCATACAATATTGATGGTCTGTCTTGATAAAACAGTGAGATGTAATTCATCAAGAGTTTCATACAAGCTCAAACACTCATCGACTGAAAACCAAGGGGTAACATAATCCTCAATCAATTTTTTATCAGTTTCATTAATAAGTACAGAGGCAGTAGCTATTGACAAGGGAATTGTGTTTCACTCGGATCACAACATGGAAAACGTGTCGGTTATTGCAAATTGTAATACAAGGCACTTCATATCTGAAGATTGCCATGTGGACAATACCACTTAAATAAAATATTACAATCATAAAAATTCCTGTTCATGTTTGGTCAAACTGTTTTTTAATGTTCAACTCTGCAGATACATTTGGAAGGAAGTCAAAATGCAAAGTGATGACGCATAGAGCTACTCCTAAAAATTACTTGGCTCATACAAAGTCTTTTTTTTCTCCCTTGTTCATATATATTGCGAACTATACAGACCAAGGTGTTTTTTAGCCTTGATATATATGCTTTCCCAAGATAATAGTACCCTACTTTCACCCAGACATGTGTGACCAGTTGTTTTATTCATAACCACAGAAAAAAAATCACAACACCAATTTGTAAGCAAGACACGAGTTGATCGAGCCGAATTCAGTTAGGCCTACTTTACGGTATCAGTTTACGACCTAAACAATATTCGTTTATTTGTAATTATATGTACACACGGTGAAAGTCAAAGCTGAACTTCAGAGAATCGCAACTCCCTCCAACACGCACACGTGTGTCTGCCTTTATTATGACCACATGGCAGAAGGCTGGAGTCACATGGAGAAGGATCGATGAGACAGAGGCTCACACCACCCAGCGTCTGGTGCCGCGATCTCTTGTTTGGGGCAGCTCTCAAGATATTTAATTGGAAGACACATAAACAATCTTCAAAATACATACCTCTGATTGTGTTCTTGTGTTGTTATCAGGGCTCAAAAGAGACTGAAGTAATAAATCGAATTGTGCCAAATCGGCAGCCATTTTTACTTGGCATGTACTGTAACCCTTGACCTCGCTTGAATTCCCGCGTGAAGAGCGAGAAAGAGAGTGCTCTCCCTTGCGTGTACACTTGTTCTTCTTATCAGAAAAAAAATGGGAAAAACTTTGATGGACATAACAAAAATCTATATTTTGATATTCACATTTGTAGTATGCCGTTGCATGTGAATGTATGCGCATGTTAAAGAATTAGTACTCTCTCTCTCTCTCTCTCTCTCTCTCTCTCTCTCTCTCTCACTGTCCTTTTTATTCAGCTTGGTATGAAAGTCGGCGATGTTTTCAATTAGGTTAAAAATAAAAATATTAATATTTAAAATATTACCATTCTATGTAAACGCTATAAATGAATATAAAATTACACATCTGTGAGTTGAAAGGATGTTCAGGCATTAATATGTGAACATCACATCTCGTATCGACAATTAATCTCAGTGTCCCCTCTCAAGACCAGCGCATGGGCCGTTCCACAAAGTGACCTTAGCGCTGCGACTGTCACAACGCCCATATTTACGGACCCGTGAAGATCCGGGATAGAATAGATCTTCAGAAATCCATGCTTGCCGTAAAAGGCGACTATGCTTGTCATAAAAGGCGACTAACGGGATCGGGTGGTCAGGCTCGCTGACTTTTTTCATCGATCCCAATTGCATGGATCGATGCTCATGATATTAATCACTGGATTGTCTGGTCCAAACTCGATTATTTACAGACCGCCGTCATATAGCTTGAATATTGCTGAGTGCGGCGTTAACCAACAAACCCATATTTACGACAGCCCGGCGCAAAGATCGCTTTGTGCAAATAAGCTCTGTGATATAAGTTAATGAAAACGGATCAGTTTACAGGATAGAAATTAGCCTCATTTGGTAAATTCCATATCATTTGATAAACCGACCAAAACTCTATATGGTCAAACGCCAAACTTGCCATTCGCATTGGGCAGCGCACGCGCCGGTTATTGGAATAAGCCCAAGCATACCACCACACAGGTTAAATTACGTGTTGCATATTACTGCCTGAAATTCCAAAGTGACACAAAGCCTATATGTCACATTCTTTCTGGCGCATGAGTCATATGATGATCACGTGACTAGTGAGCTCAGCTTCCAAAAGAAACTTTACGTCATTTTTCAAAAACGTGCGTGTCTGTATATATGATGTCCCGGATTCCGGATTAGAATAGTCCCCAACAACCTAAGTTTGTCTCCCCGTTGGGATTCCGGATTAGAATAGTCCCTAGCAACCTGTGCTTGTCTGCCCGTTGGGATTCCGGACCATATCCTACACCAGGAGATCTGACTTGGTTGTGTTTCAGGGAAATTTGACAGCAAATCGCTACATGAATCAAATTCTTCAACCTCACCTTCTTCCAAACATTGACCGCTAGAGGGAGTTGTTTCAACGCTCCACCTCACACAACTCGTGTCACGGTAGGCTACCTTCATAATGCCCACATCAACATTTTGCCCTGGCCGTTGAGATCTCCAGATCTCAATCCAATCGAATACATCTGGGATGAACTCGATCGACGTGAACGTCAACGTCAGAACACGCCGCAGACACTCCCACAACTGGCCAACGCGTTACAAGCAGAATGGCACAGAATTCCGCAAGACAGAATTCGTACACTTATCCAGTCAGTGCCGAGGAGATGCAGAACGTGATTGCTGCCCGGGGCGGTCACACGGGATACTGAGTTCAGCGCTACCTTGTGGCCTTATGTGACATGACAATGAACAGTTTTCAATGCCCTTGTACAAAGAAAACATGTGACTATCGAGCTCGAAAATGTCAAATTTGTATCTATGATATTAAATTAAATATATCGACTTTATTAGACATGTACAATAAATTTACTAAAAATCTACCTGTGCGTTTCTTCTTTTGAAGAGTGTGTTAACAAAATGTGAAATTCCAGGTCAACAACACAAGTCCAGGCTCGATTAATTAGAAACCATTCTCTAAAAAATCGAGCCCAAACAGCCAATCAAATCGCTGTACACTTGCGTCAGGCCAACGAAGTTCAGATTACTGATCGGACAATTAGAAATCGTCTGCATGCAGCTAATCTCATGATCGGCGACCAGGTGTTGAACCACCGTCAGGAAATCGACACATGCTAGCCAGACGCCAATGGTGTTCACAGAGAAGATACTTGGTGAATCACCGAAGGTCTCGTATAATGTTTTAAGATGAGTCCAGATTCGCTCTGGACTTTATTGATAGGCATGGACGTGTCTAAAGGCGTCCTCACGAACGCCATGCGAACGTCAGCGTAAGGCAACGTAACACATTTTGGGGATGGGGTGGGTGGTTCTGTAAAGATATAGGTCGGGATCACTATGACTGCTAGAGGGCCACTGTTTATTGTCCATGGGTGAGTGAGTGAGTATGGTTTTACGCTGCTTTTAGCAATATTCCAGCAATATCACGGCGGGGAACACCAGAAATGGGCTTCACACATTGTACCCATCTCTGTCAATATTCCTGAAGAAGATTTTTTAAATTAGACGTTAATATTTTATGTAAACTTATTATTACCTACACGTGACTGTACAATGTTGATAAAAAAAAACCCACTTCTGTACTGTAGGTCATATGGCCTAAAATATTGAATAAACTTCTGTCTGTCTGTCTGTCTGTCTCTCATGTCGGAAATTGAACCCGGGTCTTCGGCGTGACGAGCGAACGCTTTAACCACTAGGCTACCCGACCGCCCCTATTGTCCACGGAATAGCTCCTGGACAGAACTTGTCTGGCATACAGACCCTGAAACAAATATATCGAATACAGCCCATGCAAGTCTATAATGTTTGTCAAGTCTAGATTACTGCAGTATCAGGTTGAAGAAAGTCTCTGTGCTCTTTTTTAATTATATTTTATAACTATAATCACAACTGTTTTTTTTCTGTAAAATATGACCATTTCATAGACTAGATGATAGTCTAGGACAGAGCCTCCGAGATAACACCCTTGAGCCAATCATGGTGCCGTTTGTACGGAAGCGAAGTAGGGCCACGGTGATTTTTTTTTGTCTAAGTATCTCCTACGTAGGACTAAATATAATTCTTGTAACTCCACACCCTTTTCACCTGTCTTCGTTGTTAACACCTTTTCAGTACACCGTCAACATATTATGTTCGTTGTCATGTTACGCCTAGTCCATCCTTATTCTTATCCATCCATTGTCAACACTCGATATCTGTTATTTCTGTACCCATCTGTTATTATAGTATATCCCCAATTCTTTATATACCCCCTGTCCCTTACTCAGATTTATTATCATTTGTTCACAGCTACTCTCACAGAGATGGAGGTGAGGAGAGGTGAAATGGGGTTTAACGTCGCGTCCAAGATTATTGCACTTATATAGCGACGTGCGTGTACGTTAGTGTGTGTGTGTGTGGCTGCTTATTCTTGTCCGGACTGATGCCGATTTATAGTGCTAGCTCACTGAGATACCATGCCGCAGTTTAACATGAATACCCCACTCAGACACAGTAAACTGACTCCGAGCCGACCAGTCTTTGCTTTAGCCCCTTAATGCCGAGCGCCAGACAGGGTTACAACAAGTACCATCTTTTAACGTCTTTTGGTATGACGCGGCCGAGGATCGAACCCCGGACCTTCCGCTCTCCGGGCGGACGCTCTACCACTAAACCACGGAGCATAGAGATGGAAATCACTGGTTTCACCGACAACAGTGTCTCAGTCATGAGCTTTGAAACCAAAGTGATGACAAGGATTGATTCAGCGCCCGATCACCCTGTTTATCTTGGGCACGGGTCTTACAGACTTTAGTATCTGTGATACTTATGTTTTTAGTTATTTTCGTTTCATGTTCTTGGTATGATCAACAGTGGTGTTATTTACCATCTAAATTATTTATTGTTGTGAGAAAACGGTGGATATTGTACTGTAACTTTGTACTGTTAATAGTGTTTGAACCATTCATTAATAATTTCAAAGTTACTGATATTTCGTTGGACCTTAGACAACAGAAGACAAGGATCGAGATACTGTAAATCTTGACATTAGTGAGTGAGTGAGTATGGTTTTACGCCGCTTTTTAGCAATATTCCAGCAATTTCACGGGGGGGGGGGGGGGGGGAGACACCAGAAATGGGCTTCACACATTGTACCATTCGGCGTGATTGGCGAACGCTTTAACCACCAGGCTACCCGACCGCCCCTCTTGATATTAACGCGAGCGTGAATAAAACACGAAAAATGCGAGTGGTAGTTGCTCGCATTAATTAACTTCGCATTTATGTCTCCAAATGGCTATCAACAATAGGGCGGGGCGTATTGATATGGAGACGCATTAATTTTCAGATTTACGGTACATATATCTATTATAAACTCCATATTTTTATTTACTAGTATATATGATGCAACAGAGTTTTTGTACACTTTGACCTTGACATCGGGAGTGATCCTCATTGGTAACATTGCCATTGCTGCCTATTTGTAAATTTTGCTAAAAACAATTTTTCGCTAACTGTACAAATAATTTGTCCATCCAGTCTAGTTATTGTAGATGTTGTTCCGAACTCGGTACAGTAGTTTTTCAGGATCAAGGGAAAGTCTCCCAATCTTGAGTGGTTCACTATGCATGGGCTCTTCCCACGGCAAGAGAGTTAACTGACTATGAAAGTCCAGTTTCCACCCTTGCCGAACAAGGCTGGAATTCCTGGGCTCGATCGTAGCGCCACCAGTGGCTATTACGAGTTATGTCCCTTCTAAGCTTCTCCTATTGACCAATCAGATTCCATCTCTCGTATCACTTGCGTTTGCTTCAAACAAATGGTGGCTCCCAGTCAAAACGATCTGATCGATAATCAAGATCTATATTGTGATAAAACGAGTCTTACATCGCGAAATGCATCAAATCCCGTGAGCACCTTGATTAAAAACATGAAAAGATTTGGAAAATATCTGCTGACAACGAGTTGGCGGTGCACATGCTTTGCAAATCCTGCAATCGACCGAAATCTGCACGACAGTTTACGAACCGGATTTCGATTTCGGTGCGCGAATTTGATTGGACTATGCACAGACTCGTTAGTCCAGCCAAAATGTAACTCCATAATACCAGCCTAGTTCGGCAAGGGTGGGAACTGGACTTTTATAGTCAGCTAACTCTCTTGCCTCGGGAAGATGTATGCATGGTGGGCCCCATACAGTGGTGTATTACCTCTTGAAGTATCGATGCTAATATGACACATGTAGCACTTGAAATCTGGCTTTAACGGTTACATTTTACTCTCAAATGAGAAGAAATAGTATTTTGTGAACTATTTGTGAAAATATAAAACCCTCGTTCAATGGCTTAAAATGTAAATGATATTATTCGTTCCATTCCTTTTACTGGTATACCTCTTTCTGTCCCCTTATCTACTTCCCGAGAACGAATTGTGTTTTCTTACTTTTGACGTCTTTCAGTTTTGAATGAGGATTATTTTTATTTAGAAAATATATTTTATTATGAGCAATATTATTCTCTCTGTTTTAAAAATGATGATGTCGCATTTCAGTGTATATTTTGCTCAGTTTTACTGGTAACTTGCCCTTTAAATAACACATTTGATAGATATCGTTACAGTATACTGTTGGTTGGTTGCTTTGTTGTTTGATTAAAATCATGAGTATCCATCCACACAACTGGGATCTATGACATCCTAATTGCGTCCCTAAACAGTCTCCAAATGCAGGCAATGGCGTTTAAGAGCATCTAATTTTCTAAAATTTCTGGGTAAGCATGCCCCCAAATCATCCTAGCGGTCTTCGAAAAATTGGTTTTGCTTACACTTAAAATCAGCCTAGTTGCGCCCCGGGTATTATGGTATAATGATCCGTGCCTTCTGGATACCCCCACAAAGACCCTGACCCTGACCCTGACTACCTGGGTGTACAAAACAACCTTAGCGCTACGACTGTCGTAAGTCTATGTTATGGTATGGGAGTTACGATGACCTTAGCGCTAAGATCGTTTTGTATAACTGCACCCTGACCCCTGACCCCTGAGTCTTCTGGTACAAGAAGCGTAGGTTACTAGTGAGTGAGTTGGGTTTAACGCCGCTTTTAACAGTATCGCAGTTATATCACGGCGTGTCAGCTAAATTAGGGAGGAAAGCCCGAAGTGATGCAGGTCTCAGACCTTTACTACTTCGACGAAACCCACGAACACAGGTATGGTGCTGACAAACCTAGAAACATAATCGGGGCTAACCGGGATTCGAACCCACAATCATAGGTTTCTGGCATCCCCAAGGGATGCAACTCTGCACAGCAAATCGCGGCGCCTTAGACGACTGGGCCACCCGTGCCCCCTGTAGGTTACTAGTGATCAATTCTAATCTAGTGTCCACTCTGGGGTAACACCAATCTCATTATAATCAGATCTTAGTTTTTGCTACCGCTTAACATCTGAGTACATCCCATTAGGGATCACGTCATACCGAGTTGGCAATATTCCATATCACAGCTATCAAGAGTCTGGACCAGGTAAACCAAGCTTACTATCCAAGGGACAAGGTCAGTGGGTGAGCGGGTGAGCGGGTGAGCTAGTGAATGGTTGGTTGGTTTCTTGTTTAATGCCGCAGTCAGCAATATTCCAGCTATATGACAGCGGTCTGTAAATAATCATGTCCAGACAATCCAGTGACTGATATCATGAGCATCGATCCACACAATTGAGAAACAATGACATTCATCAACCAAGTCAGCGAGCCTGACCACCTGATCCTGTTAGTCGCCTCTTACGACAAGCATAGTCACCTTTTACGGCAAGCATGGGTTGCTGAAGACCTTTTCTACCTCCGATCTTCACTGGCCTAGAGTTATTTTTGAGTTAGTTTTCAATTAGTGAATGGGTTTGTTTTGCAATATGCCAGCAATATCACAGCAAGTGACACCAGAATAACCTTCACACCTACATAACTGGAGAATCAAACCCAGGCCTTCAGCAAGATGAGCAATTGCTTTAACCACTGGGCTACTGTATCACCCATGAACAGAATAGTTTGTTTGTTTGTTTGTTTGTTTGTTTGCAGCACTCTGCAATATTCCAGCTATATCACTGGGGCCTGTAAATAATCAAGTCTGGGCCTGACAATCCAGTGACTGATATTATACTGAACAATCCACACCAATTTCAACCCAGAATCCCCATTGGGGTGGCTAGCAGTAGTTCTACTCCGGCATGGGGATCTAAGTTTACCTTGTCTCCCGAGATACAGTAAACTCATGTTGTCAATCACTGGATTGTCTGGTTCAGACACAATTATTTACAGACTGCCGTTGCATCGCTGGAATACTGCTGTGTGCAGCTTTAAACAACAAACGAAACAAAACAAAAAAAACTTACAGATGACATCCTTTGATGCTGAGAATAAATAACTATTAACAAAACTTGAAATGTGGAATTTATTCGGTATAATTTTTTATGCCAATATGTTTTAATAATGCTGATACAAAACACATGGAAAACCTTAACAAGCATAAATTTGAGCAAATCATGGATAATAATACTCATCCTTAACATCATCACTGTCGAATCCTATCTGAAAATAAAGATGGTCCTCAGAAAACAACACAAGAAACCTGGTGAAAGCAGGCTCTATGTACATCTCCCTTTGGGGTGGAGGTAGATCTGTTTCTAATCATTAATGTGGGAGAAAAGAACAAAGTGATGCAGTTGTTACACAATTACTTCTTTGGGTGAGTGAGTGAGTGAGTTGGGTTTAATGCCGCTTTTAACAGTATTACAGTTATATCGCAGCGTGTCAGCTTAATGTGGGAGGAAAGCCCGAAGTGAAGCAGGTCTCTGACGTTTACCACTTCGGTGAAACCCACGAGCACGGGTATGGTGCTGACAAACCTAGAAACATAATCGGGGTGAACCGGGATGCGAACCCACAATCATAGGTTTCTGGCGTGCCCAAGGGACGCAACTCTGCACAGCGAATCGCGGCGCCTTAGACGACTGGGCCACCCGTGCCCCCCATTACTTCTTTGGTCCAACACAGGCACTGGTAATACCCCATTCACATGCACCGCTATACATGTGTGTATATTTGCACACGTGTGTTAATATACATACTTGTGTGTATACATGTCATGTGAACGCGTTTACTCGTGTGTGTATATTTACACCAGGAGCAAATTTGCATCATGTCTGGAGCAAGTGCAAATTTAAATGTAAATTTGTACTGTGTGTATATGTTTCAATGTGAACGTTTATGTTAACGTAAGAGGATGATCTAATTAATATCTGTTCTTTTGCCAACACCAAACAAATTGTCAACAGTTGCCAACTTTTATACGTATAGACAGAGTTGAGCGGACGGTGTTTTCTTTCGGTTTCAAGGAGTCAAATCTTTGTGTACACAAATACACGCGATAATTTTCTCTTCTCATTCAACTTTGATTGGAAAACAACCTGTTCTGTGTTGAAAGTCGTAAACAGACTGACGAATATGTGTGCCTTACACAATTTACATACTTTATTTACACACCTAAGTTGATTTTCATGTGAACACATAGTAAATTTACATGTACGCATGTATGTATAGTTACACATGTGCAAAATTACTTACGTTAGTTATGTTGTGCATGTGAACAGGGTATAAGAGATACAAATTTGCACAGACAATTGCACCCCCACAAACCACTTGGCCCTATGTCCCCACGGACTTCCTGAGAAATATTTTGGCTTTACCCATGTGCAATGTAGTGAGGTTCTAATGAGTGAGTGAGTGAGTGAGTTGGGTTTAACGCCGCTTTTAACAGTATTCTAGTTATATCACGGCGTGTCAGCTTAATTAGGGAGGAAAGCCCGAAGTGATGCAGGTCTAAGACGTTTACCACTTCGGCGAAACCCACGAGCATGGGTATGGTGCTGACAAACCTAGAAACATAATCGGGGCGAAACCGGGATTCGAACCCACAATCATAGGTTCATGGCGTGCCAAAGGGACGCAACTCTGCACAGCGAATCACGGCGCCTTAGACGACTGGGCCACCCGTGCCCCCGAGGTTCTAATGATAGACAACAAACAGCTTATATGTGAGTGAGTGAGTTGGGTTTTTCGCCGCTTTTAACAATATTCCAGTTATATCGGGGCGTGTCAGCTTAATGTGGGAGGAAAGCCCAAAGTGATGCAGGTCTCAGACGTTTACCACTTCGGTGAAACCCACGAGCACGGGTATGGTGCTGACAAACCTAGAAACATAATCGGGGCGAACTGGGTTTCGAAAACACAATCATAGGTTTCTGGCGTGCCCAAGGGATGCAACTTTTCACAGCGAATCGCGGCACCTTAGACGACTGGGTTACCCAGCTTATATGTGAACTGCGCTCTTGGCCAAGTCACTTCATGACTTGGGTATTATGTAAACCCTCATTGTGAAACATCATGGACAATACTCACTGATAATCATTGGTTGACTGGATACACATGCAATAACAAACACAACAGTCAATAACCATGTTAATGTTCAATTTTCAACTAAAATATTCAGCATTCTATTAAGAATTTTCATATGAGGAATATAATTCCTAATACATTCAAATCATGGTAAGAATAGGTTAAGTGATACACACACACAAGACACAAGGCTTTGTATCTCACCTCAATGCTCACAAAACGGTTAAGTATCGGGTCAGAATAACATTTCTCGCCGCACTCAGCAATATTCCAGCTATATGACGACGGTCTGTAAATAATCGAGTCTGGACCAGACAATCCAGTGATTGACATCATGACCATCGATCCACGCAATTGGGAAACGATGACATGCATCAACCAAGTCAGCGAGCCTGACCACCCGATCCCGTTAGTCGTCTCTTACAACAAGCAGTCGCTACCACTGAATGTATATCCCTTCAACAATATAGATAATTAATTAACTACAAAATTTCACTGTAGATCTGAGAAGTTGAAGATGCAGCAAATGTAGACAGAGGATCAAGGTCATAGCAGGGATAAAAGGAACACCCAAACACACCAAAAGATGTCTAATAATGTAATGGCCAATATTACGTCAAGGTAAAACTTTGGAACAGGGACACGTGAATAGACTAGTAATAATACTATCACCGGTACGTTAAAAATTTGCTCTGTGTGACTTTTTGTTCAAAAATGACAAAATAAAATAAAAACCAGTAATTTGGTGCCGAACAAGCGTAATTGTGTAATTTTAGGCTTATTTTAGCATATTATGCCAAAATAATTACGGTCAGCATCTACCCAGTTCTTTTTTGTACATTAAAATCCCAGTCACATAATCTTTAAAATGTACATTCCGTATCTGACAAGCCATTAAAGAATAAACTTAAAAATCTCTAAAAGATTGTTATAAAAAATAGTTGATTAATATGTATACACAAGTATAAGCATATCAAAATAGAATTTTTCAATTTCATCATTTAAAACCAGAAATCATCCTAGTTCCTCTTACGAAGATTGTAACCACGGGTACTATTTTCGGCACTGTTTGGGCCCGACTTGGAAACATCGGACGTTTTAGCCCTTATGGTTGTTGGGTACGCCCCCTGTGACGAGTAGTCCCTGCTAAGTTTTAAGGACGTTGGTCTTTTGGGGGAGTGGGCTTCTCGGAGTTGAACCCAGGACTGCCAGAGCATGGCAAGTGGAATCACAACCCACAGGCCATTAAAGAAAACGAGATAAACCCACAGGTACAGGGCGTTGTCAGTCACCAGATTGGGGCTGCCCACAAACCAGTCTGGACAGAACGTCATCCAACCTGAAACAAATCATATTAAAAACTTTGTTAGTTAAGATGAGGTGAAATGAGGGTTTCAAGATTATTGCACTTATATAGTGATGCATGGGTGTGTGTGGTGTGGTGTGGTGTGGTGTGGTGTGTGGTGTGGTGTGGTGTGGTGTGGTGTGGTGTGGTGTGGTGTGGTCTGTGGCTACTTGTACTAGTCCTGAGGCGTGTTCAGGAGGGCGGGCGCTCGCGATATTACGCGAGCGCGCGCTGTTGAACACGGCTTACCACGCGAATGCACGCGTGTACTCGCGATCGAGCCCGAGAGGTAGCTCGCCTCGTAATCCAAGATGGCGTCGCACATTGAACAAATGTTTGCCTTTGGCGAGAATGGAACCGATGTCAATAGAATAATCTTTTAGACTAGATCTACCATCAAAAAGTTATTTTTGCATTTTCAATATATTGACCCGTGATGATCAGGGAAGACAATAGGTCTTCAGCAACCCATATGTTTGCCCTAAGGATCGAGTAATAAGACTCGCTGACTTGTGTGATGCATGTCATCGTATCCCCATTGCACAGACTGATGCTCATGTCGATTGCTGGATTGTCTGGTCCAGCACAGGGACATGTAACTAATAATCAAAGTATGAACCCATCAAACTTGTGATGAAATTAAATGTGTGAATCTATGAGACTTGTGGACAGGGCTGTTTTGATTCCCGGTGACGCCATTTTGGATGCTGTGCCGCGAGAGCGAGTACGCGCCTCCCGTTCAGAAAGGCGTGATATTGCCTCACTGTACACTCGTGCGGTCGCTCGCCCTCCTGAACACGCCTCAGATTAATGCCTGTCTGAAAAGTGCTAGCCCACTGAGACACCCTGCCCCAGTTTTAACCTGGATACCCTCCTCTGATACAGTTTACTTTTGTTTGTTTGTTTGTGCAACATTTCATTCATAAATACGTGCCTAAGTTAAATGTAAAGGTAAGTTATTTGTCCATTGTCACCTTGGTATTATGACGTCATAGTTCTCCTAAATGATATGACATCACTTAACTCTATGTTACTACTTCATGTCCGTTATTCAGTTATGTCCTGATGAGACTCATGAGAGTTGAAAGCGCTAGCCTATTAAAACTATGTTCAATCTTACTCCAATTATTTAATTATTACGAGAGAGAGAGAGAGAGAGAGAGAGAGAGAGAGAGAGAGAGAGAGAGAGAGAGAGAGAGAGAGAGAGATATGATAACAACCATCAACACAGTCACAGGGACTTAAAATAAGCAAAAGTATTGGTGGGAAACAATTCTAACTCAGAAAAGGAAAAGTAGTTTGTATTTCACAAACCTCCATACAGTTCACAGACACAGAGGACTATCTGCACAAAATGGCGGTAGTGCTTGTCGTCCAGGATGGCGTACACCAGCAACACACAGAGCGGGCCGTCGAGGAAGACAGTCAGCATCTCCAGGGATACGATCGTCGGGTCCGAAACCAACCAGCGCTTGTCCGCTTTGCCATACTCCTGCCCTATACAACATACAGCATACAAAATACAACATACAGCATACAACATACAGCATACAAGATACAACATACAGCATACAACATACAGCACACAGCGTACAACATACAGCGTACAACATACAGCGTACAACATACAGCGTACAACATACAGCATACAACATACAGCATACAAGATACAACATACAGCATACAACATACAGCACACAACATACAGCATACAACATACAGCGTACAGCATACAGCATACAACATAAAACATACAAAACCTTCAGTCCCACTTTGCAGACCTCAAAGTTGCCACTAAAATGGTCGCCAAAATGGGACCTAAATTTCAATTTGTCTACTGTCTAAAATTCAGAAGAACTTGAAAAATATCTTGTGGCAACTAAATTCTATTGCTACACATATCTTGACACAAAAATAAATAACAGCTGATCTTGGAAAAAAACATCTGCTAATAATTGTACTTGCAAATAATTCCTCCTAAAGTCGACAATGAACAGAAATACAGAAATATTAATGTTATTAGTATTTTATTTCAGATTACAATGCTCGTGGGATGAGAAAGAATATACCTATATAAACTGGCAAAATAAACTGCATCATTGTTCGAGTCACAAATAACAAAAATCAAGTACAGCTTCCACTAATATACAATTCCAAGACTAGTGCTGTAACTTGTACATATTATAATAGTTATTTAATAGAAGATACTTTCAAATGCTTTTGGCTTCCAACAATATTGGCTTGACTTCTTGATTTTACCACTGGCTACCTGGAAGAAAATACCTGTAGCCATATGGCTACTTGGTAAAAATTTAAACTTTGTAATTTGTAAATTTTACTTGTGACTCAAACAATGATGCAATTTATGTTACTAGATCATATAGGTATGTCCTTGCTTATCCAATAAACTATCAACTAAAATAAAATACTAATTACATTATTATTTATGTATTTCGGTTCATTGTTGACTTTAGGAGGAATTATTTGTGAGTACAATTAGTAACAGACGTGTCGTCCAAGATCAACTGTTATTGTTTGTGTGTCTAGATATGTGTAGCAATAGAATTTAGTCGCCACAAGATATTTTTCAAGGTAGTCATTTGGCTACCTCTGAATTTTGGACAGTAGACAAATTGAAATTTAGGTCGCATCGGCGACCATTTTAGTTGCAACTTTGAGGCCTGCTGAAGGAACCAATGATAGCAAAACATGGCAACAAACATGCCCATATAAGGCAGAAACAATTTTATTACTTGCCCGTGAAGAGATCACCCGTTAAATCATCTTCCGGAGGCAAGAGAGTTAACTGACTATAAAAGTCCAGTTTCCACCCTTGCCGAAGAGGGCCAGTATTATGGAGTTAGATTTTGGCTGGACTAACGAGTCTGTGCATAGTCCAATCAAAATCGTGTAATGAAATCGAAATCCGGTTCGTAAACTGTCATGCAGATTTCTGTCGATTGCAGGATTTGCAAAGCATGTGCACCGCCAACTAGTTGCCAACAGATATTTTCTAAATCTTTTCATGTTTTTAATCAAGGTGCTCATGTGATTTGATGCACTTTGAGATTGTTTCTTCTTGATTATTGTTTTGTTTGAAGCAAATGCAAGTGATACCAGAGGTGGAATCTGATTGGTCCATAGGAGAGGCATATAAGGGACTTAACTTGTAATAACCACTGGTGGCGCTACGATCGAGCCCAGGAATTCCAGCCAAGTTTGGCAAGGGTGGAAACTGGACTTTTAAAGTTAGTTAACTCTCTTGCCTCGGGAAGATGCCGTTTAATAAACATACAACTGTATTACACATCGTGTAATACCAAAGCATGTGCTTATGTACCGTGGGAACAAGTGTCACTAACAAATATTGAACACTCCCAACATCCTTGGGCTTATTCAACGACATTGCATGTAGACATGATAGATCACTGAGAAGAGCTTATGCACACCGATGACTCCAGCAACCCTGTTGCTAGGCTGACATCACATGGCATTGTTTCGCCGGTGGATCTTGCAACAAAATTCACAAATTACGTCATAGGGTAAAACACAGTGTGTCATTTGTAAGATGTAGACCTCCTTACTTTGGGGTGTGCTGGTCTTTTGGGAATTTAGTACATTAAGATACATTATTTATTAACTTTTTTTTAATTAGTCTTTTACTCTTAACATGATTTAATTGAAAACTTCATGACAATTTTTTAAGTAAAAAAACGCTTTCATATTAACCTTACTATTTTAATTAAAAGCTAATTTAAACTAAACGATTTGATAAGACATAACTGCTTTTTGTTCTGCTATTGTCTTTTTTCTGATACTGCTTTAGCCTGTTCTAAATGCCAAGGATGATGCTACTCACACAGGAGTGCAGTGAAATGGGTTGAATTCTCAACCGTGCCAAGACTGGAGATGATCACAAACGGTCCTTCCTGGAAAATAAAACAAAAGAAAGTAATTAAACATGGTGGAAACACATCTTCCCAAGGCAAGGGCGATAACTGACTGTAAAAGCAAACTACTCTGGAACTTCCAGGCTCGATCTTGGCGTCACCAGTGGCTAATACGTGTTATGTCCCTTTAGTGATCTCTCACACATTTTATAACAATTAAGACCAGCTTTCATGTGAGGATCGCTCATCATCCCTAATTCCCTGCACAGCCCATCTCAGAAGATTGACCACTGTCAAGGTGAATATACATCATTACCACGGACTTTTTCTATCACTACAGAAATTTTGTATTTTAATCTGACCACTGCCATCTTATTATGTATTGCCATTGAATATTGTACTCCCACGCTATTGTCTACTCCCACGCTATTGTCTACTGCCATTGAATATTGTACTCCCACGCTATTGTCTACTGCCATTGAATATTGTACTCCCACGCTATTGTCTACTGCCATTGAATATTGTACTCCCACGCTATTGTCTACTGCCATTGAATATTGTACTCCCACGCTATTGTCTACTCCCACGCTATTGTCTACTGCCACGCTATTGTCTACTGCCATTGAATATTGTACTCCCACGCTATTGTCTACTGCCATTGAATATTGTACTCCCACGCTATTGTCTACTGCCATTGAATATTGTACTCCCACGCTATTGTCTACTGCCATTGAATATTGTACTCCCACGCTATTGTCTACTCCCACGCTATTGTCTTCTCCCACGCTATTGTCTACTGCCATTGAATATTGTACTCCCACGCTATTGTCTACTGCCACGCTATTGTCTACTGCCATTGAATATTGTACTCCCACGCTATTGTCTACTGCCATTGAATATTGTACTCCCACGCTATTGTCTACTGCCATGGTAATTGCAGTGCAGTTGATTGTTTGTTGTGTAACGCCACACTCTGCAATATTCCAGCTATATGACGGCTGTCTGTAAATAATCGAGTCTGGACCAGACAATCCTTTGATTGACGTTATGAGCATCGATCCACGCAATTGGGATACGATGACATGCATCAACCAAGTCAGCGAGCCTGACCACCCGATCCCGTTAGTCGCCCTTTTACGACAAGCATAGTCGCCTTTTACGGCAAGTATTGGTTGCTGAAGACCTATTCTACCCCGGATCTTCACGGGTCTGCAGTGCAGTAATTTGTATTGATTTGTAATATTTGAAATATTGTAGCACATAGAAATGTTTTATCAGCAGATAGCACATGTAGAATATTTTTATCATAAATGCATCTATCAGTCCTCTTCCTCATGAAATTTATTTTAATTCAATGTGATCAAAGATGCCAATTGCAGAGTATTTTGACTGAGGACGTGTGTTATGCCAAGGGCAGATAACTCAAGATGTACATTTTTCTCAGTTAACTTACTATTTATTTGGTAGTGGATATAGTTTATTTATGAGTTGTTTAGAGTCTAGACCAGACAAACCAGTGATTGGAATTATGACAAGTACCCACACCTTTTGGGCATGTTGACAGGCAATCAATCAAATCACCAAGTCTGACGACCCAATCCATTTACATCTGGATATTGATTTAAGAAACACTTTCTGTCTTCTTGTAGAGATGCAACTAATTAAGTGCTTTTTAATGGACACATTCTAACACGCCTACAGTCTTGTTAAATTCCAAATGAACATGTTCTGTACTTATGAAGATATATGCTTATGAAAAACAGCGTATTCGGTGAATCCAACAGTATCCTTTCGTGAATAAATTTTCATATTCGTTACCCTATATTCGTGATACAAATCATATTCATCTCATAGTGTCTTCGTTGCAGCCCTAATGAACGTATGTATATATATATATATATATATATATATATATATATATATATATACAAATATTCAATACAGCACCTCGTATGAGATCAATGAGTGTTCAACGGTACTTTTTTAAACTAATAATGGAAATATGCACGATTTTGCGAGTGGGCAGTCTGGGACTTCCACAGTTTGTATGTAGTGAGAGAACAAAGAGACAAATTTCGGAAAGTATATAGTGTTTTTCAAAGCTGATTTATGGAGGAACCTAGTAGGGCTGGGATGGGTAACTCTGGTACTCGGGTCGGGTGGGTACTGAGTAGGATCCGGCTACCCACAGGACTACCCGGACCCGTGGTTAATCATGTGACATATTGTTGAATGACAAAAAGTATCTAGAACTCTAGAATGTTTGCATTCCTTCTGACTTTGTATGATTGCATAAAGATGAAACTTCAGTCAACTTCAGTGTATGCATGACGAGATCGTTTTACACAAGTATCTAAATACATTTTTTGTCAGGGCTACCGTCAAACTATTCCCAGTCAGACATTTGGACCGATCTCTTGAGACCTACAGTGAGTCCCCGGGTAGGGTCGGGTAATAAGGGGGTGGGTACACGGATAGTAAATTTGGACTCGTCCCAGCCCTAGGAAACGTATTTCTAAAAATCTAATCCTGTATTTTCTAATGATGTGGACTTGCTAGCTCAACAATAAGGATCGTGAAGCAGTGTTTTGTCGGAAAAGGGTACCTAACCCTAATGATCGTACAGGGGTGCTTGATTGAAAGGGGGTCGAAGGACGAAGGATAGAGTTGGGGGAACCCAACCCTGACCCTAACACAATAAGCCTACCGTATTTCCTTTATTATACGCCGGGCCTCTAATAGAAGCTGGGTCAATTGTTCAGTGCAAAAAATAGAAGCCGGGCCTCTAATAGACGCCGGGTCGATCAATTGATACAATTAATTATCCCTTTCATAGTGCAATGGGGTTATTAATAGACGCCGGGCCTCCAATAGACGCCGGGCCTCCAATAGACGCCGGGTCAAAGGCTTGTCCGAAATAAATAGAAGCCCGGGCATCTAATAGAGGAAATACGGTAACCTTCATGATCGAAGAGGCACACCTGATAAGTGAAGCGAGGGCGGCATCCTGAGCCAAATAGCGCTACATAAGCAACTCCCGGTAAACTACATTGTTGCCAAACAGTGTTCGGGAATGTTCTACGTTAACAATTGTAAAAGAAACTACTTTACCAGTGTGAAGTGTATAATGGCATCGAACACCAACCAAGAAACAACCCACTTCTCGATAGCTGAAGAAATATTCTTTCTCTTGCACAAAATGTAGGCTGTCGCCACACTAATAACGGCATATAATGCTGTCACTATGAGGGAAATTACAGTTACGGCACTTATTATTGCTGCCATGGTGAAACTGTTGAAAATGCGTAAAGTTTGCAACACCAACACAAAGCAGTCCGATAAATAGCCGCCTTTTATCCCCCAGAAAACTAGGCTCCTGTCTACCTAAACTTGTAAAAGCGCTAAGCCTGCGACGCGTGCCATCAGTAGAACCAGTTCATGCGTATAAACATTTAAAGTTAGCAAATACGTAGAGCTCCTTACAGCGATAACACTGGCATTACACCGTGTCGATACTGTACGAAAGGCGAGACATGCATACTCGGGAGTTTATATATTTATTGTTACGCTACGTACTTCTGAACATGGTTTTTTAGAATTCATAGACTTAAAAAAATACGTTTAAAATTAAATGCTTGAATTATCAATATGCATAACTGAAGTTAAGCTTTAGAATAGTGTTGATAAAATTCGAAGCTCGCACTGCTGGCTTTGCTTTTGTTTGGCTAATGGTGATGAAACGAAATGTTTCATTGGTTCATATATTTACTGGTGTCAGTCGAATGTTTAAGATTTAAACACTTTTCTTTGAAATTAACAGTTATATGATCACTTGGTCAGATATGTTGTAGATATATATGTATAATCTGTAGGTGAATGATGGTAACACGCACGCCTTTTCATATAATATAGCTTACTTCATTCTAGACTAACAAAGGCGATCATCCAATCAGTGAAGGCCTTTCAGATGACCTCACGAGACAGGACATGAGAAGACGGCCGGCATATTTAGTGAACAAGAAATAGCATAAAGGGTATCAAAAACAACTCGAAAACAATTATTCTGTGTACCGATCAAGATGTCTGCTGACCCTATACCTAAACAAAGAGTTCAACTTTTCAAAAACAAGGGAAAAGATGCAGAGGTGAGGACTGAAATCGTGTTTGAGAAGGTCACACGAAGTAGGAAAACAGCATGGTTTAGCTGTTTTCTAGAAACCACGCCGTATATTTATATGTTATGGGAAAATGATAAGGTGTATTGTTTTGGTGTCTCATTGAAACAGCCTGTTTACGCGAATTTTGTTTTATTGTAAAACGTTTACTTGTGGAATTTGTTTGTGTCATTAGTTTTGCGAAAAAGGTCAACGACATCTGCTTGACCCTCAAATGAATCACTGAAAGGTTCACAATGTTATTACGTTCTTATAAAATAACGAATATCTGAAGAGTGTTTTCTCTTATTTACGAGTTTGTAGTCATGAACAGTGTTTGCATTGGACACCATTCTCAATAGGTGATTAATGCTTGAATAGAATAAGTCACAGTGAACAAAAATATATGTTTTTTGAACAGTACAGGAACAAGGATTGTAAGTTGTACCTGATAAGTAATTCAAAGTTTAGACATGATTCATCGATTGCTTCTGGTATTTTGATGTATGTTGTTCATGTCAGTTCCTGTCCAGTGTTTTCACAATGTATTTCCAGGCTTGTAACTATACTTTAAGTATCTATTACCTCAGCCAAGTAGCAGATTTTTTTAATGAAAATGTCTGCCTTCAGAAAATTTGTATAGTCTTTGACTTCAGCAACGAGTTTGTTATTCATCAGTTTAAGGAATTTGTTGTTGTTGGTTACTTATGTCATGGGTGTATTATGTAATATGAAGATTACCGGTGACCTTAATCACGAAATCTATGGGCAAAGATTACATAATGTCTATGATGTGCTCACATGTACCCTTTGCACCTTATAATCCTTTGTCCCGTTAATGCTAGAATGCTTTTGTGATATTATGATTACTGCACTTTACCCAGAGTTTCAAACGGCCTCTGGTCACAAATCATAGACTGATAAAATTTAAATTTGAATGATTTAAGTAGTTTGACTTTCGACTAATAGAAATGCTAAGCAAGGTGTCACACATTTCATAATGAAAATGTAAATAGTAAGGAAGTCCTCATATTTATACTTATGGTATCAATTTAATAAAACAATGCAGAGTCATAAAAAAATTATAATTGATATTCTGAGCAGTGCGTGTCTTTGCATCATACCTTCTATTTCATAGGGAAATTCTGTCAGGAGCTATTGCGACATAGTCAAGCGCTTTTCTTATCGCGAAGTTCATAGCCCAGATCATATATGCATATAGATGGTATTACATTGATTTGTTGTTATGGTTTGTACGCAACTTCTTTTTATTTGTGAGCACATGGCATAAGCAATTTTGTGTTTTGTTCATTTGACTTATTGACTTTTGCCATTCACTAATTACATTTCTGGGGTCCAAGACATTGACCTATATCATGTATATAAAGCTTTTTGACAAAATCACTGTTACAGGCACCTTACTTTGGATTTCCGTTATTAGTGGTGCTTGATCCTTTTTAAAACGCAAATAATAAGTATTCGTTTATCTAGTGATCAGACCCAATTGTTTACCAAAGTTAGCATGCACAGAGCATTCACAAAATGTTCAGGTGTGCCCTTTGAAATTGTCAATTATTGTTAGCATGGTTAGATTGGTGTTATACAATGATGACACAATAATGTCTTGCATCAACATCATTTATTTGGTTACATTCAGCTTAGTGACATGTAATGTGCATGTACTGACACAGCAGAGCTCTTATCATGACAATGTCTAACGGCCATTCCCCTGGCAACCTACCTCAGTTACGTCACATATACAATTACACAGAAAATTGCTTACAAGTTACCCTGGCGACATCTAACACATTCACTCGTTGGGTGCCGCCATCTTAAATGAAGTCTCATTCTTGCAAGCACTTGTCATACATATTTACAAACTAACATTGACAACAACAGGTTTAACAATGTAAACAAAAAGAATAACTTTGATATATCTTTGAAATCAGGGAATCTCTTTTCTCCACCGAGGACTACTTAATAAGCAATTGTAATTTTGAAAGTTGGCCACCTTCCTTTTTTGTGATGGATAACTCACTTTTTAATACACAAGTGAATCATGTGCATTTGGCATGTTCATTCACTCATTTTACATGTGTTTGTCCACTTTACTTGTGGGGAAGTACACTAATTTAACTTGGAATTTGAAAAAAACCCAGCTTCGTCAAATTGTGTCCTGTCACAAACACTCCTACATTATTTTGTTATTGGGTGGGGGGCACGGGCAGCCGAGTCGTCTAAGGCGTCACAATTGGCTGTGCAGATTTGCATCCCTTGAAACCTATGATTGCGGGTTTGAATCCTGGTTTGCCTCGATTATGTTTTTAGGTTTGTCAGCACCGTACCCGTGCTCCTGAGTTTTACCAAAGTGGTAAACGTCTGAGACCTGCATCACTTCGGGCTTTCCTCCCACATTAAACTGACACGCCGTGATATAACTTGAATACTGTTAAAAGCGGGGTTAAACACAACTCACTTGCTGTTATTGCGTGCTTGTTTTGTACAGCTAGTCTATGTGACAAACACCAGTAGGTCAAGAAAAAGTGGGATATTTTATTATTGAAAGCCATGTTTATTCATATAATTCACATTAATGTCATTCTCACGTTTAATTCTTGATTTTTCAGTTTTGGTACTTAGCTTGCTTATGATGTGTATTTGAATAATGTTGTTTGGTAGGCTTAAAAGTGAACCTTAGTGTTTGTAATATCTAAAATAAGGCAATTAAACAAACCAATAATAGTACAGAGGTAGTATTACATCAAGTAATGGTGTCTTTATTCACCTATTGCTACTGTCTCCTCAATCACCATGAGTATGTGTTAAACATGTTATATGTCTCTTAAGTTGACATGCTGTCATAATACAGAAATACCTTGAAAAAAGGGTGTGAAACTGAAACTTCTTTTCTCACTGTATCAACCGCCACTGCTTACAAATACAAACAGACACTTAATCTGAAAAATATCTTATTACCTAACCAGAGTAAAGACGTCTAGCCCAAATAATTTCATTCGGGATGTCTCTTATTTCACCCATTCACTGTTCATCTTAGTCTCATAATTTAATTAAATTCAGATCTTTTACTGTTATGATCAGTGTTTGAAATTATTTTAAAACCCAACAAGACAGTCATGCAGGTGACCTATAAGTGTTGCCTGCCCATCTTCAAAGTTACCTTCCTACATTCAGGCATAAACATGATAAATATTGAAAAATCGCAAAAAGTTAGACGGATCACAGCTTGATTCGGTTGATGTAATGCAGTCAGTTACTTGAAGATGTACAAGAAGTTATAATAAAACTGAATATGTAAGTAGTCTTAAAAAAAAAAATATGTGCCAGACAGCCTGGCAGGTGGTGGGAAATTTCATGCAGCCAGACAGAAAAGTTACTAGGCACGGGCAGGCAGTTGTTTCTGATACTGGATATGGTATGCCTCTGTGTGAAGATCTGACAACCTTTTCACAGATCATTTCATGTGTACCCTGAGGAAACTCAATCTAACTTAACATGCTTAAAGATGTGTAGGTTCTTCAGCTAATCAGCTTCTGATAGTATTTGAATTAATGTCTTTACCACCTTAAAAGCCACAGCAGAACACAAAGTATTCTTTCGATGATGTGTTCAGGAATGATGGGTTTTGTAAAATATCCAAAACAGCATTATGGCTTTTCTTATTTACATTCAGAACTGTCCATTTAAGTCAATTTTCATGGTACAGAAGAGAGATGTGCTGTACTAATTGCTTTCATAACACATATCATGAATTTAGAAGGCTCATTGCTGATTAGAAAATTCACCTGATGCGACCTCCATTGAGGGGTCATCAGATCTTTATGCAGGAAGGTATATTGGATTAATAAAAGATATGATTTTAATGATGTTTCAGTGCAACTTGAGCTGTCAAGTATCAGATACCTTTAACAACATCTCTTAAGTGAAACTATCACCGAAATGAAGCAATGCATCAGAGAATCATTGTCAACAAAATCAACAATGATACGGTTATGTCACACAAAAAATGAATTAATTCCCATTTTATGGCGGGTCACGTATTGCACATGGCAAAAATGACGGAAAGTAGTGCAGCCGCATGTGAACTATGACACAAACTCTGAAACCTGTTGTCATCATGATCATCATCTTTTGGCTATATTAGCAAGGATATTTTATACAGTTTATTATCAATCTGTTTTAAAATTAGCAGATGGTAGTCAAGTTTTGAAGTTTTAGTTTAGAAGTCCATGAGTCGATCTGTTACATATACTATTGTATTGTTCCTTGCAGGAGATGCGGAGGCGGAGGACAGAGGTCACGATAGAGCTGAGGAAAGTGAGTATTATTGGTATAATAAATCACAGTATCACAAGACTGAAGTAAGCCAAGGTCATTAAATCATGGAGACTAACACCAGACAAATTTGGAAAGATAAACATTGAGGTTTCATTGTTGTCTGTTTTGTCATCTTGGAAATATGGACATACATATCCTATTATTTTATTGCAATGATAAATTTATTTTTTATAGTCAGACCATGTTGGATTTTGCAACTATATTTTCATTATTCAATGATATTAATTTGGTTATGAAATCATGCGTTTGTTAATGTATGGTAATTATTGTTTTGTGATAGGTTTATACCCGTAACTACAGCAGTTTTTGAAAGATATCTTTATAATTATGCAAAACAATCGGTAAATCACGCTAAAGGACTTCCAGTAACACAAACTGCTCTGATTGTCCTAAAAGTATGTTGCTTTACAAACAAGAGAAAACATGATATGCAAATTAGCTTGTGGCAGTGGTATTGTGCTAGGCAGTGGTATTGTGCTATGTCATAATTGCGCCTAAGTATGGAGTGAATTAAAAGTAATCTGGCTTGGAGGTTTCTCTGCAACTGCAGAAAAAAATGTGTTGCCACAGTAATGGTCCCAAATTTTGTAAAAGACATTTAAATTTACATTATGGCTGATGGAAAATATAAATATATCTTCATATCTGCTAAAAAGGCTAGAGAGTTCTGGTTTGTCGGAAACTTATTCTGTACAAACGAGCATTTACTATTCCTCCTCAGTGATGTGGTCTATGACCTATTTTGCAAATAGTGTAGAAAAACAATTATTCGAAAAATAATTGGTTGTAATAGTGAGCTTACAGAAAACAAGCAAGCAATCACACACTTTTCTGTCGTTTTGTATGTTTGATTTGGCCAAACACAGTAACATTTTTGATAAGGTTAGTTCCTGCAACCTTATCTTTGTGTGTTATACTTCTTTGCCACTGGATTTAAGCAGTTTGATTGACACTTACAGGAAAGCTGAGCACTTTGTAAGAAGTATGAATGCAATATCTGATAAGGGTTTTGTTTGATTATTTGGCTGATCGTGTTGATATATGCAGGTCTAAAATTCAGATTGTTAGATCCTTCATATCTGTTTCCTGGCCCTGCTTTTTCTTTAGCATAACAAAACTACTGAATGATGTTATTAATCACACTTTAACATGAAGGCAGATCTTCCGAAAATATATCTGAGGTCAAGGTCAAATCGGACTGTGTTATGAAACATGGCGCATATATCTCAGGAATATTTGTTATTATCAATACCAGTTTGTGTCAAATGTTACCATCATTCAGTCAGTAAGCAGGCACCCTGTAAAAGGGATCTGCTTAATGTGAATGTGTTAACTTAAATATTAGAGACTCCTAATAATGTACCTTGTATGTACCCCTGGTGATTTCTGTTGGCATGTTATAGGATGACCTTGAACATTTGTTTTTACACTGCAATTTTCCAGCTGTATGACTTGAAGGTCAAGGTCAATCGGTATGAGCTAGGTGGCAATGAATCCTGTTTAGACACGATCTTGAGTATCGTATTCGACGTAATAAGCGCCCCGCTCTAATAAGCGCCCACGGCAATATTTGCTAATGTATTGGCCAGTGAACAATCCTAATAAGCACCCCTTCAGATTGATCAATGTACATAAGACTTATGTATTCGCGTATAAGACACACTCATGTGTTATATGCACACAAAATTATGGGCAATTAACATTCTGGAAAAATATATCGGTCGTACGCAAACATTTCAGGCTGTCAACATATAGCACAAAATTTATCTTTTAACCATCTTTTTTTCACTAAAATAATATTCTAATAAGAGCCCCCTATTTCTAATTTTGAGAGGGCCCTGGGTATTCATGATTGGAATTAAGAGAACTGAATATTCATGATCTCTAGGATGGGGTCTAGATTACATCAGCTTAAAGTTGATCTCTGTAATCGGTCAAGGTCACAGAGTTACATAAAACATATCTCAAACCTTGGAAACCTTTCTGTGAAATTCATGAAAGAGCAAAGCATTTTTCAGTGTGTGAAAATATATTCTATATGTCTGTGTGTCAGTGGCTCTTGTATTTCTATACCTGCCACCTGTCAAGGTCATTCACACATTTAAGGACATGTTAACGATATAACTATAGTGACAGGGTACTTATTGTTACAAAGTTGTTCAGTATTTGGTTTCACCAAACTGGATGTGATGTGTGAGATCCTTATTAGGCTAGTAGGAGGCATGGTGCTTTCTGATTAGTCTTTTTCTGTAGTAAGCAGTTATGACCTTGTGGCCTTGAGGAACTGGTTGGGTATTTTGGTATTCTGTTTTGACAAATATTTACAATCTCCAGTTTCTTCTAGCATGTCGTTACTGTGGCTTAACATGTATGTATCAATTTGTACAAGAGCACTGCCAGAAGGCAGCGTTAGAAATTGGCACTAGTCCTATAATCCTTGCCAAACTGCCAAATAGTTAAGGTATCATAATGACTAATAGAAATTTGCCATTTTAAAGGGTTTTGCTGCATATTATCATCATAAGGACTAGTGGACCAAAAATGTTACTTTCTACTAATGAGAAGGCTATCATGGTTTTAATTTATGCACGAAATGTGTAATTGTTTCAATCATTAAAACTATTTGTAGCATGCATGTAGCTGTTGACTTTTCTATGCTGACTTTCTGCACTTAGTTTTGTTTCAAATGGACAACGCATTATAGATATGAGCATCAAGCTTCAGAATCTGCATAATGCTTTGACATCTTCCTAAACCTTTAAGGTGAATGAATGACTGTGGACTCATACACCAATTTTTTTTAGGTAAATCACTGAGGTAAATTTTCATGAATATGATGCCACAGGTTTGTGACATGGCAGAGCCGGGTCAGCGGTAGAAACTAACAGTTTCAGTCCACTGGTCCTTATAATAACATATATTTATGGTGCCTTAATAGTCAGTCGGGGGCACGGGTGGCCCAGTCGTCTAAGGTGCCGCGTGTTGCTGTGCAGAGTTGCGTCCCTTGGGCACGCCAGAAACCTATGATTGTGGGTTCGAATCCCGGTTCGCCCCGATTATGTTTCTAGGTTTGTCAGCAACCTGTGCTTGTGGGTTTCAACGAAGTGGTAATCGTTTTAGACCTGCATCACTTTGGGCTTTCCTCCCACATTAAGCTGACACGCTGTGATGTAACTGGAATAATGTTAAAAGCGGCGTTAAATCCAACTCACTCACTACCTAATAGTCAGTCCTACAGACCCTGAAACAAATGTATCCAATACAGCCCATGCAAGTCTATAATGTTTGGCAATCTAGATTACTGAAGAAAGTCTCTGGGCTCCTTTTTATTATATTTTATAACTATAATTTGACAACTGTTTTTTCTGTAGAATGGGTTTATTTCAGAGAGTACATGATAGCCTAGTACCTTAACTATTTGGCAGTTTGGCAAGGACTGCAGGAATAGTGCCAATTTCTAACGCTGAGGGAAGTTCCATGTTAATGACGTTGTGATTTATATCATAGGTATATCACTATGTTCAGGGCTTGATTTAAGAAACTTGATACAACTCCACCAGGTGCATGTTGACATGAAAACCTAGTTGCACCTGACGAAACCATGTTGCACCTGGTCCCATAAAGTTATCAAAGTTGAAACATAGATAAATAAATCGGTCTAAATGAGTAAAATCTTACATCTCTGAAGTCGCTCAGGAATTAGTTATGTAATATGGTTAATAAAGCTTGAGGGGCGGTCGGGTAGCCTAGTGGTTAAAGCGTTCGCTCGTCACGCTGAAGACCCGGGTTCGATTCCCGACATGGGTACAATGTGTGAAGCCCATTTCTGGTGTCCCCTACCGTGATATTGCTGGAATATTGCTAAAAGCGGCGTAAAACCATACTCACTCACTAATAAAGCTTGAGGTAATGAGTGTTAAAAGATCAATGTTGTGTAAGGTTATTTAGGAAATATAAGATAGCTACGCGAAGAACAATGAAGCATGAAGCGTGGTTTATTTCACGATAAAACATTGTTCTACCATGACCTCATTTCTGGAGATTTGATCATGCGCTCGCAACTTGATGAAGTCATTATTTGGACGACGTTTTTTGAGAGGGATGTGACTAGTGAGTTGTTCGCCATAGATGTGGCTGGACAGCGCAGATGAACGCAATGGCCGAACGATCACACCCAAAAGTGGGAGAGATATGACAATCAGTATTGGGAGAAAAGGTGCAGAAAAGGTTTGATGTGAAAATTGTGAGAATACGAAAGTTACCCCCTCTGTAGTTAAAATGGAGTACTCCCGACTTTGCGGAGGTCAGATTCTATTCAGGGAGACATTAATATTTAAATATGGGTACATGTTTTTAAAGCTTGTACAATTTTTTGACATCCTTAAAACATGTAAAAAGGCTGTACTAAATGTTGATATCTCAAATAAGAAATAAACGACTTGTGGTCATTGTTTATCTTTATAATAAAACTCTGCAGGAAGAATAAACCACTTGAGGCTGCACCCCTCATGGTTTATATTCTCCCTGCAGTATTTTTTTGTACGATAAACCGCGACCACGAGTTGTTTATTTCTTAAGGTAAAGTTAGTCAGAATTTGTAAAAATAAATTTCACATGACCACTGATGACAATTAACTTGTTTCAGAATAAACGTGATCAGCATGTCCTGAAAAGGAGGAACGTCCCTGCTCAAGATAGTACAGATTCGGATGATAATGAGAAACCTACGAGCCAGTCCCTACAAACAATTGTGTTGAATGCTTCAAGTCCCGATACAACTGTTCAACTTAGCGCTGTGCAGGCTGCAAGGTAGGCAAGCAACAAAGCTTCAAAAGTGGATGGTTCCTTGATGGTTAAGGCATTAGCCTGGCGTGCTGAAGACATTTGAGGCGATGCTGGGTCTGAGGGGGTCACCAGCACCACATGATCGTCAACAGCATGTAGATTTATGTTATCAGGTGGTCAAGCTCTTGGACTGCGTAAATTGCATAACAATGTATCCTGATTGAGGTGTTGAATGACACTCAATGACTCACTGAACACCTTGATTCAACTGCATGATTCGACTGCAGATTGGAATATTTCTGCTCTAGCTTAAGATCAGGGATTTCTCTAGGGTTCCAAACTGAAGTTACCTGGCAAACAAATTGGGAAACAGTCATTATTTTGATAAATTGTATTGTCTTTTATTATTGTATATTAACGATAAATTTGAAATTATGTAAAACTTTAACTTTAAAGCTTCTTCCACTTTATTGGTCTTTATAAGTCCCCTCTAGAAAGCCACTACATTAGTTATAAGAACTATACAGTAAATATGTAGACATTAAATTTTAACCTCTTAAAAGTTGGTAATTTTCACTGACTGGAGACTTTGGTCCGAATATCGGCCTCTGAGCAGGTCTTGATAATTCACTGCAGTGCTCCAGGTTAATTTTCAACCATATGGGCACAGTGCTGCTCGTTCTATATCAGAACTGACGAGTACCAGAAAAATGTTATCAAACCAATAAGTACTGTACTGCTAATGTCTTGAATTCACAAGTACTGTTATGATATGGCACCATCATCAGTCAAAGACCTTTTGTTGTACATTTGGATTTTGGTGCCAAACTTGCGTAAACATAACCGAGACGAGAGAGTTCAAGTGCATTGTTAAAAGCCAATGACAATGAAGGCTTGGGAGGAAATCTATTTAAGCAGAAGGTAATGCACGATACGGTGAACAAAAGTTTATAATTTTTTAAGAACATTTATGAGAAAAAAATAGACAAGGTGTGGTAACAATTAATGATGAGAGCTTATAGTATTGTTCGCCCATGTGTTTGATATGGTTGTAATTTGCAATCCGTACAATACGCTGATACAGCATCTGTATGAAGCAAAGTCTCTGTACTCACTCACTCCACTGTTATTACTTGATCCTTCTGGATGGTTGTGAGCAAGTGAGTTTGGTTTAACACGGCTGTTAACATTATTCCAGTTATATCGCGGCGTGTCAGCTTAATGTCGGAGGAAAGCCCGCAGTGATGTAGGTCTCAGACATTTTTCACTTTGGTAAACCCACGAGCACGGGTATGGTGCTGACAAACCTAGAAATATAATCCCGGTAAACTGGGATTCGAACCCACAATCATAGGTTTCTGGCATGCCCGAGGGATGCAACTCTGCACAGCAAATCGCGGCGCCTTAGATGACTGGGCCACCTGTGTCCCCTCTGGATGGTTGTGAGTTTTCCCAGCGGAGGAAGATGCATTTGTATATTTGCATGTCAAATGTTCGTCAGGTCGTTTTCTTGTTTTTCCTACCTGTAATGTCTTTCTGTGGTTTTCAGAAAACTTCTCTCAAGTGATCGAAACCCTCCTATTGATGATTTAATAGCCTCCGGAATCCTGCCTATTCTAGTGGACTGTTTGCTGAAAGATGACAAGTAAGTGCTCTCATTGGTTCATGAGAGGTTGTGGATGTGTGGGTTTAAGGCTTAGCTGATTGACGACATGCTGAAAAGTGTTCAGTCCAAAATGTGAATACATTTTCAGAAATGTTTTTAAAATCCATTGTGTTTTTATGTTGAAGCATTATTCCTGAATTATTACAGCAAGATTTGACATTGGAAACTGATTTCCTTTTCAGTCCTTCCTTACAGTTTGAAGCTGCGTGGGCATTGACTAACATCGCCTCTGGGACGTCCCAGCAGACACAGGCAGTGGTTGGAGCAGGTCAGTGTGCGAGGCAAACATCTTCATGTTTCAAATACCCTGTAAAGGTCTGGGGTAGAATTGGTCTTCAGCAGCCCATGCTTGTTTAGAGGCGACTAATGGGATCAGGTGGTCAGGCTTGCTTGTCATCGTATCCCAGTTGTTTGTATTGATGCTCTTGATATCAATGGCTGGATTGTCTGGTCCAGTCTTGGTTATTTACAGACCGCCGACATATATCTTGAATATTGGTTTGTCTGGTCCAGGCTTGAGGGCGACATAAAACATAAATAAAAAAAAAGACCATCATTACTGGTGTGCAAAAAGATAGGAACTTCAAACATTATTTATCAACATAGTAACTAAGATTTATGAATGTGTGTGTGAGAATTTTACCCATTTAATCAATGCTTGACTCTGCTGTTGTTTTCAGGAGCGGTACCACTCTTTCTTCGTCTTCTTCATAGTCAGCACCAAAACGTTTGCGAACAGGCAGTCTGGGCATTAGGAAATATTATTGGTATGTCACATCACCACATTGCTTTCATGTTCTTTTGTACCATGGTTCATGTAACTCGGTGGGGACATTGTGGTTGACTACGTCGCCAGTACCCCAGCAGTACCCCAGCAGCACCCAAGCAGTACCCCAGCAGCACCCAAGCAGTACCCCAGCGTGTTGTACGAGGAGACTCTTTAGACTCTTTAGATGTGGAGGGCGGTCGGGTAGCCTAGTGGTTAAAGCGTTTGCTCGTCACGCCGAAGACCCGGGTTTGATTCCCGACATGGGTACAATGTGTGAAGCCCATTTCTGGTGTCCCCCGCTGTGATATTGCTGGAATATTGCTAGAAGTGGCGTAAAAGCTCACTCACTCACTCACTCACTCACTCACTCACTCACTCACTCGGCCACGTCATACCAAAAGACGTTAAAAGATGGTACTTGTTGTTACCCTGTCTGGTGCTCGGCATTAAGAGGCTAAACAAGGACTGGTCGGCTCGGAGTCAGTATACTGTGTCTGAGTGGGGTATTCATGTTAAACTGTGGCATGGTATCTCAGTGAGCTAGCACTATAAATTGGCATCAGTCCGGACTAGTACAAGCAGCCACAAACACACACACGTGCATGCACGTCGCTATATAAGTGCAATAATCTTGGACGCGGCGTTAAACCCCATTTCACCTCACCTCACCTCACTCACTCACTCACTCACTCACTCACTCACTCACTCACTCACTCACTCACTCACTCACTCACTCACTCACTCACTCACATGTCTACTCCATCTGTTTCAGGTGATGGCCCTCAGTGCAGAGACTATGTGATAAGTTTAGGGGCAGTTGCCCCTCTTCTCGAGTTCATCAACCCCAATATCCCCCTCCCCTTCCTGCGGAACGTCGCCTGGGTCATAGTGAACTTGTGTAGGAACAAGGAGCCACCACCACCTGTAGACACCATTCAAGAAATTCTCCCTGCACTCTGTCAGCTAATCCACCATACAGACGTTAATGTAAGTATACTCATCTTTGTAGCCCCATTGCAATATTTTCACCAGTCTCAGATGAAGCCTCTGGTGGGCTTTTCTGAAACCATTGACAGTCTATAACTTTAGCCAATAGTCCGAGCTCCCAGTCTGGTAACATATTTATTCAGTGCAATAAGTTCAGCTATTACTCTGTATAAGACCCTAAAATCTACTAAAAATGATGCAGAGAGCAATGGTTGGGCTTGTGCTAGGAGAATTGCACAGATTGCATTGAATATTTTCTTTTGAAAATATAACAGGAATTTCTACAAGGAAGTAACCTTTTGATCACGATAGCAACATCCAGAAAAGCAATTTGAAGTAATCTAAATAATGAACACGGTATTCATGCTGTTTTAGAACATATAAGGGATATCAGGTGGACAGATTCATAATTCCTAGGTTCTAAGATTTTTATGTAAACATGAATTGCTTTAAGAATATCGCTTACATGAGCCTTGAAATTACATGGAGATTTTCAATTTGCTGTGAGAGGGCTAATGGAGTGTTATGTCACACGTGTTAGTGGACAATACGGACACAGTTGGTCCAGTCGTCTTAGATGCTGTGCTGATTTGCATCCCTTTGGTATGCCAGGAACTATTATCACGGGTTAGAATCACAGTTTGCCTAGATTATGCTTCTAGGTTTGTCACCACCATACCGATGCTCGTGGGTTTCACCGAAGTGTTAAACGTCTGAAACCTGCATCAGTTCAGGTTTTCCTCCCATATTTAGCTGACACGCCATGATGTAACTGGAATACTGTTCAAAACGGCCTTGAACCCAACTCACAATACCACTTTGTCAATCAAGCAACAAAAATATACATGTGAATTTTGAGGTTCAGCTACAATCATTGAACCTTTTGTCATAATTCCCGTTTGTTTCAGATTCTGGTGGACACAGTATGGGCGTTGTCATATTTGACAGATGGGGGCAACGACCAGATTCAGATGGTCATAGATTCGGGTGTGGTTCCTTTCCTTGTTCCCCTGCTTAGCCATCAGGATGTTAAAGTTCAGGTGAGACAGGTCTTGAGACTGCACATGGTATTTCGGTGATGGATGTGTAACAGGGGAACTTGTACGCCTGTGATGCCATGCTTGTCTTAAGAGGCGACCAATTGGATCGGGTGGTCAGACTCGCTGACTTGGTTGATGCATGTCATTGTATCCTAGTTGTGTGTATCGATGTTCATGATATCAATCACTGGATTATCTGGCCCAGACTTGATAACCAATGAAGGATAGGGATGTCTATCAATTGGTTGTCTGGTCTAGATTTAGTTATTTACAGACTGCAGTCATATTGCTAGGATATTGCTGAGTGCATCATTAAACAGCAAAACCAAACAAGAAAGGCTGTAAAGTAGTAACTTAATACTGTTTTATACTGTTTGAATTGAAGTGGAAAGCAAAATACCATATTTGCTAGGTGCTTTGAAAATTGACAAAATTGTCCAGAATTAGGTCACTCATTGGTTTAAAAATACCTAGTAGACTACACCTAAGTCAAGTAAAGTTGTAATCAATACCCCAAGAAAACTTCAAATACTCAAATTGAATGATATCAGGTAAGTAAATGCTCAATAGCTTGAAAACATGTGAAGATCCGGGGTAGAATAGGCCTTCAGCAACCCATACTTGCTGTAACAGGCTACTAGGCTTGAGGAAAGAGGCGACTATTGGGATCGGGTGGTCAGGCTTGCTGACTTGGTTGATGCATGTCATCGTATCCCAGTTGTGTGTATTGGTGCTCATGATATCAATCACTGGATTGTCCGGTCCATACTTGATTATTTACAGACCGCCGTCATATAGCTGGAATATTGCTGAGTGCAGTGTTAAACAACAAACAAACAAGACTATAGCTTGAAAAATATCTGGAGCCCTGTTGTATGGGTACTGATTTGCATTTCTGAATGCTTGGCATCACTTGCCACCTGTATTGATCCAGGTACTACAGACTACTGTCAGAAAGGTGTAGTACCATGAATACAGGAATGGAACTTGACCAAGAATGTAGGCTATACCCCTAAATGTTTGAAATTTTACTTGCTCTTGGGACCCGTGAAGATTCCGGGGTAGAATAGGTCTTCAGCAACCCATACTTGCCGTAAAAGGCAACTATGCTTGTTTTAAAAGGCGACTAACGGGATCGGGTGGTCAGGCTCGCTGACTTGGTTGATGCATGTCATCGATCCCAATTGCGTGGATCGCTGCTCATGTTGTCAATCACTGGATTGTCTGGTCCAGACATGATTATTTTACAGACCGCCGTCATATTGCTGGAATATTGCTGAGTGCGGCGTTAAACAACAAACAAACAAACAAACTTGCTCTTGGGTTATCTTTAACACTAGCAAAGTTTGTCTGGGCTAGTGGGCTCATGCTAGTGTTCGTCTGTCACTGATGTTGGTGACTGGTGATCAAGACCATGTGTAATTGACAGTGAATTGTCTTTCTGTTGACAGACTGCAGCATTGAGGGCTGTGGGTAACATTGTCACTGGCACTGACGAACAGACACAGGTGGTGCTAAACTGTGACGCACTTACACACTTTCCTTCTCTCTTGTCACATCCAAAAGAAAAAATAAACAAGGTAAGATATCACAAACAGATCTCTTATCCAAGCTGGTGACAGATTTGCATGTTGTCATGGTAGTAGTAGAGGGGCAGACACCATTGCAAGCCATTTCGGACTCGTCGCTTACCGTATTCGACGTAATAAGCGCCCAGGGCGTTCTCAAAATTAGAAATATAGGGCTCTTATTAGAATGTAATTTTTGTTGTTTATGCTGACAGCCTGAAATGATACAAAAGAATAGTATTTGCATATTATACACGACAGATATTTAATATATCCAGAATTTAATTGCCCATTATTAAGGGTGCATATAACACACGAGTATGAATTATACACGAATAAATGTCTTGTGTGCATTGAGTAATCGGAATGGGTACTAAATGGATTGTTCATCAGCCAATATATTAGCAAATATCGCCGTGGGCGCTTATTACGTAGAATACGGTGTGTAACATTGCTAGATTTGGGAGAAAACAACTTGTCTCCCTAAGTTTTCTCTAGTCTCGGACTCAAGGACTAGTGGCTGTGTCTCTTCCTGTAGTATTGCAGTACAAGGTGGTTGGGAAATTACGATTGACAACGCTGGCAAAGGTTTTACAACACTGTATTCAGTGTGATTTGATTAAAATTATTATTACCGTATTCGACGTAATAAGAACCCAGGGCGCTCTCAAAATTAGAAATAGGGGGCTCTTATCAGTGAAAAAATAGACAGACACAGGTTCTTCATATACACTTGTATTCAAAATCCGACTGCCAACACAATACACCTCCTGCACCCACACAGGTTGTCACTCAACTGCCTGCCTAGAGCAAACCAAGATGGCCACCGTAAAGTCATTCTCAAATCAGTTTCGTATTCGAGGGGAAGTTTCGTATCCACACATTAACAATTAGAATATAATTTTAGTGAGAAAAAAACCGTAAAAAATGAGTTCAAAGATCATAAATTTTGTGGTTTATGCTGACAGCCTGAAATGATACAAAAGAAAAATCTGTGCGTATTATACATGACACATATTTTCCAGAATTTAATTGCCCATAATTAAGGGTGCATATAACACACGAATAAATAAATCCTGTGTACATTGATCAATCGGAAGGGGTGCTAATTGGGATTGTTCACTAACCAATATATTAACAAATATCGCTGTGGGCGCTTATTGGAGTGGGGTGCTTATTACGTCGAATACGGTATGTAAAATTCATGATAATCTGTCCCATGAAAGTGTTCTTAAATCTTTAAGAATTAATCACTTTATTGCAGAACATTATTGTCTGTTTGCTTGTCATTGCCTCTTACAATGTCGCTGCGAATAGCTGCAAAATGCTGATGTGGCATTAAGCAATAATCACTCCCTCCCTCACTTTCAATCTCATAAGAAAACCTGGCGACATGATTGTTCTTGTACTCTTACTTTTGATTGTATTTTGCTAAAATTTGATGAAACATACATAAAGGGTTCACACGTTACTATTATTGTTTGTGCATAGATCTGTATTGAGATTTAGATGATATGGCATTTGGTATGAAGTTCATGTGGCATTATCTGTTTTGCAGGAAGCTGTGTGGTTCTTGTCAAATATCACAGCTGGAAACCAACAGCAGGTGCAGGCTGTGATAGATGCAGGGCTAATACCTCTCATCATCCACCATTTAAACAGGGTAAGTCCGGACTGGAGGCTCAGTATTGTCGGGGCACGGGTGGCCCAGTCGTCTAAGGTGCCATGATTTGCTGTGCAAAGTTGCATCCCTTAGGCACTCCAGAAACCTATGATTGTGGGTTCGAATCCCGGTTCACCCCGATTATGTTTCTAGGTTTGTCAGCACCATACCCGTGCTCGTGGGTTTCACCGAAGTGGTAAACGTCTGAGACCTGCATCACTTTGGGCTTTCCTCCCACATTAAGCTGACACGCCATGATATAACTGGAATACTGTTAAAAGCGGTGTTAAACCAAACTCACTCACTCTCTCAGTATTGTGGATTTTCTTCTATTATCTGGGTGACTTGTAGCCCACAGGTTCTGCTTTTCATTGTGCAGAGTTGTGTCCCTTAGATGACAGATCTCTAAGATGTGCATGACTTAGGGCTTTCCTCCCACATTAAGCTGACACGCCGCGTTATAACTGGAATACTGTTAAAAGCGGCTTTAAACCCAACTCACTCACTCACTCACTCACCATGCAGAGTTGTGTTCCTTAGATGACTTTAGGCTTTCCTCCCACAATCATCTGAAACTTTTTGATATCACAAATAATGTTCTAAGCAACATTAAACTTTATGATGTCACATTGAACCCAAATATTTGGGATTATTTGTTTACCAAACTTTTGACCCGTAAAGATCAGTGGTAGAATAGGTCTTCAGCAACCCATACTTGCCATAAAAGGCGACTATGCTTGTCGTTAGAGGCGAGTGGGGATTGGTTGGTCAGGCTTGCTGAGTTGGTTGATGCATGTCATCGTATCCCAATTGCATGGATCGATTCTCATGATGTCAATCACAGGATTGTCTTGTCCAGACTTGAGTATTTACAGACCGCCGTCACATAGCTGGAATATTGTTGAGTGAGGCGTTAAACAACAAACCAACCAAACTTTTGTTTGTCTGAATTTATTTATTATTAGTCATGTTAGTGGGTCATAGTGCTGATGGTTTTGTGTTTCTAATATGAAAGTGTCTGTATACCAGAGGGCATTGTAAAATCAAGACATGTTTAGGCAGTTGTAAAGTGGTTGACAATGTTTATTGAACCTGTAAGGAATGTCGAAGTTTCACATCCATGAGCAAAATATATTTTTATCTGTGATCTTGTATCAATCCCATACTGTGTCAAAATCTTTATTGAAGGATATGAATTGAATGAGAAGATTTTAGACATAAAGAAATCTATACCACCAGAATTGAACTGACTTGCTTCCATGCTTTATTTCAGGGTGAATTTCAGACTCAGAAGGAAGCAGCCTGGGCAATCAGCAATTTAACTATAAGTGGTAGGAAAGAACAGGTGAGTTCTTAAACAGCACTCCTGTAAAGAAGGGGTTGGAATCGGTCTTCAGCAACCCTTGTCCTAAGGTGAGGTGAAATTTGGGTTTAATGTCGCGTCAAAGATTATTGCACTTACATAGCGACGTGCATGCACGTGTGTGTGTGGCTGCTTGTACTCATCTTCCAGAGGCAAGTGAGTTTACTGACTATAAAAGTCCAGTTTCCACCCTTGCCGAACTAGGCTGGAATTAAAGTCTGTTGGTATGATGTGACCGGGGATTGAACCCCAGACCTTCTGCTCTCCAGGCGGACGCTCGTCCTCTAGACCACGGAGGCGGTCGCCTTGTTATAAGAGTTGACTATAGGGATCAGGTGGTCAGGCTTGCTGTCTTGCTTGATGCTTGTCATTGTATTCCAACTGGGTGGATTGTTTGGTCCAGACTCGATTACATACTGACCGCCGTCATATGGCTGTAATACTGCTCGGTGCAGCTTTAAGATAGAAAAAATCTTCAGCAGCGCTCTTCAGAAGTTAACGGGGTCACATGATCTCTAAGGTTTTCTGCAGTCCATGTATTTATGGAATCCCTTGACACTTAAACCATGTAAATCCCTCCTGACTAGTCGTGTTTTGGTGTTGCTAGGAATATTTGACAACAAGAATTGATTTTGAAATGATCATCTTTTGTTATCCTGTGTTATATTTCATGCAATAGTTGCTCCTATTTTGAATCTAATGTTCCTCCGTTTTCAGGTATCATATGTAGTACAACAAGGCGTTATACCGCCGTTCTGTAATCTTCTGGGGGTCAAGGACACTCAAGTTGTCAATGTCGTCCTTGATGGTATCAACAACATCCTGAAGATGGCAGGAGATGACCTGGAATCAATCAACCAGATGATAGAAGAATGTGGCGGTAAAAACTTACTTGCATTAAGAGTGATCTCCCTCTTCGATAGTACTTGTATTGAAAGCTGGTATAATCTGTATTACCGTATTCAACGTAATAAGCGCCCAGGGCGCTCTCAAACCTAGAAATAGGGGGCTCTTATTAGAATAATATTTTGGTGAAAAAAAACAGAGTTAAAAGATAAATTTTGTGGTTTATGCTGACAGCCTGAATACGACAGATATATTTTTCCAGAATTAATTTGCCCATAATTAAGGGTGCATATAACACACAAGTGCGTATTATACGCGAATAAATAAGTCTTGTGTACATTGATCAATCTGAAGGGGTGCTAATTGGGTTTTTTCACTAGCCAATATGTTAGCAAATATCGCCATGGGCGCTTATTACGACGAATACGGTAGATCTGAAATAGAGATTTGATTAAGTGTGATCTAGCTTTTTGATGCTACTTATATTTAAAGCTGGTATAATCTGTATTAGATCTGAATAGAGACTTGAATAAGAGTGATCTACCTTTTTGATAGTACATATATTGAAAGCTGGTATAATCTGTATTAGGTCTGAAAGAGAGACTTGACTTTTATGATGAATTGGTTCCTTTGAAATATCAAGATATGTTTGTAATTTTTCTACAATTTGCTGTTTTGTGAAATTCTGCTGTGATTATGTTGATTAGGAACAAAACACAAGAAAAACAAATGCAGCAGCTTGTGGTCAGTTTTGTAAAGGGTGCTATAAGTACTGTCTGAAACACTTGACTATGTTTACTGGGTTGTGTATGATACATGAAGGTTTATGAAGAATGTTTCTGTTTCAGGCTTAGACAAAATTGAAAGTCTACAGAATCACGAAAACGAAGAAATTTACAAACTTGCCTATGAAATTATTGATCACTACTTTTCTGGTGATGTGAGTATACGTTTTATTTAGTATTTCTGATGGTGACTTTTGAGGTGTTCCAACAGGGCTTATTATCTGGTTGGGCATACTCAGTGACTTCATGGATGTCCCTGCGCCCTGTTGGCATGGATCATTTGCTTGTAATATCAATCACTGGATTGTCTGGTTCAGACTTGATTATTTACAGGCCAGCATAATATGCCTGTAATGTTGCTGCTGCTGCTGCTGCTGCTGCTGGGGGCGGTCGGGTAGCCTAGTGGTTCAAGCGTTCGCTCGTCACCCCGAAGACCCGGGTTCGATTCCCGACATGGGTACAGTGTGTGCAGCCAAATTCTGGTGTCCCCCTCCGTGATATTGCTGGAATATTGCTAAAAGTGGCGTAAAACCATACTCACTCACTGTAATGTTGCTGCATGCTGCTTTGACAACAACTACAACAAGAAACAATATTCTTCCTTCGTCATGAGTTGTTTCCGGCTCTGTAGGAAATATGTGTCAGGACAGTCCATACTTTTATGGTCCTATGAAATAGAGACCCAAGTGGTCCACTCGACCACATGATGTGTAGGGTCCACTCCACCACAAGTGTGTAGGGTCCTCTCGACCACAAGTGTGTAGGGTCCACTCCACCACTGGCATGTAGGGTCCACTCCACCACTGGCATGTAGGGTCCACTCCACCACAAGTGTGTAGGGTCCACTCGACTACAGGTGTGTCGGGTCCACTCCACCACTGGCATGTAGGGTCCACTCCACCACAAGTGTGTAGGGTCCACTCGACTACAGGTGTGTCGGGTCCACTCCACCACTGGCATGTAGGGTCCACTCCACCACAAGTGTGTAGGGTCCACTCGACTACAGGTGTGTCGGGTCCACTCCACCACTGGCATGTAGGGTCCTCTCCACCACAAGTGTGTAGGGTCCACTCGACTACAGGTGTGTCGGGTCCACTCCACCACAAGTGTGTAGGTCCACTCGACTACAGGTGTGTCGGGTCAACTCCACTACAGATGTGTAGGGTCCTCTCGACCACAAGTGTGTCGGGTCCACTCCTCCAAAAGTGTGTAGGGTCCACTCGACTACAGGTGTGTCGGGTCCCGACATGGGTACAGTGTGTGCAGCCAAATTCTGGTGTCCCCCTCCGTGATATTGCTGGAATATTGCTAAAAGTGGCGTAAAACCATACTCACTCACTGTAATGTTGCTGCATGCTGCTTTGACAACAACTACAACAAGAAACAATATTCTTCCTTCGTCATGAGTTGTTTCCAGCTCTGCAGGAAATATGTGTCAGGACAGTCCCTACTTTTATGGTCCTATGAAATGGAGACCCAAGTGGTCACTTTTGACCTGGCCATACCCTGGCAGCTTGGATTATGTGTCGGGTCCACTCGACCACAAGTGTGTAGGGTCCACTCCACCATAAGTGTGAAGGGTCCTCTCGACCACAAGTGAGTCGGGTCCACTCCACCACAAGAGTGTAGGGTCCACTTGACTACAGGTGTGTCGGGTCCACTCCACAACAAGTGTGTAGGGTCCTCTCCACTACAAATGTGTAGGGTCCTCTCGACCACAAGTGTACAGGGTCCTCTCCACTACAGATGTGTAGGGTCCTCTCGACCATCAGTCTGTAGGGTCCTCTCCACTACAGATCTGTAGGGTCCTCTCGACCATAAGTGTGTAGGGTCCTTTCCACTACAGATGTGTAGGGTCCTCTCGACCACGTGTAGGGTCCTCTCGACCACGTGTAGGGACCACTCGACCACGTGTAGGGACCACTCGACCACGTGTAGGGTCCACTCGACCACATGATGTGTAGGGTCCACTCTACCACATGATGTGTAGGGTCCACTTGACCACATGATATGTCGGGTCCACTCGACCACAGGTGTGCTTGGTCCACCAAATCACAGGTGTTTTTGCCCTGCCCAGCTGAAACATTATGGACTACAGCTATAAACAACATTTCACTCCCTGTTACTGTCTCAAGGCGGCGTTTTAACCCATTCATGCTGTAAGTAGGCGACTATGCTTGTCGTAAGAGGCGACAAACGGGATCGGGGGTCAGGCTTGCTGACTTGTTTGATGCATGTCATCGTATCCTAATTGCGTAGATCAATGCTCATGATGTCAATCACTGGATTGTCTGGTCCAGACTCAATTATTTACAGACCGCTGTCATATAGCTGGAATGTTGCTGAGTGAGGCGTTAAACAACAAACAAACAAACAAACAAACAGCTTGCATGTTTTTTCTGAATAACTTTAATTCCTGTTGACTCGTGACTTCCTTTACCTGTTATAGATTGAAGAGGAGGCGTTACTCCCCCAAGCATCAAACGAAGGATACCAGTTTGACCCTAATGCACAGATTCCATCGGAAGGATTCAAGTTTTGACCACAGCTGAAGACACTAATTAAATTGTTGCCATATTAGATGTTGTGGCGCCATCTGTGCCACGGCTGATCCAAGTTGGAAGTCCTGCCAGCAAACAAACGTTTCACCCTGGCAATCCAAAAACTTGACCCAGTGTAATTGATGTGGATGAAGAAATGTTCTGTTTCCATCACATCAGCACCCCCAGAATAAGTCGCCATAGCGGGAATGAGGTCAAGGACGTGTAGGCAAAGGTGCCCGAAGATGCTGATGAGCCCATCTGGAAACTGGCGACTCCCATGGAGACTCTAATCTATTTGAATTCCCTTAGAAATACGAGTGAAAGAAAACTGATTTCGCCGGGGAGAAATGTTTTCGGGGCATGAATTGCATGCATGACAAGACGTTGTTTGTGGTCCCTACAGACTACGTATATGAAGGAGCTTCTTATGTATTCATCCTTGACTTGAGATGAAAATAATAAGTTGATCACTGATTATGATTTCTACAGAATATTTGAATTCAACCTAAGACTGCCTACCTACCATATACCTTCATGCGATGTAACAAGCATCCACCAGGTTTAGCTTGTCAACCGGAACTAAAGGACCTTTTAGTGTGCCAAGTAAGTTTGGAGACATTTTGGCAGTAATTCACAACCATGGATAATTTTGCTCAATGCTATTGTATATCAGTGTTGGAACTGTCTCTCTGCAGTGTGGTACTGTCCATGTTATGCAAGAAAAACGAGAAACACATTTATGACCGAACTCTTGGACCCTGTGTTAGGTTATAAGATATTTCCTGAAGCGCCCTGTTCACTTCTTGTAGAACTGCCTTTCGGTGCACTGAGCCCAATTTTGAAGCATGTCCACAGTTGCTGACGACGTAGTGATGATGATTCTCACTGCACATTTGAGGACAGACTTTGAATCGAGACGAGGTGGATCCTACAGGAATCAAATTTGAATTAACTGATTTGATCTGACATTTATTTAAATGTATTCTAAGTATTGTCTCTATCCTTGGGCGTGTCTTGTAACATTTCTACTGTGTCTCTTATCGTTTAGTTCGTAGTCTGGATATATTTGTTTTTCGGTCATGGCTGTTTGTAACAAAGTATTAACTTATGAAATTGCATTGTGCCTTAGGACTTTTCTAAATTGGAAGTGTTAAAGTTCATTAATTTTTCTACCAAATTACTTGTATTTAATTACTCGATGTTGTTTTTCTGTCAGGTTTCCACATTATTTTGACACAGACATATCATTCCAGTTTTGTTGATACTGACTTACAGCCACACTGTTAAAATCAAAGCTTAATGGAAAGGTAGTTTGACCTGCATTTCGAATTATTGAGGGCTTCCATTACACACAAAAAAAAGCTATTTTGTTTGCAGCGATTTGTCAACTATGGGTTTTGGTCAGCTGAGATTTTGGAGAATTAGTTTGATATGTGAATAAAATAAGTACCTGTTATGTTGTTTTGTAAAGTGGTTTCTGTTAATTGTGAAATATTAATTCATGTTTGTTTTTAGGGGTGTAGTTGTTGATTTTTATTTGGATAAAAACCAAAGACCAGTATAGGAAGTTACCCACTTATTAGTAACACTTTTGGTTTTAGAAAAAAATATTGTTCGGATACATCTGACTGCTATTTAATGGAAATGGCTCTGTAGGTGGGAAAGTCCTCATGTGGATTTAAAAAAGCATTTGTGAACTCAGTGATGACATGAAGAGAAGAATACTGTGATACGCTTGTAAAGATAAACTGAAAGCAGGGTCACAGTGATATAATGACAATCGGAGCCTTAGCATTCCCTAGGGCGAACCATCGGATTTGTACTTTTTCAAACTATACGTCGGATGGTATGTCAATGTTTTTTAATATGTAATCTTAAAAAGAAGTCCGCTTGAGTTTGTAACATAATTGATCGAAATATCGATCCAGTTGTCAGTTGGGCTCTTGGGCCTGACAGGCAATCAGAGGCAGTTATTAAAGACTGATCTAGATTTATCTCTGCCAAGACTGGGCTAGGAAGAGGTAACAGTATGGCACTGTTCTGTTTTTAGTACAATGTTTTTACAGATTAAAACATGATCTGAATGTTGATTTATTGAATCCTCTACAGAGAATTAGGTATAGTGAAAGGATACTGCCATGGGTTGAGGCCATGTGTCAAGTGGTCTGTCCTCCGTGACAAATATTACCAGTGTTATCAGCCACATTGCCAATGACAACTGTCATTGTGAAGATTGGAGATGTCCCAAGTCAAGTTTATTTGATGCTGAGACTTGTAACTTGTTGGGATGAGGAGCATGATTTCATGTAGACTTCTTATGATTGCGCTAATAACTATTGTTTCTTGTGTCCGCTGGCATGAGTGTCTTCTCTGAGGTCGCAGTGTTTTTCACCCGTTCTTTCCACCATGCTTGTTTTCCTCAAGGATAGGTAAATAACCATTATTCAATATCGTAGGGACCTGTTTATTATTTTCGAGGTGACCCTTTAATTCCACGCTGTTTTGTTTTGTCGACACAGCGGTTCAGAAAATTAAGCATCATATGCTTCGACATGATCAAAAAAGAAACAAGACACAAACTTTTTCTTTTGACCATATATTGTAGTTCCTATGTTTTTTTTAAATTAACCAACTGAGGCTTTCAATATGCTTTACGGATATTAGACAATTGATAACCAAATTAATGCATACTTAATCAATTGGATGTATTTATTCTTTTCACATTGTGGACATAATGAATATTTTTTAAGAATTTTTCTTTTTCTTGATTTTTTTTATTTTAAAAAGAGTGTTGTAGATGTTGAAGAAATGGTCACAACCTCAAAAGTGTTAATACCCTTCATTCACAGGCTTTAATTTTGTTCAAACCATACTATTAAGAAAGTATTCTCTAAGTTGTGGGATCTTGCAATATCAAATACGAATACCCCACATGTTCAGGGTTCTTTAGACATGCTGACTACTTTCATTTATCTCTTTGTATGAAAAATAACATTGAGTTACAAAAAGCCAAGTTATTCTAGAATTGCTTTATTTAGTCCATGATGTTGAGCTGTATTCAATAACTAAATCATGTTTCATCAATAATGTACAATTCTCTGTTTATCTGTTCACAAGGCCCAGGGATTATCACGGTTCCAAACAAACTCTCCTTTGCAGATAAAATAGAGAAAAAAACCAAAATTTTGTTCAAAATTGGCACTTTCTTAAAAGTCCTTTATTCTTACATTCATCTCGAATTTAATATTTCATTCAATGCAGAAATGGTAAAACTGAACAAGTCTCTTATGTATTGGTTCTGTTGTCATTGAATTGAAAGTCGCCACTGTTAAAGTCATGAAATTTGTTATTACGTAATAACATAAATTGGCAATATTTTATTCCAATTTGGGAATTTTTACTGAAAATCGCTGTAGACCTGGGGCCAAATATTGACCTCTTAGCAGGTCTAGATGAATCCTTGACGTCTATTTACAAGGTGATAAATGACCGTATTACAAGGCGTGTGATAATTACCGTATTACACAGTGAAAATGAGCAATAGGAAATGTCCGATTTTGAAGATTGTTATACAACAATTAGATTTGTTGAGTCACTTTCCAGTGTAAATATGATGGGAACAATGCATACAAGGAGTTGTCCAGAAAAACGACAGACGAGGACACATTTGGAAGGGTAGAATATGGCATGTTCTGTACACAAAAACTTATTTTCACGTTGTGAATATGCCTTGTACATTGTGTGCTGTTGTGTCTGTCACTTGTCCTCTTTCATAATATATGCCAGGTAGTAAGAGACCTATCCTTAACATCAGGGCTGGCATGTTGAGTTAGGGGAAGTTTCAGTGAAACTGAATTATTATTTTATAATGAATCAAAATAATTTTGTAAATGTACTTAAGACATCTGGCAGTCAAAATGGCTAGGATATTTACGCATTGTGTTTTTCTTAAATATATTGCCAAAGTTTTGTGAAATTGTTGACATGACCAAATTGATATGGTTTAATTTTTCTCAAATGTCTCTGTTGTGGTAAATGTATCCTTTGGATACAAGGGGTTCTTGTACGAGGCAACCAAATGAATTGGGTGGTCAGGCTCTGTGTGACTTGGTTGATTGCGTGCCATTGTACCCTAACTGCATGGAACGCTGCTCACATTATTGATCACCGGATATTTAGAGACTGCTGTCATATAACTGGAATGTTGCCTAGTGTAGCATTAAAAATGATTTTAAGAAATGAAACATCAATTCAAATTGAGGAATAATCGGCTGTAAACACACTCAACTCTTTTTCCCAAGTGATAAGGGGCAGTCGGGTAGCCTCGTGGTTAAAGCGTTCGCTCGTCACGCCGAAGACCCAGGTTCGATTCCTGACATGGGTACAATGTGTGAAGCCCATTTCTAAAAGCGGCGTAAAACCAAACTCACTTACTCACTCACTCCCAAGTGATACTTGTGTTTTTGGTGGTGTGAACAGCAATTGTGTATATTGCAAATTACTTTTGGTCATGGCATGTGCTGTATCTGGTCTGAACATCTTGGAGTTTGACACTTCTTGTGTTGGTCCAGCCAACCTGCTTGTGATCAGTTGGGCACATTTCAATCACTATTAGCAGGCCCCAGTGATCGAGGATACAGTTTTGCATGTTTCAACATTAAAATCATATCAGTTTGGTCATGCAAGTATTTTCAACTTGGATAGTTTATATCAGGTTGATGTAAATATATCTCATTTTCTGAAGCCAAGAGTTATTTTACCAGAGAAATGAGATTAAGATATGGGAGTTTTGTCCCAAGTAGATGCCAGCAAGATAATTAAGGATAGGTAATGTTCGCTAGTCTCACCCTATTTTGAGATTGGCTACCTTGTTATGCATAACATGTTTTAACAAGTCCATTATACTGATAGTGATTCAATTTGACCTCTTTTGGTGATTGCCATTGGATCATTTCTGAAATGAGACGCTTGCCAAGCAGAACAGCTGCTACTGTGCCATTATGTTGAGATCACAGCCAAACCTAACAGTTTTTTAATATATAAATCATATTTCTAAATACCTGCGATGCTGTATAAGGAGCAGTGGTACAATTATGTTTTTCAAATATTTTCAAAAGCAACTTATAAGGCATGCATGACATTGAAGCCGTGGAACTGAAATTATTATTGAAAAGTTAAAATATATTTAACTTTGTTTGGAAAAATTCTGTTTCTGGCATTTTAGGAAATATATTGAAAGCCTTATATACCTCAACAGATAGAGTAAAAGGGCATTTGATAAGTTTTGTTATGCCTAGTTTGTGTTGCATATCTGTATGGCATTGGCTGAGCCTCCAATATGGCACAGACTGAGAAGTACAACAGCTTGCTGCCACAAGTGTCAAAGCACAGTCTTAAACTCCAGAGGCATATTCTCAAACATTGGGGGTCTTTTGGGGGAGGGCGACAGCTCAAAGCATATATAGTTTTAAACATGTAATAATAAATGCTACCAATTTTGTGTATTTCGTGAGCTGTTCTAAACAGTTAATCTTTTATACTGAATTGTTATGCAGAGAAAGTTGAAAACTCACTGCCTTAATATTTTATTTAAAAGAAATACATTGAAATGGTCCAATGTGTATTATGATGCTATTGCGATTCATGTGCCAGGGGAATCTCTTGTTGACTTGTTAAGTAAAAATATATTCAAAGATTTATTTAAAATGCTGTTAATGAACCCTTTTTCTCATTAACCTCTTCATGAAAACTTGCCCTAGATTGGTCATGTGAGATGAAAATGATATCCCCGTATCATGTCTGATCCACAATATTGTGCAATCCCAAGTCTGTATAACATATTTGCAGTCATAATTATTATTGACAATATATATTATGTATTTGTCCATGGACAAACTAATGTTATCCTTAAGGTCAATCAAATGGTTGCATTAAAGATCAGTTGATCGGCCGCACAAGGTAAAAATATTTGAATATGATGCTGTGTTATGACGGAACTGGCCCTATCTCAGACCAGTTGAAGCTGCAAGGGTTAATGCAGATGGGTTGCTGTCAGTAGAGGATTTTCCCAAGTCAACATACAGATTCCCCTTGCAATTGAGGCTGTTTAAGACACAGCCAAGCCTGGATGAGCCCATGTTGTTGTGTATATGCAAACATACCTTAGGTTCGTTCACCTTAACATAGCCTGAATTATTCAGGCCTCGGGAATACTGCACATGACGAAGCATGGTGCTTCAAGTCTTAGTTTCTCTATGTCTGAATATTCAGGTTCACCTATTGAAAACTCTCCAGGACTTGTCTGCTTTGTAATTATTGAAACATGTTGATTTTTGTTTTCAAAAGTGGTTGCCATAGCTACGTTCAAATGATAGTTGCAAAGGCATCCTTGTACATGTTTAACTTGAAAATAAAAATCAAGTATGAAGAAAGAAATATTTGTTTCCTTGTTTCAAAACCTTGATATCCAGGGTTTGCTTGAAAAGTTCTTGAAGAAAATGATTGAATATTTTTAGCCCATCTCAAGTTAAATTGTTTGATAGCAGTGAAGATCCCGGGTAGAACAGGTCTTCGGCAACCCATGCTTGCTGTTAAAGTCGATTAAGCTTGTCGTTAAGAGGCAACTAACAGGATCGGGTGGTCATGCTCGCCAACTTGGTTGATGCATGTCATCATATCCCAATTGCGTGGATCGATGCACATGATATTGATCACTGGATTGTCTGGTCCAGACTCGATTATTTATAGCTGGAACAATTGATTTAATCCAGTTGACTTGAGTTGCGAGACTGTTTTTCTCAAAAACTTGGAATATTGTGTAAAGAAATTTTGTCAAATCTTCAACAAAACTTGTTCATGACACTGATGATTTTACTCATTTTTTGTTAAAAATCCGTGAGAATAGGTCTTCAGCAAGGCGACTATGCTTGTCTTAAGAGGCGACTAAAGGGATGGGTGGTCAGGCTCGCTGACATGGTTGATGCATGTCATCATATCCCAATTGCGTGGATCGATGCTAATATCGATCACTGGATTGTCAGGTCTAGACTCGATTATTAACAGACCGCCGTCATATAGCTGGAACAGCAAACCAACCAAACCAATTACTTAGAAGTTGACTGATGGCAAAGTAGACACAATTTATTGATAACTTCTTTGATACTGTAAAGGTGACGTTTCAGTACAGATCCTTATACCATTGTCAAGCAACATAAGGATCTATACCGAAACGTCGCCTTTGTCATTTCAAGTTACTTACCTAAAAGTGAATATATACTCTGCAAAAAAAGAGAAACAAAAAGTAGTAATATCGTAAATATCCGACAGTGTTACCGACATCCATACGTACCAAAAATGAATTGGTAATTTCTGTATGGATTGGGGATTGATTTGTGTGGAGAGAATGAGGTACTGCAGAAATTTTATGTCACCGAAACACCAAGTGAGGCACCGTTTTCGCGCTGAGGTGAAACGGGGTTAACGTCGCGTCCAAGATTATTGCACTTATATAGCGACGTACATGCAGGTGTGTGTGGCTGCTTGTACTAGTCCGGACTGATGCCGATTTATAGTGCTAGCACACTGACATACCATGCCGCAGTTTAACATGAATACCCCACTCAGACACAGTATACTGACTCCGAGCCGACCAGTCCTTGTTTTAGCCCCTTAATGCCGAGCGCCAGACAGGGTAACAACAAGTACCATCTTTTAACGTCTTTGGTATGACGCGGCCGGGGATCGAACCCTGGACCTTCCACTCTCTGGGAGGACGCTCTACCACTAGACCACGGAGGCGGTCTGTTGACGCCCTGAAGGTATCACCAGTTCTAGGTGTCATTTGACGGACCTACATCATCGGCAGCGACGTCAATGGTGTCAAGGTCAAAGAGTGTGGCCAAAACTGCGTATGGCCACAAGTTTGGTTTATTGACGAGTCACGTTTTATGCTTCGCAGAAGGTAGACATCGTGTTTAGTATGGAATCTTATGGACAAATTTGGCGGTGGTAGTGTGATGATGTTGGCGGCCATCTCATACACTGGTAGAACAGACTTGGTGCAAGTTCTGGGAAATTTAACGGCACAACGTTACACGAATGAGATTATTCGTCCTTCTCATGCAACAAGCGAACATCACTTTTCATCGGGCGGTCGGGTAGCCTAGTGGTTAAAGCGTTCGCTCGTCACGCCGAAGACCCGGGTTCGATTCCCGACATGGGTACAATGTGTGAAGCTCATTTCTGGTGTCCCCCGCCGTGATATTGCTGGAATATTGCTAAAAGCGGCGTAAAATCATACTCACTCATTTTCCAGCAAGACAACACCCGACCTCACACCGCAAGACTGACAACAGCCTTTTAAAGGAATCACAACAACCAGGTCCTGCCCTCCAGGTCTCCAGATTTATTTTGGGGATGCACTGGATCAACGACTGCGAGCACGTCCACAACAATCACAGAACCCCCGACGGTTGGCACAAACAATGCTCGCAGAGTGGGTGAACATTCCCCAGGCCATAATTCAGGATCTGACTGCTTCCATGGGACGACGATGCCAGTCAGTTTTGGACTCTAATGATGGCCATACAATATGTTGAGAACAGATGACCTTCACCTTGACAATCTACTATTCCATATGTGATCGTTTCTGTAATCATGTACTTTGGCTGTCATCACTCAATAAAATCTTCAGATTTTCAACTAAGTCCTCTTCACTTTCAACTATTCATAATCAGTTGTGCAAGTAATAGTATCCTGCTGCTCAAACCTCTTGTGTATGCGCAAAACGGGAACCTCGATCTTTCCTTTGTGTGCTAGTGTGAACAACGAAAAAATGTCTAAGCTGACATAGCACATCACTTTGTTGTAACGCTATTATTAGATCTTCGGTATAAGAGGATTAGGGAAGCATTATCCAGAGACCTATCTGAAGGAGATTATCTCGTCGGATTATAGGTTTTCGGACATCATACGTTTTCTGACGGCCATGGTTAAAGCGATTACTCTCGCTGTAGCAAGGGATGTGGCGTCAAACATGCATTGTAAATACTCAGATGATGACATGTTTTTAAGATAAAGTCGTCTTTTATAAGTGAGTGAGATGTTTAACAGTTCTTGTGATTAGCAAGAAAACTGCGAATGATTCTTAAGCGTCCGAAAACCCATAACACGGGGAGTTATATAATTGATTTGCAGTATTCGACTTCTAAATTTGTATATAATTGTAAACTAAAACGACCCTGTGCATTGTCACTGTGACCCTAACAATATTGCCACGTACTGCGGCCGCACTGTACTGAAGTACAGAAAGTTCAGACCACATACACGAAAAACTAGGAATACAACAGGTGTATGCGATGACGAATTGACATTTATCGATTGTGACAAATCCAGGTTTGACAACAGATGAAAGAGTAACACGTGGTCTTGGCATTTACATAAAATTAGGGAGGGGGGGGGGGGGGGGGGAGATTCGCTGTGCAGAGTTGCGTCCCTTGGACACACCAGAAACCTATGATTGTGGGTTCGAATCCCGGTTCGCCCCGATTATGTGCTCGTGCTCGTGGGTTTCACCGAAGTGGTAAACGTCTGAGACCTGCATCACTTCGGGCTTTCCTCCCACATTCCTCCTCCGATATAACTGGAATACTGTTAGAAGCGGCGTTAAACCCAACTCACTCACTACACAAAATTGATTTATATTTTTACGAAAATGGTCAGGGACAGATGTTAGATTTAGCGATGTGAAATGCTCATTTGTACTTCTCAAAGCTGTTAATGTGACAATTGTCACCTTCGAAATAAAGGAACACAATTCTATAGTAAAGTCAAAGTTGGTGCCGAGTCCAAGATGCTGTGAATTCCCATCTCAAATTGGAGATAGGCAGTCAGATTTATATGTATTTATAAAGTGAAGCGGTCGGGATAGGAGAAAAGGTTCGAGATACCAGTACCTTTGGGATAGCGAATATCGATTTAACCGAGTCCGACCGTATGGGTAACTGAAATATTATGTACTGGAGAGACTACAACAGAAGCCATTACTTCTTTGAGAGGCACTGGATAAGATATATGGATGAACAAGTTCTTAATTACAATTGGCAGCGGCTTTTTTTTATACCAGTACCAGTGAGTGAGTGAGTATGGTTTTACGCCGCTTTTAGCAATATTCCAGCAATATCACGGCGGGGGACACCAGAAATGAGCTTCACACATTGTACCCATGTCGGGAATCGAACCCGGGTCTTCGGCGTGACGAGCGAACGCTTTAACCACTAGGCTACCCGACCGCCCCTATACCAGTACCAAGAAAATGAAGTACAGATTTTCTACGTTAATAGACTGGTATTGGGCTCGGCTGACGTCTCGCCCAATATTTTTCTGCTTACACTGTATACGGCAACTAAGTGAGTGAGTCGGGTTTAACGCCGCTTTTAACAGTATTACAGTTATATCGCGGCGTGTCAGCTTAATGTTGGAGGAAAGCCCGAAGTGATGCAGGTCTCAGACGTTTACCACTTCGGTGAAACCCACGAGCTCGGGTATGGTGCTGACAAACCTAGAAACATAATCGGGGCGAACCGGGATTCGAACCCACAATCATAGGTTTCTGGCGTGCCTAAGGGACACAACTCTGCACAGCGAATCGCTGCGCCTTAGACGACTGGGCCACCCGTGCCCCTACGGCAACTAAAGACACCATAACTAATACTATACCGTCAGTAAAAATCCAAGATGGTTGATACTGACCTAACATGAGACCGTATACCGCCAGTAACAGCCATCTTGGATTTTCCAACGCCCACCTCACATACAAGTATTTCACATGGAAATTCTGGTACTGACATTCGTTGTTCGACACTGCATGTCTTGTGTTATATTATCATCAATTGTGATGTGCAAAGACATTATTTTTTTTAAGAAACCGCGTTCGTGACTTTAGCAATACTTTTTTTCTGCTAACCTAATATAATTAGTTTTTCCTAGTGTTCATTGAAATTCCTGCATTCTGATTAGCTGAATTGGTCACGTGTTATTGCACTAGCGAAACTAATGCATATTCATTGTCCAAACAACCCTTTGAGGCCGAAGGCCGAGAAGGAATGAAACACTCAACATGCAGGCTCGCTCGCCGGCCTTTTTCCAGCTCGCCTCGGTGAACTTTCATGTCTTTGGATTTCTTTTCTAACTAGCACGTTTCCAACTGTGTCTTCCTGTTCTCAGGGAACTAATGTTTGAATCTGGCGGTAACTGACCTTGTCATTTGAAACAGCCGCCTTCTCCCGGACATATTTGTTCCGGCTGTTACACTGCTTCTCGCCTCTTGTCAACATTGTTTTGATCCTACTCTCCGTTGATTGGCTACTGAATTTATAGGCGTGTCAAGTTATGTGCATAAATTAACCAATCACCTGATTCATGTCACGTCTCGTCAT